GCGTTACCGCACATTAATACCATGACACACCATCATGACACCGTAACTAATTTAAATTGGGTACCTATATCTAATTTCCGTTGTTGTTGCTGCTGCTGCTGCTGAATTTTGTACGATCGACTTGTAAGTACATAATATAGAGTAGGTATCGCGTTTAATGTAAAAAAAAAATAATAATAATAATAATAAACGTCCTTCTGATATTATACCTCCTAGCTGCAGTTTAGACTATATTAAAACTTATAAATACTACAATCTACAACAATTTAGTAACGTAATAAAGTTAATGGTAATGTTATGGTAATATTTTGGTTAAATTAAATTTAAAATGTTTCAAAACAATGTTATCTTAACGTTTTATTGAACTCATAAAATTAACATATATTTGAAAATATTCTGTTTTTAACTGAATGTTAATGAATTGTGAATTTATTAAATTAAATTAATATAACATGTTTAGATAATATTTTATTTTAATGGAATTTTAATTTAAGACGATTATTTCTGATTAGATAATTTATTCAGTAGTATAATAATAATATTATATTAAATTACATTTTATGTGTAATTTTATATAATGGTTTGCCAAACGAAAACTACAATTATATTTATATACTATTTAAAACCATACAATGTCATCCTTAGATTTGTACATTATCTAAATAACTACCTCAGGAAATTTCCAACCCACAAATTCTCCACAAAAAAATCGTGTATTTTAATAGTATAAAACAACTAGGTACTTGCCATTTATTAATATTATAATGATTGAATAAATATTAATGAGCCTAATAAATAATAATATATGTATGATGTATTTATATGTATTTTGTAATAATGGACCGTGAGAAAGGTTGATTATTATAATAACTTGACCATTAATAACATTTCGAAACATGTTTAACCGAACTTGGCTCAAAATCGTTTTTATTTAACGATGTTTTTTTTTTTATTATTCTATTTGGATACGTAGTTTATTACATACTACTGCACATTGCGCATTGCGTACAATGCGATTTGTAGGTATATAATAAAATAGAAAAAAAATACTATAATTATTATATTAGTGTGGGTCGCTATTCGTTGATAATAATAATATAGGTACTTATATTATTATTATCGATGAATAAAAAACGTATTTTCTGACGTGTAAATATTGTTATTGTGTAACTGATGTATCTTTTGTGAATATAAAATATTTTTGTACATTGTAAGCTTCATATAGCTCATCGTTAGCTTATGAGAACCACGATAGTCGACTAATAACAATACATTTTTGACCATTATTAGCTATCTAGTACAAGTATATTATAATACATAGTAGTCTCTCTCAGTAGCCAATGAAGAGGTGAATTATTAATCTCCTCCGGGCCCGACACGAACTCTTTTCATCCTTGTTGGTATTGTTATTCGTGTAAATAAGAGTTTACGTATTCTAACAGATAACCTACATAACCTACACGGCAATGTGCATGCAATATACCTAATAATGTGATCACGTCATAATAATATACCAATATGTTTCATAAATAACTAGGTAGATTTCAAATTGTATAACTATAACCGAAACAATTGTTGGACGATAATAGATATGTATAACTATAAATTATTAATTCTATGTTATATAACTTTACTTTATCATGACAATTTTATCGTTCCCTTTTTTTCCTCCTGTTTGATCATACAACAGTGATCAGTGATTTGTGAACATTACTACTAGGTAAAAAGAAATGTTCGTAGAAACTTGAAATTTTTACCAAAGACTCACATACATAAGCACTTTTTATACATAGTAAAATGTTCAAAATATTCTTGTAATTTTTTAGCTATAGTCATACGATATTTTCCAGCTTTTTTAGTTTTTATTAGGTTTAACGTTATACAATTGATTATAAATACTATATTGAGATTGCTCATTTGTCGATTTTTCAGTTGTGTAAAATATGTATAGGTATATCTATACATAACAAAATTAATCCACATGGTTATATAAAAACATTAAACTCGTTTGATAAATAAATACAAAAACACATACCTAATTAAAATAAGAATTTAGAGGTATTTCATTTAATAATCAAAATTCTTAATTTGTTGGTATTTTGTTTAAGAGTTCGTTAGAAGTAAGAACTGTCTTTAAACATTTTCATTCTTCATCTCCATTCTTTAGTTTCCTATACATAAAAGCTGTTTAATTTATTCATTATGTCTTCGATATGTTAAGACATCGAACTACGTCGACATTTAACATTCGTTTAATTATTCATGTATCACTTTTTTTGACTGAAAATATATTTGAAAATGCATTAAGACCAGTATTACATATGAATATTTATAAACTAGAAAGTTTTTTTAATCCCTTGTTGTATGCGGGGGGTGTATTTCAGGGGGGGGGGTAATTGTTCTCCATGTCTGAATACCCCCGATTTAGAAAAAAAAGTGAACCAATTTATTAGTATTTTATAGAAATCTCGGTTTAAAACGTGAACTACTAATTCGTACATGTACACGTGAATGAACAATTTGTATTCACGGACATAAATTGATCGTTATGTAGCATACATATAGGTAGTACAGTGCCAATATAAATAAGGGATGACCGGCCTTTACGTATATTGCCAATGTTAAGTTGATAAACTAATTATTCTATTTAACTATTTGTATTACTGTAATAATATTAATTTTAACAATATTTTAACTATTTGTATACGTTAGAAATTCGGTGTAATTTAATTCGGTGCTTTTATACTATAAAATAAAACGAGTAATAATATTATTATGTCATCTGCTGCTAATTCACTTGTCCCATTAGATTATAAGTACCATCCAGTCATATATATACGTTTGCCTGTTTCGTCCATCAATTATCGATCGAGAAGCAAGACAAATTTTTAGCTATTTTGCCATTAATTTAAAATGGCAAAAAAATTTAGATATTTTTTTAAATTTCAGTAGAAAATATGCTACGTTTGCTACGTTAATTTATTATCTCTTTTTAAACAAGTTTTGTCCTACATAATTAATAATCAAATTTGTCCCACATAATCATATTTTTTGAAAAAAAATTGTTCATATCCATTTTGTATTAATATTTGTATTATAATTTAATTTTAAATTCTTAGTGTAGCCAAGCATGTATTGATTTTACTAAAATGTTTATTTTTTTTTAATACTGTGTACAGAAATTCTACTATAAATCTTGCTCCGATAATTACCCGCAGTATCATTTCTGAAAGAAAATATTATCCAAATGGTACTTTTGGGAAATCATTTTTTGATTTTTCAAGATGTTTTCATAATATCTGGGAAAAACCAGGATAAAACGTAAGAAAAACGAGAAATTTACGAAAATAATGATTTTATTATTTTTCAATTTTGTTACTTGTTGTAATTCTGTTAACAATATTCGTAGACTTGAAATTTGGACAGAAAATTTATGTTTGACTTTTCTAAATGTAATAAAATTTTCAAAACATTTGAGCCATTTTTAGGCTATTTATAGTTATTTTAACTTCACGAGTTTTGTACGTGATTTTTATTCGGTAAGTATTCTATTATTCATGCTTATTATATACTATAATATAGTAAAAAAAAAATGGGTAAAAATCAAAAAAGGATGGCTGTTGAATGCATTTTCCTTATTACTGATTTATTATTATTTCTAATAGTTTTCCCATAACCTCGTCCGCCCGTTTAACCATAGACGACTGTATTATTGTACTTATTTGTATTTTAGAAATATTTGTTGTAACTGTTGTAAGCACACACTTGGGTGAGTATATAGTTCATTTTATCAGCAAGTATTCATTATAAGCAGGATTCAGGACTTAAAGCATTTACAGTCATCTAAATAAGTACTGAAAAAAGGATGTCCTAGAATAAAAGAGACTGGTGCAGCCACTATTACAGATAATTTAATGTATACCTGTAAGCAATGATAAACCATTGCTTATAAAAAAACGATTCTGAGCGGAGCTCAGTTAATAGTGATGTGATATGAAAATGTATATATATATATCATTTTTTAGTAAAATAATGAAATAGGCTTTATATATTTTCTTTAATAATATTTGTTTAATGTCATACCGATTTTCCCAATTTTCCTACGTTTTTCCCAGTTTTCCCTTGTTCTATCCCGGTTACATTTGCTAGGAAAATTCTTGAGAAAATCGAAAAACAATCTCTCTAAAGTATCTCCTAAGTGAAATTTTTTTTAGAAAAATTTCTAGTTTAAAATATTTAAAAGTTGAAGCAAAATTGCTGGCAGAAAAGTTATTCACAGAAAAAAAGAATGCCATAATGTATTTTAACTAATACCTTCAGTTTTTATATTTTCCCGTTTTTCAAATTTGATGAGGAAATTCTTGTGAATTTATTTATTTGTTTATTTTATCTCAGCAAATCAATACATTTCGTCGTTGTGATTTAATGAAATTTCGTCAATATACGTAATAACTATAAACAAATTTCATTTTTTTTTTACGAAGCTGCCTTCCTCGTAGCCGCCTATGATAATTATATTATTTCTTCTTATTTTTTTCATACTTGATTCATATTCATTTATTATTTAAGATTTTTTAATTTGAACGTCTTAACTTTACAGGAAAATTAAAGTGAAAAAACTCCACAAACGAAAATTCTGCGCATACCCTCAAAGATATATCCAATGTAGAAATTAAAAATCCAAAGATCCACTTACTAAATGCAAAGTGATAAGTAAAATTGTCTTGGACTTGCAGTCTTGCAGCAGATGACCGTTATGGCATGCCATTAGTAAGACCAAAACCAAGATTGAGCCTGTAAGTTCAATACCAAAACAAGACTCGACATGCAAGACCAAAGCAGGACCAATACTGCAAGACTCCTGCTATCTTTTTACAAAAGAATAATGGACGAGTACAAGTTCCTTTTTTGTAGTAAGAATGAGGAATTTCTCAGAAAAAAAATTTCTTTTTAAAAAGAACTTCCATAATACTGTTCAATTGCAATATAGTCGAAAACAAATGTTTTGCATGGCAACGCAAATTAATGAACAGTATATTTTATATGGTAACGATGCAACATCGTTCATTAAATATTGTTTTTTTACAAGATGTATGGAATTAGGCAGTTTAAAAAAAAAATCCATTTAAACATATCTTTGTATTATAATAAATAAATTATTATGTATTTTTTTGTTAAAATATGTTTGACACTCACCTCGCTGAGTATTGCTTTTTTATTTACAGTTGGTCAGCGAATATATTGTGATTATGGTAAAATTGAATATTTGTATAGAATAACTGTCATTATTTGACTTTCCTTTAGGTTTTCCTGTAGCGGTGGTTGAGAATAAAGAAGCAACCGATAAAGAGTTTAAAGGCCAATACGGTAATCGTAGTGAAGAAAACCGCGGCGTTGGAATTACCATGGCATACGAGCCAGCAGGCGACGGTCTTTTTAGAGACCCCCTAGAAGTTTTAGGTTTGAATAAATAATTTTTTTTTTTAACTTGCAGAAATTAATAAATATGCAAAAGACCATTTTGTAATATCGTTTCCGATTTCATTTTAAATACAGATTATCTTTGATTGTTACTAGAACTTTGCATGGATCCATACCCAGCAAGGTCTGTTGGTACATATTGTCGGGGTGGGACTTTTATTTTCCAAAAGAGTTTTTAAATAGGCTTCATTTTATAGTCTTTAATTTTAGTTTGCTTGGGCTTCATAAATAACAATGTAGAGCTATGTTAATGGGCTGGGCTTTCCAAAATCATTATCGTCCAAATTAAAAACAACTGCGAATTAACTATTTAGGTATTTTGTAATAAAAATACTAGTAAGTAATTAAACGTTTAATTACTTTATACATTTTATTAAATTATGATTACTGATAATCGTTTATATCTTCTTATTGGTCAGGACTATATTGATAACCAGACCCTCAACCATCTAACCCTATTAACTCAACCTCTGCTATTTTCTATCAATAATAATTTGGCCCCATTGCCTACACATCCCTTTTTTTAATTCTTTTAGCAATTCTCCTCTTTATAATTTTCCCTAATTTATCTTTCTTATAAGTGAACCATGGTTTACTGAATCTGCCTATATCCAGATTTCAGGCATTTCTTGCCCAAATCAACAGTCTTTTTTTTTATTTTCCTTCAGTATACCTGGTCGCTGGATACCAGTTATACAATCTCCTGCATTAGTTTGTCTGATCATTAAACTATGATCCATACATTTTCTGAGAACTTTTCGTTCAACTATATCATTTGCTCTTCGTTTTTTCTCAGAGGCTATATTCCTGTATAAAAGATAAATGGTATTAATAAGATTGAATACATCCATTTTTTTAAGTTTTTAGAGAGGATGAAGTTTGCTTTATTAGACATCTAATGATTACTCTTGATCTAAACATTTTTTTTAGTCCATAAAAACATTTATATGCTGACTTTAATCTCATCGGTATTTTTGGTCTTATGTTATTATCTTGTGTATTAATCCACCCTATAAGTATTATAACTGTTCTATTCTTTTAAACCTATATTCATCGACCCTAGATATTTTAATTGGTCTACTCTTTTAAACCCCTAACTTGAAGGACCAGGTATTAATATATTTACGTTATACAATATATATACGGTATGTGTTTAACAAATATCAAAAATAATATTATGTATACGGTAGTTGACTGTTTACCATACACGGCACACGTTAAATCATCATTCATATAAAATAAATACATACAATAATGGAATACATTTTCAAAGCGCATGTACACAGACATATTTCGGTTATTAACGTTAACGAGTATGCCTATATATTATTTATAAAGGACGTGGTGCAAAAACTTCCTGATCCCTGATGAAGTATTTTAATTTTAATTTCAATACAAACGGGATCTGACTCCTGATATTTTCGATTCACTAAAAATACTATTGAGAATTACTGTTTATAAATCGGTTGGCATAAAAAATACTTACTATTATTATGTGCACCGTAGGTCCCAAATTCCCAGCGTGCGTTGCGTTGAACACTTGTGAATTAGAACTACTGATGTCGTCCAATGAAATCAACAATGTAGTTTTCACAGAACGGGGCAAAAATACCTGTAAGGATGTTTGTCGCCAATACCACACCAATATAAGGTTGGAGGGAGCCCCAGAGGTCACGTTGACTGAAGCATATTGCGACTACACTGGAGTCATCGCTTTCCGGGACGATCAAGAGCCAGAGTTGAGTAGTGTGTGCACTTGTGCCTACATGGTGAGATGTAACAGGCGGACGCAGATAATTTCCTACCTATTTCAAGCGAACCCGGCGGGATTTCTTAAAGTTAAGATGACCGAAACGAGTGTACCTAAAGACATTACGTAAACAACCCGTCATTGTTTATATAGGTGGAATATTTTATTTTGAAAAGTTAACACAGTACATTCTTAATTTATTAAGTTACATGAATAAGTAATTTGGGTAAAATTTGGAAGGTCTCACTCAACCCTTTCTGGTGCCGCATTAGGGTTGAAATATGACAAAACAGGGTAGTTTTCTTATTATTTTATTCAGAAACTTTCGCTGATAATGCAAAAATGTAAGAACCTTAATGATATATTTCGATATCGTCTATAAAAGAGAATTCCACAAAAATTATCGTAAGTTCATTTATATTTTTAAAAAAATGACAAAGTACCAAAACATTGTATTTATTTCTTGGCATTGATTTTTGTTCGGTTAGTTGAATACATAGAATGTCCGTTTGGATAAATGATATATCCAATTTATGTAATAATTAATCATCCGAAAAAACCATTTACAATAATTGTACAATTAATAACTATAATAAATTACGACAATATTATTGTCAGTTTTTGTAATAAAATTATTTATTATATATTTAATTTTTTGGTTACCCATATAATCATTTAATATTGCCAATCGTTATATTATGGTTCTCGTTTGGACAAAATTTGTTTGACCATTTACGATATTATCGTTTATATTTTAATACAGGGTAAGTCCACGTACTTTTACGTTTATTTTTGTAATAATCCATCTAATGTTATACATTATATTAATTTATTGCTAGTTAACAAAGGTGGCCATTACTAGAAAAGTCCAAGCGTTCTAGTTAGATACTATATTTTCTAACACGGGGAGATTGAATGGGGCTTGCACAATCTTAGAACCAAGTCCAGAAAGAAAAATTTTAGTTTTGACGTGTCGACATCACATTATTGAATTTGTGTTACAAGATGTATTTTTAGAAGTAAAATTATATCCTAATATTGGACCAGATATATATTTTTTTTAAAAGATTTCAACATGCATAGGAAAAAATTGATACAAGTAAATTATCAACCTAGGTTTTTGATTTTTACGTTTATAGTATTTAAAAAAACGATGCTAATGAGATTATTGTACATGCAAAAAAATTGCTGAAAAATTTCTTCCAGATGATTACCAAGAATTTTTAGAACTTGTTATCATATTTTTATGCGGAATTCCACCTAGAGAAATTGCTTTAAGACAACCTGGTACATATTATTTAGCCAGATGGATGGCTAAGGACATATATTTTTTAAAATTGTATATACTTAAAAATTAATTTAAGTTAAATATTAAAGAAGAAAAAGCTTAAAAGGAATTTGTTGTTTTATAATTGAATGTTAGGTACAAGCTTGGTTTTCATCTCCCAATCAAGAGTGTGTAACATTTTCGATATTTGACGATGGTGTAAATAACCACACAAAACGCAACAGGCTGAGAAAATTGTATGCACATAAAATTTTAGCATAAACGAAAACTAGGAAGAGAAAGGCTTAAAAAAAAAATAACACTTAAGTTAGAAGATGTTGCAGATTTTATTCAACAAGATTTTATATTTAATTTAATAAATTATAAATCAAGTTCAAGAAGAAGTTCAAGGAAAGTTCAAGAGGTTTAATAATTTTAAAAAGTTTTTGTCTATTGATCTGGCTCTTTGGGATAATCAAGATGACTACAAAATTGGAAAACAAATTATAAATCATTGAAATTCCTAAATGACATAGTTGAGAGAGGATCAAGCTAATAGAAAAATATTATCACATATTTACGAAAGACGAAAAACAAAACAATTCGTATTACAGGTAAATAATTTAACTATAATTAACTAAAACCAATTTTAATAATGTCATCGTTTCTTCTAGACCATTCAAGACTATCGGAAGAAATATCCAAAATATAATAGCCAAACGCTCTCTTATAAGTCTCTAGAGTACACTTCCAATATTCATAATAATTTCAGGGATAGGATTTCTAACAGGAGTCTAAAAGGATTGTATTCAAAGGATCATCCTTCTTGTGTATGGAACAGATAATAAAATAATAAAGTAAAAAAAAAAATAATTAAAATGGTTGATACTCGTAAATAAATATATAAATAAAAAATGTATATACTAAAATGAAAAATAAATAAATTAATGAATGTGTCACCTAGAGTATTATGATAAGTGTATTATACGATAAATGTCTATCTTTATATCTATATATATAGCTTCTTATTTGCCTAATACTATATCTGTATCTTTTATACAAGTATATGGTCAATTTAGTCCTTATTTATTCTTTATGGGGATACCCAGGTTTGTTTGTACATTTCTTTACGTTGAAAGTGGGTACTATTAACTTGGTCCGTCATTATTTATGCATTTATGCTTTATTTATGCATATTTTCCTTTCCTATAGTATACCTAAAAATATGTTCACGCCCTACTTGGGCATTTTGATCTCCAATTATGTAATTTCTGGGTATCATGTTGTATACTTTTTCTAGATTATCGTAGAAAGAGTCTTTATAATCATTGTCTGCCATTTCGGTTGGTGCATAACAATTGATTATTGCTATATTAAAAGGTTTTCCTAACTATTATTAAATAACATGATTGATCAATTACCCTATGATGAGTAAAAAATAATATACTTACAATAATTGTTGTGAAATTCTCTTATATAGACGATATTATAATTATTATTTGACGGCAAACGGTTATTTTTAATCAAAAAGTATCTATATATATATATATATATATAAAAAAAAATTATATTAAATTATAAAATAAATACAATAAAAAAAAAAAAAGAACCGATACTGGGGACGGATGCAACCGCTATTGTAGATGGGAAAATTAGAAGGTAGGATACATAGGGTTATTTCATTTTTATCTGTAAGCAACGATAAACAACTGCTTGACGAAAGATGACATAATTTTTGCTATTTTTGTTTAAATTTGATTTCAAAACGCTTATTAAAAAAAAAATTCCAATGATTCTGGAAATTTGACCACGTCTAGGTAAGTCTAATATAAGTATTATTACGAAGTTTCAAGTCTGTACGTGTATTTATAACCGAATTACAGCAAAAACTTCCCAAAAATTAAAATTCCTTAAAAGTTTAAAAGTTGCTCAAAAGTTATAGCGATGATACCGTGAGAAAGTAAATCAAAAAGGCAACAAAAACGGTATTTTGTGATTTTTTGATTAAATCTTTTTTGCTGGTAAAAAACGTCGTCCGTGTTTTTATAAAATAATGAAATCGTGAAATTGTACGTATTCCCAAGTTTTTTCTCCATTTATGTGCTTTTATTTAAAAAATGGCATCAAAAATAAAAAAATGACTTCTTTAAAGTACAATATAAACAACTTGAGCTTTGAGAAAAGGTACTACACATAAATATCCAAGTAAGTTTACTAGGAAAAAACGTGTTCACAGACTAGAACAAAGAAAAAAAAGAAATAAACATTTTAGTAAAACAAATACCTCCTTCGCTACTCTCGGAATCTAAAATCACCATAACTAGCGAACGGATAACCACAAACAAATTGTAGCTGTAAAATTATACTAGTTATACTCTATTCTATTTATTATGGTAATCAAATAATTATTGATTTTGTTGAGTTAGATGGTCCTTTAATATGATTATGGCTTTATGCATTGTTCTGAATTATTAGCTCAATTTGACTTTTTAGTCACTGTATGATGTACTAGACAATCAAATACCTTTGACGTACCATTTTGTCGTGTTAATTATTCTCAAAATTGTTCAATAAAATAATATTGTGTTTTGTAAATAAATTTAATGTCGACTTATTCTGTAGAACGATTCTGGGACGTAAATCATTGCAGATATAGATGATTTTATCGAAAATGTTACAATTGTATCCAGTCCTCCCTACCTATTTTTGTGCTCTCCCGGTTATTCCATATTTTTTTCTCCGATTTTTCCCACTTATTGGGAAAACTTTTGTGAAAATTAAATAATAATCTCCTAAAGTATCTCCACGGTAGATTTCCTTTAAAACAGAATGCCTTTATTTTAAACCGGAGCAAAATGTCTGGTAGAAAAGTTGTTCATTGATTAAAAAAAAAAAAAACATCCTTATAAAACCATATGCTCCTTCGCTCCACTCAGAATCTTTTACGAATTCATTTGGTAGTATCTACCGACACTAGAGGCCCACTTATAATACGAAGTATGTACGTCCTTTTTTTTTAGATTCCGAACGAAACGAGGGAGCTATTGGTTTTACAATGCTGTTTGTTTCTTCTTTGTTCCTTGTTCTAGTTTATGGACACATTTTTTCCTAGTAAACTTACTCGGATTTTTACGTGTAGTATCTTTTATGAAAGCTCAAGTTGTCTAGATGGTACTTTAGATAGGTCATTGTTTTTTGACGACATTTTTTAAATAAAAGCATTCAAGCGGAAAAATCGTAAGAAAACTTACAATTTCACGATTACATTATTATTTTATAAAAACACGGACGACGAAAATCAAATTAAATAGTTAACAGTTAAGTAATCCTATTTCCCAGTTCTATTCAATATTTAAAAAAAAATATATATTTTAGATTCCGAGTGGAGCAAAAAAGCATATGATTTTACAAAGATGTTTATTTATTTTTTTATATCTGTGGACAAATTTTCTACCTGCAATTTTGTTCTAATTTTTATTAATGATAGCAATATTTCTGTAAGAAAATTTCACTAGGGAGGTATTTTAAAGATGTCATTTTTCGATTTTCTCAGGAGTTTTCTTATAAAATGAAAAATCGAAAAAAAACGGGAATATATAAGAAATATAGATATTAGTTAAAATACGGGGTGATCAACGTATCATTAGACATATATAATCTAGGAAAGTAATAACTTTTTCCGGAATTAATTTTCTAGAACATTTAAGAAACAAGCTGCTTTACAATTTTGAATGTATGTAATTTTTTATCACCCTTACTTTTAGGGGAATAACCACTTCCTACTTTGGTATTCAAAAGGCAACCTGTATTATAAATTCCATAAAAAGATGAAGTATTAATTAAAATAAATTTGAGTGTCGAAATTTTCGATTTTCATAGATCCGTTGACGAGATATTCCACTTTTAAGTTTAGGTTGGAGTATTGTAGTGGTGTATTGGACATGTTTAATATAAGTTGCCATTTTAAAATCAAAAGTAGATAGTGGTTTTACCCCCAAAAATAAGGGTGACAAAAAATAACATCCATATAAAATTGTAGAACAGCTTGTTTCTTAAATATTCTATAAAACGAATTTCTGAAAAAGTTAATAATTTTCGAGATAACCAGTGTTTTACAGTAGATCGATCACTGTATATTACGGCCTTGTTTTTTCTGTGAACATCTTTTCTATCAACTTTGCTTCAAATTTTAATGGTAGGAAATTTTTGTAAATCTCACTATGGAGATACTTTAGAGAGGTAATTTTTTTATTTTCTCAAGAATTTTCCCAGAAAATGTAATAAACCGAGATAAAACAAGGAAAAACCGGGAAAAACGTAGGGAAATTGGGAAAATCGGTACAACATTAAACAAATTATGTTAAAGAAAATATATAAAGTCTATTTAATTATTTTACTATAAAATGACATATATATATATTGTCGACAAAACATCCGCTCAGAATCGTTTTTCGTAAGCAACGGTTTATCGTTGCTTACAGGTATACATTAAATTATTTATACCAGTGGTCGTCTCTGCACCCATCTCCATAATCCTAGGACGTCTTTTTTTTTTTAAATAATTAATTAATGCCTCTGCGCTACAGTTTATACATGTATAATTTTCTTTAAGAGGGGGGCTTAAAATAAAAAGTGAAAAATTTTACTTTAATTTTTTTTAAAAAATTAAAAATAGATTTTTAGAAAATGTTTGGTAGTTAAAACTTTTGTTAAAGTATGGTCTTCTATTTTCTACGATTTTTTTAAAAACTTGAATAATTTAAAAAAATTGTATTATCTTTTCCCTCTCACTGTTTACACAAACTTCAGCTCCTTGATAGATCTGTATTTGACCTACATGAAAAATTAATAAATCAAGATATGGATTTTTACATGAAGGAAAATGATTTTTAGTATACCAGTTGTCTTCAGTTACCACCAACGCTCTTATAAATGCTGCTACTCCTAAACATATAGTTAACGATTTGTCAGTGTTTGGATTATGGCCATTCAATAGAAATGCCTTTATTGATGATGAATATGCTGCAGCAGTTGTTACAGATATTGTTTTAATTTTTGATGGTCATACAACTGATAATGAAGTATCTAGTTCTACAGAAAATATAGAAACGGTTGTAGCAGAAAAACCAGAACAAGGAACTGTTGAGGACCTGAAATCATTAGACCTTATCCAAAAACTAAACCCAACTTAAAAATCTCAAAAGCGGAAGAAAAAAGGGGAAAGCTACAAATCTAATACACACCGGAAAAATATAAAATCGCACCGAGCCGTTAAAAAAAACAAAAATACTAAACGTAAATTATTTGATATAATTGATAAAAAGAAAAAACAAAAAAACAAAAATACAAAAGAAAAGTACAGAAGATTAGGACACCCTATGATTTGCTCGGAGTTATATTCAAATAGTAGAAGTGGGATAACTTTGATTCAGTGTTTTAGATGCAAGTATTGGTTTCATGAACCTTGTACCAAATCTATTTTGACTGCTTATTTTATATGTGACAATTATAAGACTGGATGATGAAAGAAAATGTGATATTCGTTTACTATTTGTGAAATCATTAAATATAATATAATTATAATTTTTTTTTACCAAAGTTTAGATTGAAATGCGGTGGATTTCCCAGGTTGTTATTTTCATTGAACACGTGTCATATCACCGTAATAGGTATCTACCAATAAAAATAGCCTACTGCTAACCTACAGCTATTATTTATTACACAAAAGTTGGTATTTTGTTGATATTATTTTATTTAAAATACTTTTGTAAGTACTTATTTTATACTTTTATATCAATCATTCCATTTTATTGGTATGTTATGAATAGGGTGCGGATTTGTATGTATTTACATATTTGTCGCGAATGATTCCTTTGTAGAAATATGTTACAGGACTATCTGATTATTTTAAGCTATGGTTGATACTACATATTTTTACATATTTGATATTAATTACATATTTTTAAATAATTTATTTATATTATATATATTTTTGTTAAATATTCAGCTATTTACAAAATTAGTACTTTATCGTCCTTTTATATTATGTGTTATCTTCTACAGTTCGTGTGCTAATGATAGTCGCGAGTAGTGACTCTCCATAGTTCACATTAATTTAAGACCGTGGTTCACATCATAAACTATTTATGTGATCGTTATTGGCTTATCGCATATTATTGTATTTCGTCGAAAATATGTTGCAATGCTGTACGCGTTTCGATAAAAGTATAGGTATTTCATTTTGTTATTTGTTGTTTACTCGTTAGAGAGGTGTCCATGTATCCTCTTGTTTTTCGTATTTGTTGAGCTTTTTTAGTTTTAAATTATATCACTGTGTTTAAATGAAAATGCCGAAAGTTGCTCCTAAAAAAAGAGACCTCGTAATGAGGTACGTGTGAGATTTTCCGGACGAAATGTTTCGTAGAGATTCGAATATTTTGTACTGTGATGCATGTGATAAAGCCGTATCAACTTCTCAGCGCTTTCAAGTTACACAACACATAGAAACTGCAATTCATAAAGAAAATAAACAGCGAAAGACAACAAAAGTATAAGAGTTTATTACCTTGTGCACTTCACCGTCCAATAAATCAACTTTTAATAGTGACTTATGCACAGCTTTAATTAAAGCAGATATACCATTGCGAAAACTCGATAATATTAATTTTTGTCAATTTCATGAAAAATGCATAAGTAGTAAAATAATATTAGAAAAAATATTTCTAGTGGACCAATCTGGATTTCCATGGATGAAACAATCGATGTAGAAGGAAGGTACGTAGGAAATATAAAAGTTGGTAAATTGAATTCAGATTTTGCTTCAAAGCCTATTTATTAAATACTGAAGTTCTTGAAAAATTTAACTACTCAATAGTTGCTCGTTTTGTCAACGATTCTTTGGGTATTCTCTGGCCAAATAGTATTTTACATGAAAGAGTACTCTTATTTATATCAGACGCAGCCCCCTATATTGTGAAAGCTGGAAATGTTTTACATGTATTTTATCCTAAAATAATTCATGTGACCTGTCTTGCACACGCTTTCCATCGTGTCGCAGAAACAATTAGATCAGAATTTTCCGAAGTTGATTTTTTGATATCAACTGTAAAAAAAAATTTCCTTAAAGCACCCAGTCGCGTAAATTTATTTAAAGAAAATTACCCTCATACACCTCTTCCCCCAGAGCCAGTGATAACTCGCTGGAGTACTTGGTTAGAAGCTGCTGCATATTATTGCGACAATTTTAGTGTCATTGAAGATGTGATTTCAAAACTTGAAATAGATGCTGTTTCAGTAGAAAATGCGACAAATTTAATTAAAAGTACCTCATCGAAAAATAATATAGTGTAAATATCCTCCAATACTACATTCCTTGCCAATTCTATTACGAAACTTGAAGCTTAAAACTTGTCTGGCTGATAGCCTAGGTATTGTCTCTAATATCGTCAAAAAATTGAAAGAAGCCCCTGGGGAGGTCGGAATAAAAATCAAAAAAAAGTTGAACAACTACTTAGTAAAAACCCAGGTTTAAAGACACTTGAAGCTTTTGCAAACATTCACAACGGCAGCGATACGCAAACTTATTTCAGGGATTTTGTAAAGTTCAAAATATACAGCTCATTATACAAGATAAACAAATCGTTTTTTTTGGTTTATAAATAACTGTAACGTTTTAATAGTTCATGATTCAAAAAGCATATATGACATTCCCTCCAAAATATTGTTCTCTATACATTTCTTAGTAAGTACTTTTACTCCAAAATCAAAATTAAGCTAGTTTTACTTATTTAGCATAAGCATTTTTATTGATGCGGGTATCTTTAGAATCCATATTTCGTAATATCATAGAATATTATAATAAGCAAATCAACAAAGAATTAATACTACAGTATTTGCTATAAAGTATTAAACAATAGTATAATTATATTATATTATTTAACTATAATAATAATTATAACTATGGTATAATATAATTGATGTCATTATATCAATTGTATAAATATTCTATTATCACAGCCATATATTCATTTTAATAACTCTGTATTACTATTGGTGGATGCCAAAATTCTTTGCTGCTAGGAAGCTCTCGTATGCACATATGGTAGTTGGGATAACAGGATAGTATCGGGTTTATTATAAGTTGAATGTATAATAGTAAAGAAAATTGAACGTAGTATAGTAGTAGTAGTAGTTTTTTTTTTTTTATAAGCCTTCTAAGATCAAATTCTGACAAAAATCATAACTATAGTTTATCGTTACTATATTTTTTTCTAAATTTGTGATTTCAAAAAACTTTGTCCATCGATATTTTTTATAGTTCGGGGATTATTTTTACTCAGAAAGAATACACGATTTTTGTAACATAATACACCGATAATACTATAGCTCGCATTCGACTGTTCGTTTGAAATATACCTACCTATATTATTATAGCGTCTTATAATTCACTGTGGAAAAAAAAAAATATTTCCAATCGAACACGGGTGTTTTTTCCTCTTTTTATTTTTTTTACATCTGCAAAACACGTCCGCTTCGAATTTCCACCGTACAAAGTAACATTAATGAATAAACGGCCGGCGGCACGGTGGTGGTGAACGCATTATTTCATTGTTGTAGAAATGGTGTTCCGGGTGACAAGAGCATTGTCAGAAAACGTATTATATTATTATACCGCGCGTAGCGTAGTGTGTGTAGTGTATATACGGTGTGGGGTAAAAACTGTAAATTTAATACTTTCCCATAGAAAAAAAAAAAAAAAAATGAAACAAACTGCGGAGCGAATAATAATGTATGTTATAGTAAAATATATATGAAAAAAAAAATAGCAATTCACTAGCAGAACCGGAACGCGGAAACGGCCCGGGCGAATCTGTCGAATCTCAATTGTGACAATGGGATGCGGATCCCGGTTATATTGCGACGACGACAATAGGGTTAAAAGGGGTTCCGACAAAACTACAGCTTTTGTGTAACGGTTGTATATATATATATATATATATATATACAGTTTGTATAGGTTCCGCCGAAATAACGGTCAGCAGCAGGTGAGACGTTAACGAACACGACAAAAAAAGGGGGCAGGGGATTATAAAAAAAAAAAAATTAGGACCTCGGTGAAAGAGAAAATCGAAGGGAAACAATTCAATAATGTGTGTGCCGCGCTTTTTTGTTTACAAAAAAAAAAAAACTACCAATAACCTATATATTATAGGAGAGGGGTAAGGCGTCGGGATGTTGCCGGAGCGCTATTATATTATATATGAACAATCCGGAATCATTATTAGAGTGTAAAATGTTTATAAAAAATTTTAAAAGGGGGTATAGAGCTGCACACCACCTGGAAGTAGTCGGAAAACGATTTCACTATACGAATGAACGCGGAAGTGTCATCGAATCCATAATATTATTTTTATCAGGTTTTTTGCCTCGATTTTTTACTATAACACTTTTAATACTTGTCAAAGTTTTTTTTTTCTGAAATCCATAATGTGCGCTTACAACTTTTATTAATACAGTGTGTAATCGTTATTTAGAAACACTATAAGTCTGCACAAATTTAATGTATTTGAATTCTGCTTTTTTGGTTGCCTAGCAAACATTTTTATATACTTATTAACCTATTTTTATGACATTTAATTTCATACATACATATAACAACTTTTTTTTTTAAATAACAACACCCCACTTTTTTTGGCTATTATTTTTATTCTTATTTGTTTTATGAATTTTAATGGTCTAACGAACTTCCTATGTTAAACAATTGCCGAGTTTTGGATATTTAAATGTTTGATATTAATTCTAATTGTTTTTTGGATATTTTTATATTATTCAATTATTTACAAATTTTTTTAGATTTACAAATAATGTTCAAACATATTAATTTTATTTATATTATTAGATATTTTAAAATAGTTAATAAATTATAGGTACGGGTTTGTGTAATGTAATTATCGTGAGGCATTATTTGAACAAAAACATTGATAATCGTTGGATAGGAACTAATGGAATAATGAAATGGCTACCTCAATATTAGGATCTTACACCATTATACTTCTTTTTAAGAGGACATCTAAAAACTATCTAAAAAACCTAACATCCACGTAGCATACAAACTTTTATTGAACCATTAATTGATGTTTAAAATTATAATGTTCATAGTTGTATAAAGTTAAATTTTGATTGAAATACAATCACTTTAATGTTAAATAAACCTTGCATAAAAGTAATTTGAATGGAAAACGTAGATTTAATTAAAACTTATGTATTGATATTAAATGATCATTTTTCCAAGAGTTTATTTTTGATTGATTCAAATAATCAATCTAAAAATAACCATTGTTCAATGCAATCATTACATTTAATTAATATTAACTACAGATTTATTTTAACGTTTATGTAATGTTGTATATTCGTAGAAACTTGAAATTTGGATAAAACATTTATATTTACCTTTTATAGACGTGATAAAATTTTCAAAAAATTTAAACAATTTTTGAGTTATATAAAGACATTTTAATTTCGTGAGTTTTGTACGTGATTTTTATTCAGTAGGTATTCTGTGGTAAAATTGTTAACATAAATGCTTGAAAATTTAATAGGAGGCTTAATATAAGTCTTAAATTGTAGTAAAATAAAAAATTGAGGTTAATGTAGTATTTTTTTTACATAGGAATTTTAATAGCAAATCTTGACGAAAATCGTTAAATAAAAAATTATGTGGAATAAATCTAATTTTTCAATTTTTTGTTTTGAACATATTGATGCTCTCAATAAAGAGAGAAGTAACTCACTTTTTTTCATTTTTAAATTTATCCGCTAATTTTGTTACGTTTTTTTCTTCTTTTCCCACGAAAAAGGCAATAAGGACATAATTCAAGTTACATTTTATTCAATTTTTTTTTCCATCGAAAAAGAACGTAAGTCATATAAAAAATCAAAATATGACTTAAGATCAGTTACAGGAAGACATTTTTAAAAAACCAAAACAATTTCCCATCTAACACTAAAATATAGAAAAATATTAAAAAGAGCAAAATATTAAAAAATTAAATTGCACAATAAGAATTTAATTTAAAAATCTTTAAACTGCTTTCCTGCAAAATCACAAAAAGTGAGTTACTTCCCTCTTGGGAGCGTCGATTATAGTAAAAATTGAGCGGACTGACTTAGGTTCGAAATTATAGCTTTTTGAAGTTCTGATATGATTCGGATATTATATGTTATGTTAAATAAGTAAATCTCAATATATTTGTCGTAGTTTAATCGTAATACATGTCTATTGGCATCTTATGGTTCATAAGTTTAAACTCGGGTTTCGAAACAAAATATTTGCATTTTTTCCCCCTATTATCTAAACAAGGAAAATAACAAATACATTGAAAGAGTACCTAGAGACCAAGCCATCGCTCGCTCGGACTATTTTAATCGTAAAATACCTCTCGATTTGTTGTGCAAACTTTTCTACCAGAAATCTTGCTCTGATGTATCAAGTGTAGCTTATTTTCTGAAAGTAAATTTTAACTACATAGTAATTTTTTGATTTTTCATAATAATATTTTTGATAACCTTTTTTTATATCTGCTATAAACTAGGATGAAAGGTCGGAAAAAAGGAAAATGTACGAAATGTGGGTAAGTATTGTAAACAAATATTATGGACTTTTTTTTTCTGTGTACTTTTCTACCAGCAATTTCGCTCAAAATTATATTTATAGCACTATTTCTGAGAGGAAACCTAACTAGGAAGGTACTTTAGGGCGGTAGTTTTTCGATTTTCTCAAGAGAGTTATCCTAGCTAATGTAAAAATCGGGAAAAACATGGGAAAACCAAGAAAAACGTAGGAAAACTGGGAAAATTGGTATAAAATTAAACAAATATTAAAGAAAACACAAAGAGCTTATTTAATAATTTGACTATTATATATATTGTTGAAAAAGTATCACTACCATTAACTGAATTTTGCTCAGAATCGTTTTTCGTAAACAATGGTTTATATCGTTGCATACAGATATACATTAAATTACCTATAACAGTGGCTGCACCCGTCCCTATTTTTCGATTTTCTCATAAACATGAATATGAATAATTGAAAAAAAAAACGGGATTATGTACGAAATATATTACTAAAATACTACTACTTTTTATTCATGTCCACAACTTTTCAATCGGCAATTTTGCTCCAAATTTTAAAGATAGCAATATTTTTAAAAGGAAATTTCACTAGGGAAGTAATTTAAAGAGGTAATTTTTAAATTTTCTCGTGAGTTTTCCTAGCAAATGTATTCACATAATAACCAGGATAAAACATGGGAAAACCGGGAAAAATGTAGGGAAACCGTGAAATGGAAAAATCGGTATAATATCAAAGAAATATTATTAAAGAAAATATATAGAGCCTATTTAATTATTTTACTATAATATGGCATATACATATTGTTGACAAAGCATTACTATCAACTGAATTCCGCAAAGATATATATATATATAAATATTAAAATTCTTATATATAAAAAAAAAAAAAAAACTGATATTGGAGATGGGTGTAATCGCTATTGTAGGTGAGAAGATTAGAAGGTAGGATACATAGGGTTATTTTATTTATATCTATAAGCAACGATTAACTATTGCTGACGAAAGACGATTCCAAGCGCAGTTCGGTAAATACATAATTTGAAGTGCCGTAATTTTTTACTTAATCGTCAAAACACAACTTTACTATAAATAATTGCGGTTATCATTTTTATCAACAACAGTATAATTATTAAGCTGACAGAACATTTCTCCGATTATAAATTACAATTATAGCTGAAATTATCAACATTTTGTCAAATATTTGGTATGCATACTTTACTGGTGCAATTTAAACAACGAAATGTGAGCTTTCCGTTCATTTTTCAAGTCACTACATATATTTTTAATTGAATTACAACAACTTCGTCTTCTTCTGGTTTTTCTGAATCATTATGAAATCAAAAAGCGACTTACGCCATGAGAAACAAGATGTATAATAAAACAATAAAGGTTTTTTGTCATTTTTCGATTAAAGCACTTTTCCTAATAATAAATAATTTCCGTATTAATGTAAAATAATGATATCATGAAATTGTATATTTTTCCTAAGTTTTCTCCCGATCATTATGAAAACTAATTAAAAAATTAAAAAAAACGAACTTCATCATTAAAAACAAGATTAATAATTTACCAAAAAGGTCTGTTGTCGTTATTCAATTGGAACTATGTTTGTGCTAGAAAACGCGGTAGGTACTTATTTAAAATTACAAAATCGAGAAAAATCGTTTTTTTCCCCCGAAATTCGTTTTTTTTTTAATCACCGTTTCAAAAATCAAAAAATGTCTATGAATTTTCCAAGTAGATACAATTAACTTTCAAAAAAAGTGTTATACTTAAGGCTCCACCACACGAAGTTACTCGGCAGCGCTGCTATCGGAAAAATACAAACGCATACGGATGGTTTCACACACAACCACAGCTATTGATTAGAAGCGCTACAGACGGTGAGAGTGGCTGACTTCACCGCAGAACGTCGCGTCTAAAAGTCGCGTTTCTCGTAACAGAACGTATTTTTAGATTGGGCGTTTCACACGCGACTGCAATCGCACGACTATTTTTTTATGTTATCCGTCAAAACAAGTTTCTACAAATTATTCTCATTAGTGAATTTTTCTTCGCATGTTATAAATTCAGACCTGAAACATTTTTAATGATTACTTATTACTAATTTTATTATATTTGGTGGAAGAAAAGATTATAATGAACGCACCTATAAAATTTAAAGTTTGTTAAAGTTTGTCCAGAATTCCATCCTTAGTTCCGATTTTATATAGAACTGTGTTCTGTTTTTTTTTCAACACTACTCCGATGAGATTGGAAAGATCTGTTTTGCCTTTATCAATATCAGGAATGGAAATTACTACGTTGATACTATCATCAATCGTGGGAAATTTTTCGTCACATCGAGCCATTATTATGAAAAAAATATTTTGAAATTTAAGTAATTTTAAGTAAATTTAAAAATAAATATATGCAAAACTTTGTTAATATGTTTCCAACATATTTATTTATTATTTATAATTTTAAAAAAAAAAATGTACAATTTCATGTATTTAACACTATTATTATATGACATATGCAGGACAATGCATCAAAAAAGAGTACTGTCCAACGAAAAATAGTACGTCTGATTACCACATCTATACTGTACTGGGAAGATAATAATCTGAACGAATCACACGACAGCGAGTGACAATACAGTATATTATTAAATAACTAGCTGCCCGTCATGCAAAAATTCTTATGACTTATTAGGGTAATTTACTGTTTTGTTTCAAGCATATGTAATTAAATCCTATAATATTTGAACATATTAAATATGCAATTTTATTATATACTTATTAGAATATATTATGCAAGTAATTACTTGAAAGTGTATATTTTACAATTATGGGTATTCGTAGAAATTTGCCACTGACAAATTTAACTTAACAATTCACAGGTCAAATTCTTTTACATCAATATATCGTTTACAAACTACAAATACTGGGATAGTCTTGTCTGTTCTTTTACTGATTTGTGATTAATAATGTTTATAATTATTTATTGTCCATTTATATAATTATTATAATTCATATAATGGATTATTACACTACATACTTTTGATACTTTAAAATAAACTACCTACTATAAATAATTGTCTAAATAATAAATAACACATTTTATAATTAGGAATAATATTTATATTAATACAATTTTATTATATGGTTACAGTTTTACTTCAATACGTATTTATTTTGTTTTGTTTTTTGTTCGTGTATTTATATGAATACTTTTAAACATTGAAAATAAACATGATTATATTATCTTAATTTTTTAAATTTTTATTGCAAGTCATTTTTTGGAAAATTGTTAAAACCCAATCTAAGCATGTTACATATGCATCTAATAGAGAATACTAAATATAACACATTTCTTAAATTAACACACATAGTAGGTATTAAGTATTTATAAGCATAGTGTTTAATTATCAATAAGTTTGTAAATATACAATAATTGTATATCTACAAAATCTTTTATGTAATTATTACATAAAAGGAAAAAATAATAGTATTTAATAATAAATTGTAAATAATAGTTAGCTATTTGAAGTTAATTTTTTTATTAACGTTTTTTCATGTTGCAGCCTGTACTTTTTATATCGGAGCTCTAATTTTTCATTATTAATTAAATTTAGTACATGTATTTTCTGTGACACCTGGAGCATCTAGAAAAAAATAAACCACAATTTTGGGAATTAATATTATCCGAAAGAAAAAAAAACGAAATTGATTATTGACGTTTAATTGGGGAAATCGAACCAGCGACCAGTCAACCTTAAGTGTTTCCTAACCTAACGCCTAACCTATCAAACTTCCTACCCATCATTGGAAAACAGTATCGTTTTATAGTATAGAAACCGACAATAATACCATTATTATTATTCTTAATAGAGATTCCCCGTCGGCTGGATCGACACAATAATAATAAAATAGATAAAAGAATTCCATCGAAAACAGTTGTGTGGAAAACGATTAAACGCGCGAGAAAAACAACGTTATCGGAAATCTCATTAGTGTGAAGGAGAGGTCCCTTCGTCTGCATACTTGAGTTAGAATCGTATAGATAATATGTCATTGGCATACGATAATATTATACAGATTACAAAGGTAGATAAATATTGAACAGACGGACCGACCGAAGGTTTACGCAGTAACACGATTTTACGCAGCGCGTTAATATTTTATTATTAATACCTATTATACTCGTACTCCGGTAGTTTTTATTATTTCTTACACCTAGCTTGGTATATAGGTACGCTTGTATTTTATTTTTCGGCAATTTTTCACTTCTATTGTATTCCTCCCCCGTTTATACATACCTATATTGTTATAATCTATAGGTATTATATCACAGCGTTTTTGAAGGAACCTACTACCACACCACACTGCACCGCAACTAAACTTCTCCACCAACCACTGTCCACACGGTAACGTGACACACACATTTACCTATATGATATACATATATACACGTATTTTTTTTCTTATTATTATTAGTAAACGTCCGTAGCAGTAGTAATAGACGTGGCTACAGTATATCGTTTTTTTGATGTACCTACTTGTATTATGTGTGTGTGTGTGTGTCAAACACAGTGTTACGAACATAGTTGAGTGTTATCCGGTCTCGGTACCTGGTATAATATTTTTTTATACGAACCGCGAGCGTGAGACAATCGACTACGACAGTGCGTATCGAATCGCCAAAATCAACGCCGCCACGGTTCGTTTTTATACCTATATATACGTCTTTCCTACACCACACACACACACACACACACATTTTTATATTTACAAGTTATAATAATGTATAGGTTCAACGATCTACGGGCACGGTTATTATTTTTTGTATTTTTTTTTGTTCCACTCTTTTGTCGACATCTCTGGCTCTCTTCGGTCTCGGCCGTGTAAAATATAATATATATAATATTGGTATCTAAATACAGAGACTGTTTGGATTTTGCAGATACCGCGGAAGCTGCACACGCGCGGAAATTTTCAAATAAGACTCTTGTGTTTTATTTTTATTATTATTTTATTTTTAATCATTTCGTTTTTTTTCCTCAGAGTGTATAATGTATACTACCTCGATTTTTTTAGAATCACAGTGAATCAAGGGATCTATTGGTTTTACTATAATGTGTATTTTCTTTTGGTTTGTAACCAACTTTTCTCCTAGAAATCTTGCTCCAATCAATAAAAAAGAGAACTGTTTTGTTGTATTTTGACTTCAGACGGTATTTTAAAAAAGACATTATTTTAAATTCGTATTAATATTCGAGATAATGAGGAAAAATTGGTTTTTTTGGTTAAAAAGATTAAAAGATTAAAATTAAAGTTGTCATTTGCAACCGTTTTCATTTATTTATTGTAATAATTAAGTTTTTATTATTTTAATCTTTTAACCTTTTTTAAACAATCGTTATCGTGAAAAAGTAATACTATTGACCGACAATTTCGCTCAGAATCGTTTTCGTTAGCAATGGTTAATCGATCTTCCCAACTTCTCTCCTTCAGCAGTAGTTTTTCTTATGCGTTTATTTTATTTTTTCATTACGATAATAATAATAACATTATTATGCCCGTATAATAATATATTAATCTATTGTGTATCGAATATTCGATTGACGTAAGAGCACGCGTGCACACTGTAATTTACTATAATACACATTAAACAAAAATATAGTTGCAGCAAAGTTGAGGGTGGGGTCAAAGGGAGCAGCTTCACTAGGTGGCAATTTTTTATGACGAAAACTAAAGTTATGAAGTTACTTAATTATAATTTTTAAGAAGAATTATGAATTATTGAAAAGATACATGATAAATAGTAATAATAATAATAATATATAAGGTGATCAATCTATCATAAGACACTCATTATCTCGGAAAATATTAATTTTATTCAAAATTTGTTTTATAGACAATTTTAGAAACAAGCAGTAAATTTTAAATTTATGTTATTATTTATCACCCTAATTTTCGGGTGACAATATATTCCACTTTTAAGTTTGAGTCGGGGAAGAGTAATAAAACATAATTTGTGTGGAGGCACAGCGCGCGGCGATTTAATGATGTACCACTCCTCACCCAGACCCAAACTTAAAAGTGGAATATCTCATCAACGGATTAACGAAAATTAAAAATTTAAGCATCAAAATTTATTTTAACTATTACTCCATCTATTTATGGAATTTTTATTAAAGCTTGTCATTTGAAAATCAAAAGTAAGTAGTCGTTTTACTCCCAAAAATTAGGGTAATAAAAAATAATTTAAATGTTAAATTTTGGAACAGTTTATTTCTTAAATATTCTTTAAAACAAATTTTGAAACAATTTAATACTTTTTGAGATAATGAGTGTCTTATGATCATCCTGTATATTATTTGCTACGCCAAATGTATGGACCCATAATGGACAGAATATAGAAAACGCGGTGGTACCCGATTGAGCTGGGTCCATACTCTACGGAACGTTTGTTTGTACGATTGATGTTTTTTATCTACACATATAATCAATTTTGTCAAAAATGCTTTTGATAAGATACTAATACTAGTATTCGTACAAAAAAGTATTAAAAATACGTTCAAAATACTAATATAATATTGTGTATTATGCATATTAGTATATGAGCCTTTTATGTTACTACTTACCATATATTTTAAAAATTGCACAAATACATCAAAACGGTAAAATGGAATAAAAATATAAACGACAATATTGTAAATATGTGATATAGATATACTATATATCATAAGCTTCTTCGCTCCATTCAGAATTTAAAATGTGCGACTTTAATTTTAATGAGAATTAATATCAAAACACTAAAAATTATAAAAGTATTAGTTACTGTGTTTTATCATTCGACAGTCAAATACAATACTTACTCGCCGTGTGTCTGTTCATTAAAAATGTATAGCAATCAGCTTCTCACCTGACTGTACAAGCAATCTGTTTAATTTCTACTAAATAAACATAATGCAATGTTTATTCATTTATTTTCTTGTTTATTAAATTCATAATTTGATTTATTTTTGAATAATAAAATAATATAATATAATTTGTTTTATTACGTTTTACTGTATTTTACAATATTTTTCTGTTGTTTTAAAAATAATACAACTTGCAATGTTCATCTTTTGAAGTATACAAGTGTCCTGCTTTAAGGAGAAAAAATTATGATTTCATTAGGTAGGTATACTGAAGAATATTAATACTACATGTACCTAATAACTTATTTGGTATAATTCCCACACAGCACAAGTTATCTATTTGATATCCATTATATATGCAAAATAACCATACAATGTCTTATCCAAAAACTAGTTTATATGTATATCCATATGGCATGTCAATACCATATGATACCATACAATATCCTATATAAGAATGAGTTTTAGTAGAAATACATTGGATGTATTAAATAGTATGTGTATAAAATGTATTTAATGGTTCATCTACATAGGAACCTTTATGAATATCCACTAGATATGTTAAATAACCACAGAATGACCGACAAATGCCATATGGCTCATGAAATATTACATAATAATGTATATATTGTATAATATTATATTATTATATAGATTAGGTTATCAGTTTCACTATTATCAAACTATTATCAAAACATATAAAATGATAAGAGTGATGTAGTTACCAAGGTTTAATATCATAGACAATAATTCTATGTTTAAAACATGTAGTTTATTATTTAAACGTGGTGGTTAATAAGTTTATCGTAGTTGTCTTGTAATTTTCTTCTTACTATTAAATTGCATAATTTTTTTTGGTCACTGTTATCTAAAAGACTATCATTATTATAAGTATCTATCTAATAAAGTCTTTCCTTCTGTGGTATTTTGTAAATAATTTACCAATTGACAGCGTTGAAAAATAAATAATATAATATACTATTGGTATTATTATAAGTAAGCAATGCTTAAATTGGGGTAGACCAGAGGGACGGAGCTCCTTTACTACTTTTATTTTAACCTTGGTAACTACATCACTCTTATCATTTTATATGTTTTGATAATAATTTGATAATAATGAAACTGATAACCTAATCTATATAATAATATAATATTAAACAATATATAGATTATTATATAATTTTTCATGAGCCATATGGCATGTGTCGGTCATTCTGTGGTTATTTGACATATCTAGTGGATATTCATAAAGGTTCCTATGTAAATGAACCATTAAATAGCTATTTGATACATCCAATGTATTTCTACTAAAACTCATTCTTATATAAGACATTGTATGGTAATTTGAAATATCATATGGATATACATAAAAACTAGTTTTCACATAGGCTTTGCAACCTGTTAGTGTAGGATCCGGAATGATGCACAATTTATACCTACCCTTTCAAGTTCCTTCTTGATCGACAGTATGGCCTCTACCATCTTCCTGAATTCCTCCGCATGTCTCCTGGTTACGCTCATCAATCCAGACCTTATCCTTGGATCCTCAGGAAGCTCTTCTGTGATCAGGCAGTCAATATACTCCTGTAAGGCGTTCACAGTCAGAGGAATTCCGTTTCGAACGAGGCGCGTTCAGTATTGATCCCATTACGAACACTGGATGAGCGTGTGCTCAACGTTGACCTGATCATAACCACACTGTACGTACCTTGGGATACGAGCTCTCAGCATTTTAAAAAGGAAAGTCCTGAAAACATCCGTCACCTATCAGTGCCTGAGTTAAATGAAACAACAACGGGAACCTGGTTGGCCGGTTCAGCTATCTGGTTAGATCTGGAATAATCCGGCGCATCCACCCAGACTCCTTTCGGGACCATCTATCTGCCCAATCTTCAATAGTAGCTCTCCTCGCCTCCTGTTTGATCACTCCCTTGTTCATAGGGGGGATGCGCTCCGTCACGCCTTACTCGATCAGACACACGGCTGCGTTCGATAGCTAGTAGATCGGTTGGAGGGAGGCATCTCAGCCAGCACTTGTGCAGCTTCTGTCGGAACCGTCCTATAGGCCTGGATTGCCCTCAGTCAAATCATTTCTTTCCCCACCAATTTTTGTAAAAGGTCTAATCTGTTTTACCGATCTCTGCTCAGAACTCATCGAGCTAATTGGAGTAGACAATTTCTCCTGTAAATCCTCAGTTAACTGCCTAAAAATTATGACGACCAACCCAGCTTTCTATAGAACGCTGATCCATTTCCTCAAGGAACAAAAAGCGGAATATCACACATATCAGCTAAAGGAAGACAAACCAATGCGGGTAGTCATCCGAAATCTCCATCCATCCACGTCCACGGAACTTATCAAATCGGAGCTCGAGTTGCGCTTATTTGAAGTACGTCAAGTAACTAGCGTATTACACAAAATCGATAAACACCCTCTTCCGCTATTTTTCGTGGACTTCGAACCAACAAGTCAGTCCAACGATATTCATAAGCTTAAATCTCTTATCCATACCAAAATTAAAGTGGAAGAACCATACAAATTAAAAACAATAAGCCAGTGTATCAATTGCCAGGATTATGGTCATACCAAATCGTATTGCGGGTATCCAGCTCGCTGTGTCTGCTGCGGTGCTCTCCACTCTTCTTCGGCCTGTACAAACCCACGGGATGCTACTCCTAAATGCGCCCTCTGCTCCGGTGATCATCCTTCAAACTATAAAGGTTGCTCAGTTTACAAGGAGCTACAGCTTCGCAACAAACCAAAAATGAGCAGTCCTTTGCTGGGGNTTTAAACAGCTCAGCTTTTTCAGCATCGGTAGTTGCAAGTCCACCATGAGGATTTATTATGGGAACGAGCGGAGGTTTGTATTTTAGAAGAATTTTGGTAGTTGACCAGAGATTGCCATTCTTAGGTGACAAATTTGAGAGATGATTTTCAAAAGATTGATTTTTATGCTTGATGAGTATTTTTTTCAGTGAGTTAGATAGATTGTTATAAATACGTTTGTGGGATGGAAGGCGTGAGCGTTGGTATTGGGCCCTTGCTCTACGCTTAATGGATATAAGGATGCGAATATATTCAGGGACTGACGAAGCGACATCGTTGCTATCCTACCAAAACTCTTTCTCCATACTATTGATAGGCATAAATTCCACGACTTGGTCGATCAAAACATAAATCTCAAAATTAGTCTCAAATCTCCCAAGAAATTGATGTATCGATAAATAACCTAACAAGTATAATCCAATCTGCAGCTTGGGCTTCCGGTCCTACCAAAACTCATTATTCAAATGTTGCTTCGTCCGTCCCGGAACATATTCGCATCCTCATATCTATTAAGCGTAGAGCAAGGGCCCAATACCAACGCTCACGCCTTCCATCCCACAAACGTATTTAAAACAATCTATCTAACTCACTGAAAAAAATACTCATCAAGCATAAAAATCAATCTTTTGAAAATCATCTCTCAAACTTGTCACCTAAGAATGGCAACNATTCAAATGTTGTTTCGTCAGTCCCGGCATATATTCGCATCCTTATATCCATTAAGCGTAGAGCAAGGGCCCAATACCAACGCTCACGCCTTCCATCCCACAAACGTATTTATAACAATCTATCTCACTCACTGAAAAAAATACTCATCAAGCATAAAAATCAATCTTTTGAAAATCATCTCTCAAACTTGTCACCTAAGAATGGCAATCTCTGGTCAACTACCAAAATTCTTCTAAAATACAAACCTCCGCTCGTTCCCATAATAAATCCTCATGGTGGACTAATAGAAGACTTACGTATCTCACACATCCATTACTAGTCAACATATTACATATATAATTAGTTATCATTTAGCCAACTTTTATTTATTTATTTATATTTTTATCTTTCTTATTTTATATTTATATCTATTTTATNCTCTCAAATTTGTCACCTAAGAATGGCAATCTCTGGTCAACTACCAAAATTCTTCTAAAATACAAACCTCAGCTCGTTCCCATAATAAATCCTCATGGTGGACTTGTAACTACCGATGCTGAAAAAGCTGAGCTGTTTAAAGAACATCTAACTGAAACCTTCATGCCTCACCCGGATATACAAATACCTTCTCATACTGACATAGTAAATCGCTCACTCATTTCCCCCCTTTCTACTTTTCCCGCAGTTAAGCATTTCACTCCTGGTGAAGTCAAATTTACAATTCAAAAATACAGTCTCAAAAAATCTCCGGGGTTCGATCTGATTACTGCAGAAGTGGCCAGATCCCNATCGATATTTTCAGGTCAGAGTTGGCACATCCCTTTCTGGTTTAGCAAAGATTAGCGCAGGCGTTCCTCAGGGGGGCATTCTTTCTCCTCTATTATATAACATCTACGCTGCCGATCAACCCACCTCTCCGAATACAGCTGTTGCGGAGTTTGCCGATGACAAGGCCATTATTTCTATCCATGATAATCCTCACACAGCTTCCCACAACCTTCAACTCCACCTTGACCTCATGGCTGATTGGTATAAAAAATGGCGTATCAAAGTTAATCAATCCAAATCACTCCATACAACATTTACTCTTCGTCTTACTCCCTGTCCTATGGTGTCTCTAGACAATATTCAAATCCCTTCCTCTCAAACGGCCAAATACTTAGGTCTGACAATTGATCGTCGTCTCACTTGGTCACATCACATAAAAACTAAAAGGCTTGCCTTAAATGCACGACTCCGCATCCTTAAAACCCTAATCTCTAACAACAAACACACTCCATTAAATACTAAACTCTTAATTTACAAATCCCTGTTCAAGCCGATGTGGACCTATGGTCTTCAACTCTGGGGCAATGCCAAAATATCCAACACTAATAAAATTCAAACTTTCCAAAATAAATTCCTTCGCTTAATTACTAATTCTCCCCCTTACATCTCAAATCTAACTTTACATACCGATCTAAAAATGAAATCAATCCATGAAGAAGCAGTAGCCTTTTACAAACGATTCCACTCTAAACTCCCTTCTCATTCTAACCCTCTCATTTCGAACCTTGCCACTCTCACTATTCCTGGGAATTCTCCTAGAAGGCTCAAAAGGAAATGGTGTCGAGACCTCCTCACTGTTTGATAAAATTAGGCAATATAAATAAGGAAAAAAAAACCATCAAGTTAGGGTTCACAATGGTGACCCACTGAGGAGAGAAGTATTCATCATGTTTTTTTATTTACTCATTTATCACATATTCTTATTGTTCCCAGGAACAGATTGTATATTATTCGTATATAAAATAAAAAAAAATAATAAATTTTACCCCGCCACATAAGTAGTATTATAACATTTTTTTATTTTATTAAATACGCGACATAATATTTCTCAATCGAGTCATATATTAAAACTCATCATACGGTCTGTGAAACGATCAATTTTAAAATAGTTGGAGTATTCCGGCATTGTATCGATCAATTCACTCGTTGCATCCTATGGGGTAATAGTTGGAGTATTCCGGCATTACACCGGTGTCAGACCGTTTGGTGGATTTTTATAACAGGTTATAATTTAGGTATTTTATTCCCCGATTGGCACGAAGCGTAAGAACCTTGAAACTGCCGTCAAGGTGAAGAAAGTTAGGATGGGTTTAGTGAATGCTCCCGGATTAACCGAAATCGACTCGTCTCACTCAAGAAAGATCGTTTGGTATTACGCCAAAAATTTAAATAATATTTTCAANTACAAAATATTTCTCCAATCTCTCAAACCTTCTATAATTCAACTTCTCAAAACAATATCTGTAAATAACCCCATTAAATTCAATTTCAAACTCGAATCGACATATTATAAGCCACAGGTAGATAATTCTACTGTGGATAGGTCTTTTAAAACATCCGCTCAAGCTATTTTTTTCGAAAGCGAAATTGAAGACATAGTAGAAGAAAAATTCCGAAATTTACTTTTCGAACAGGATATGTATCAAGGTCAGGGTAGTGGACTAACACTTCAATCCATAGATGGACTTTTATTAGGTGTGTATAAATATACACCTATTGGCGGTTCGTTATATATTCCGCTACCCACAGACATTTCAAATAAACGGGCCGTAATAAACCCGCAAAATACGGACGAGAAATGTTTTAAATGCGCAATTTTGGCGAAACACATTATGGGCATAAACAGAGAACGAGTCGACGGTGGGTATATGGTACACGAGGATAAATATAATTTTAAAAATTTATCTTTTCCAACACTACTCACGGAAGTCAGAAAATTCGAAAAAAATAATAAAGTTTCGGTCAACGTCTTTGGGTTGAAAGAAGAGCAGAAAAATAAAAAAACGGTACACACAATTTTTCCGTTGAAAGTGGCTGATGAGGAGAAAGATGAACATTTCGACCTTCTTTTAATTTCCAAAAACGATAAATCTCATTACACATATATCTCAGATTACTTTTTCCGTTTATCGACTATAGACATTTGTTTATAAGATATTTATTATCCGATCGTAAAACACAGTGAATCACATATCTAAAATAGCGGAAGAAATTGTAAGGCACGTCTTTCTCATACAGCGAATCTGTTTGAACTGATTGTGTTTCATCAGTACTAGTCAAATAATTATTCTACTTTAATTATTCTCCATAATTCTCTTTCCGATGATATTCTAAATCATTATTGCGTGTATCATTAGGTATAGATTTTGTAATCGTTTTTTCTATTTTCTTTTTCATCGATTCAGTGTACTCCGTCGCATACTGTGGTGGAGGTGCTGTAAACACTTCAATATTCCGTATTCTAGATTCTAGATCAGAAATGGATCCTAACACCCCCGAAAGCTTACAAATAAATTGTTGTATATCATCTACAGTGGTTGTGATTAAAGAAACCTGATTTATCAGATTTTCTAATTTTTTATTCAGTGATTTAATATCGATTTCATGCTTATCAGTCTGCTGGTTACATGAAGTAAGTTCATTTTGAATCGATTTATTTGAGACAACAAGCTCGGAAAATAATATATTTTTTTCACTTTCTCTAGTAGCTCCAAACACGTTCATGGTTGAAATATGACTAACGTTATTTCTTGATCGCATTCTTATTTATCCAACTGTTGTGGCTATTATCAAATCCAAGCCATTTAACAAAAACTTTCTGTCCTTTTATACGGATCACTTTTTCGATCAAGTAGGTATTTGTAAACTCTGTTTTATTTATTTCCTCGACATAAAAACAACCGGCGATTGGATTCCCTGTATAGTCTTCTAAAATATACGTTGTAGGTATCGTTTTATTTATTTTAACAATAGTGAATATCTCTGTAGACCAATTCGGTAGATAACCTTTCGTAAACACACCTTTATGTGTACTTACTCGTACACTATCGCCTACTTTGAATTTATTTCTTTTATCAGACATATTTTTATGTTTCATTCGGACTAATGTGGGTTTATAATCAGCTTCTGTCGGTGTCATACCAATTGTTCTATGTCTCGTATTATTATATTCGTTAATCAATGCGGATAAAATAGACAACCAATTATGGTTTCCTCTTACAGTAAATTCTCTAAACATTTTTTTCTTTCAAAGTAAGATTCTTTCAAGTACGATTGAACCGCTCGAAGATACATGCTTTAGTAGTACTATATGTTGAATATTTTTTTACATTATACTTTTTCATTAACGTATCAAATATTGAATTATAAAACTCTTTTCCGTTATCGAGTTGTAATAACTGTGGTGATCGATTAATTAATATTGTAGACATTGCATTAGTCACTTCTTTCGCAGTTTTTGATTTCAGAGGTATAGCCCATGCATATTTCGTGAAACAGTCTATGACACTTAGTATATATTTATATCCTTTATTTTTCTTTGAATACGGTATCAGCTCGATCATAAATCATTTTTTCCATATACATTAACTCTTCGTCTATTGAAATTTTTTCTAGCCGGTTTATGTAGTTGAAACGTTATCTCGCGTTTAGACATTTGGAATTCGTTTTATTAGCCCCGCTTCGAGTTTAAGAAGTTTTTAGCTATTATAAAGCAAAGGTTGTCCTGTGTTTCCAGCAGCTTGCGATACCAATAATAATCTTAGTCTATCTACTATCTCGTTTGGGTTGTCCCAATAAACTTAATTATTTGTTTGTAATTTCACTCGGAGTCCACTGCCGGAGGGAAAGAATTTAGATATAATGTTTAGGTATTTTTTACCACCCTTTTTCATCTTGGATCCATCGGTTGTTAAATGAGTGCACGTATGTTTTAGTATATACTTATACGAATATAAATCGTGTGAGGTATACGAAATCGGAGATTTCAGAAAAATTAATTGTAAAAGTCCCTTTGTTGTTTTATATTCGATTTTTTTTAGATCTACGACTATTATTTTTCCATCAGTGAATTTAATTACACTTTTTCCTAAAATGATTTGATTATGAATTGTCTTCGGACCATACGTTTTATCGAAATCGGGTGAATTAAACCAATTTTTTAGTTTAGCATTATATTTAGATTTTCTCGTGGCTATACTTTCATCGTTTTTTACTAATTCTTCTCCTTCTACTTCACCTTCTCCGATTTCTTCTACTTCTTTTCCTTCTACTTCACCTTCTCCGATTTCTTCTTCTTCTTCAATATAACCCTCCGGTAGGGGTTCAGCGCTATGTTTAAGTGATAATAATGTCTGCGTTTTATGTATTCTATTCAAAGGTTCAATAACCGGATCTAGAGTTTTTATTACTTTTGCACGAATATTAGCCTCCCCGCTTTTTAAATTTACGTTTAATATTTTCTTTTGCCTTCACTAGCTCTTCTAATATACGTTGTTCATTATCCATAGTTGTGTTTTAAATGATAATTATTATTAAAAAACAAAGACTTATATAGCTACATACGTATCGAATCCGGATCTGTAACGACCGTTATCACGCTCGTTATCTTTACAAATAACGACAAATGCAAACCTATCGTGGTTCCAGCACGTTACACAGAAATGTTTAAATTCGTTATAAGTCATATCACTCGAACAGTGTTTGTTGTATACGTGTTTTAAATTTGTTTCGTCTTGTTTGAATAACACTATTAAATTTGCTTTGTCACGTATTAATTGTTTAGGCACTTTCGAAAATAATTCGAAAATTTTAAAATACCTCATTTCATAGGTGTCTTCCCTAGAGATAGGTTGCCTGACAAAATTAAACAACTGGAATCCGCTGTTGTTGATTTGGACGAAGAAAAAGGTGAAGGTACTCATTGGGTAGCGTATAAAAAAATCGTATTTAAAATTTGTAAAATTAAAAATTAAAAATTTAAAAATAATTTAAAATTGCTAGTATATTGTTAATTTATCAACATATAGAGAGGTACTTCTAGGTTTTACTTAAGAAAACTTCTTTTTCTAGATTTCCTGGAATGAAACTTACTAGGACAATTTCGGTAGAGACTCCGACTGTAGTCTGCAATCATATGAGCGTCCCATCTTCCTTAGTACCTTTCTTCGATAATTTGAATATCTCGATGAAACCGTTTACCATCCCCCTCACTTAGATGATCATAATTTTCTGGAAAACTATTCAAGTGGATGAGCAAGTAATGTACTTTGATGTTCATGTTGCGGCCGAGTTCTTCAAAATTGGTTAGTATCTTCAACAATACCTGTAATCATTACATACGAAAAATCTATTCTCAGCGAAGTTCAGTTGATAGTGAAGCTTTGTCAACAATATATATGCCATATTATAGTAAAATAATTAAACAGAATTTGTATATTTTCTTTAATACCTGGGAAAAACCAGGATAAAACGTAAGAAAATCGGGAAATGAACGAAATATATTCTTTTATTATTTTATCAATTTTGTTATTTTTTGTATTTCAGTTAAAAATATTCGTAGAGATTTGAAATTTGGACAGAAAACTTATATTTGATTTTTTTAGATGTGGTACAATTTTCGAAAATATTAGCTATTTTCGAGTTATTTATAGATATTTTAATTTTGTGAGTTTTGTAAGTAATTTTTATTCAGTAGGTACTTTGGTGTAAAATCGTTAGACTTAACAGAAATGCTTGGAAATTGAATAGGAGGTTCATTAAATCCTATTTTGTGGTAAAAATAAAAAATTGAGCTTTATGTAGTATTTATTTTTATAAAAGAATTTTGACGAAAATTTTTCAATTTTTTATATTCGAATATATGTGTATTGCCGATTTAAGAAGGACGGTAAAATCAGAATTGAGCGAACTGACTAAGTTTCAAAATTATAGCTTTTTGAAGTTTAGATATTATGCAGATATTACATGTTTATGTTATATTGTCTATCTTATAATATGTTTGTTGTAGTTTGAATGGTCATAAATACATATTGTCATATGAGTTCAAACCTAGGGTTTGAAAAGACATTTTTTGCACTTTCTTCCCCTTTTACCTATATAAGGAAAAACAAATGCATTTAAGTGTACCTAGAGACTTATTTATCGCTCGCTTGGATAATCTTAATCAAAAAATACAATTAAGTGACCTCGCGACAAAACTAATTCCAATCCGTCACAATTTGTTTAACTATACGTTATATATGGTTTTGCATAAACGACGGGCAATTCATTACCGACGTGTTTAAAAACCCACATATATCTAGCAAAGACAAATGAGATTTTAAAAAAAACTCTCTTTTCTAAGTGATAGACTGTAATTAAAATAAATGTCTATGATATTATATTCAGGTTTTCTCATCCTGTTCAACGGATTTGTAACATAAGTAATAATTATAAAAATACTTAGTCATGAACCAGGGATTACAAATGGAAGTAAACATTAAAATAAAATATTAATATTTTCTGTCATTTTAGAAGCAGAGGTTTAAAAAAAATAATATTTGAATAATTAAAATTATTTAAAAAAATATTGTGTACATAAATAATTGTATTCAGTGGTAACTAAAACCCACTACAGTTGTTGATCAGTTTCCAACGGTTGTTATTGTTTACGTTGTAAACAATCAGATTATATACAAAGTAAACTAATTTCTGAATGAATAAACCCAACGGTTTAAAAAAAAGAAAAGAAACATAAGGCGCACTAAAATCAAATATGTCTGAGACAACTGCTGTCGAAATCCGTGGATCAGATACAAATGAAGATGCCACAAAATACAAAACAAGTGAACCACTCAGCGATAACGATGTGGAAAAGAAAGACAATGAGTCCGACAGATCTGAAATTTCCCCAACGGACAGTGATGATTTAGACTTGGTAAAATTCCCGTCGAAGAGTATCAATGAAGAGTACATTGAATATCGGGAAACTTCGAAAACGTTGATGTACTTAATAGGTTAGTTTGAAATATATTTTGTGCTAAGGGTTTGAAATAATATGCTGTAATTTATTTTATATTTTGTTCGTTTAGGTAAATTTTTTATCGATTTGCAAGAAATATTTTCGTAACACTTCCTTCTCCTATTAGTTTTTCTTAGATCCATAAATAATATGAGCGTTTTAAGATCGTATAGATATTTAATTTGAAAATGGAAAACCTAATAAAAATGTTATACGTATTTGTTGTTGTTGTATCGGTAATAATGATTAACATGGAAAATTGTTGCGAATGATTTTAATTGCACATAGAATTTTGGTAATTGTTTAGGAGCCATAGAAAAAACACGTGAACATAAAAGTACCACTATATTTATATTATTAACTAAAAAGTAACTACATAATTACTTTACTTTTAAGTGTATTGCATATAGCATATGATAAAATATTTAATAATAAATTATCTTATCGTTATCTCTTCGTCTCTATTTTTAACTTTATCATCAATGGAACATACGCTTTTAATTGGTTTTTCGAAATCCGTTAAAAATGATAGCTCTTCAAATAACCAAGATGATGGTTGATAGAACGTCGTCTATCCCAGCACCATTTTGGACTTTTGGACGACTTTTGGAGTCGTTAAATTTTTAAAATTCTTTTCAAAAGTTACTTCTTAATGTATTAATGTTTGTTTTTGACATCTTCAATCGTAGGTTCACTTTTCAAATGTTTATAATAAAATAAACGTTTTTTATAGACAGAATGTTTTTCATCTCTATTGGAGTACTCTTTAAAACGAATATCCCACAATTCAGGTAATTGTTTGTACTCAGAAATAAAATCACGCAAAATGGCCTGATCGCGGAATTCACGGCTTGTGGTTTTACTTCGCTGCGATGTCAATACTGATTAAGTGTTAATATCGACCTCACACTATCAATATAATCGCCAGTGAACAAATACTGACGACTTGATATCCGAATTTTTCATCAGTCATCAGTATCGTATTTCCATACTGAGAGTACATTAGTATTCACATTATACGATCAATAATACTGCCAGTATAAAAAATACTGTCAATAATATTGACCGTGTAAGGGCCGCAGTAGTATATTCAATTTGTTTTCTAATGATGGCGATGTACATAAGAATACGAATATCCATACCTACTGTTTATGAGTTATAATATTGACCGCAGAAGGGGAGGCACTTTCACCGTGCATACCTACATTTTTAGATATGTAAGCCTAAAAGTGACGGTGTATGAATTTCAGATAATAGAGACCGAGAAAAAGTGTCAAAGTGGATAAATAAACTAGACACAATGGACGAAAAAGGATGCATGAACGAGCGGTTGCTCTACTTTAAGTATCTGACAGCAACACTGAGTGGTCCGTATGGATTAGTAGAGCCATTTACTTCAATCCCCCCGAATTCAGTGAGGCCACTGCACATGGTCCTACCACCCATTGTCTTGGCAGACCTAATGGATGATCAACCAATTTTACACCAGAGCAGGCGTAAAGGAATCGGGCGTAAACCGACATCGAAGGCCATATCTATTCAACGGGACTACAAGTTTTTTGAACAACAACTATTCCCACCAGAAGGCCTGATCTGCTACGCGGCCGCATTTAGCAGTGCACCATAAACGTATGTAGGTTACCGTCTCCGTATGATCGCAATAAATTTCTGCTGTGACTAACGTTGGGCATATATTTTTTAGAAGATCTAATCAATACTTGAGTGTCGGTATATTTTCATGATAAATTGTCTTCCAATAAAAAACTGATATTTATATTTTGGTTCCTATGATTTTTTGTTTTAAATATGGCCTCTAGAAATTGGTTTAGTTCCTCCCTAGTTATCGAAAAATTAAAAACTATGCCCAAAACTGCTTCTCTATCAGTGGCACTATATTTATGTATATAGTGGTTAATGAATTCAGGTAAATATGATTTAGTACCTTAGCATCTTTTTGCATAACGGGTACAACTTTACGTAGCATTTAAATTAACGGAGACAATGATGAGGCCCTATCCTCGAAACTAATCTAAATTAGATCCAAAGAAAGCTATTTTTAATTATCATCTAATTCGAGCTTGAAGAACAACAGAAAATACGTTTGGTATAATGTGTCAATACTTTCGTGTATTTTTCACGCCAATTAATATTCTGCCTGAGACAATCGACAATTTAATTATAGCCGCATGTATTATCCATAACCTGTTACGAGATGAACGAATGGTGTGTCCTACTATTCGACAGTCAGAGATCCCATAACATACGTTCAAACGAACACGAACATGATACAATTTGGTATAGTTGGAGGAAACGCAACACACGAAGCTTTTCGAGTCAGGGAAGCTTTCAAAGATTATTTCAACAGTAAGTCAGGATCAGTAAGCCGGCAGGAAAAACACGTGACTCGTACCAATTGAGATAATGTTATAATATATTATATTGGTTGTTTACAAAAATTATTAGTAGTCCAAATTTGATTTAACTTATTCTTTTTGTTTTTTTTTTTTGAACAGTTTGTCTTTTTGAAAATTTTTTAAATATTTTACTCAAATGTATAAAATTCGAAACATTTAACAAAATTTCAAATTATCTTCTTTGTTCACCAATAGGCTGTAACATGATTTGCACCTTGATGTTTTTGAAGATTTTTCAAATATATGATAATATATTTTAGTAGCTGTATAAATTCAGATTTTTGTATGTCATCATCATTTTTTAAAAGCTCTTTAAAAACTGTGTAAGGTTTCGGCCTCCACCTCGGTGGGCTTACTCATTACCCACTGTTGAGGGGGAACACTCAACAGTGACCTAAAAGCCGGACCAAACACAACAAAGTTGCGTTGGCTGAACTAGTAGGTTTTTTTTTTAAATAAGGGAGAAAAAAAAAAGAGAGAGCTCGGTTCATTAATGGTTTTAGATTTATTATTATTTTTTTAACATAAATGTTAGAACGGTCTAGAAATGGACTAAAGGGGGAAAACAAAATTAGGAAAAGTGCTGAGAGATAAAAAAAAANTGTTGTGGTTGTTGTTGTCGCACGGCTCCTCTGTTCGCGATCCACCGCAGACCACAGTCGGTACGCCTAGCCCATCATGTTGGCGCCGAACATCATGCCAAAAGGAAGAGTGTGTTTTTTCTTTTTGAGACCCACTCGGCGCGGACCGTTTGGGCTTACGACGTTGGATCAATCCCACTGTCGAATCGTAACGTAACTATATATTTTTGGTGTGGGACTCGGTGGTGACCGGGACGTCGGGCAGCAGTGGCGACAGCAACATCAAACCAGTTAGTGCGGGGATTATCACAATCGTCTAACTGGTTATTCACTGTTCGCGGTCAGCTGGGGGAACGACACCGGACGGCCAACGCGCGTATACTGTTATCAGCAACTGGTGCACAAATTTTGTAACATTACAACTGCTTCTCGAAAGTTTACAATTTCAATTTTTTGTCCCGTTATACCGATGAACAAGAACAATGCATTTAATATAGATGTGTTAAATATCAAGTCTATAATTAATTTTCTGTACCACTTTAGAGATTTTCGTAGAGACGAATGATATGACTGTAACTGATCAGTAAGGTCTATAAATCCCTTTCCAGCATTATACTCGACAACTACTTCTGATTTTTGTTTAACTGTTTTATCAATGTTTATAATTTAATTATTATCCCATACTTATTCAGTTTGCTCGGTATACATTGCCGGAAACTGCATCTACCTCTAAATCCTTGCAACATCTCATAATAACAATATGGGAATATTATTGAACAGCATTCAAAGCAACGTTTTACAAATCCGTCAAAAACAGAACGTATTGGTGCTAGTTTGTGGTAGTCCCTCTATAATTTTTTGTTTCAATGTCATCAAATTGGAATGCCATATTGGACTTCGTTAATGTTGTTAGTTTATTGATAACTCCTATGGTAAGTAAATGTAATAATTGAATGACCAGAATATTTCACTATGAATTTAGATGATAATAATTACTAAAATACTAAGTCTTTTGTAATATTTATATAATATAACGAATATTTTACAATAAAAAATGAATGCTGACCAACAATGAATTTAAAATGTCATTAAGCATTTGCTAATGAGGAAAAATAATATAATTTAAATATCTTTATGTATATAAAAAAAAATGTCTGTCTGTATGTCCTTTATAAGCTCAAAAACTACTGGATCAATTTTAACATTTTTGCAAAATGTTTCATCTCGTCCGGAAAAAGTTTATAGCTATTTAAAATTTCTAAAATTCAATCCCTAAAGAATAGCTGATACAGAGATTTTTGTATTTTGTGGTATAATTTTTGTTGATTGAGTTATTTTGGTAACAAGTAAATAAAATTATTATTTTTGTTGATTATGTGGTATCAATGGTATCTACTGAACATTGTTTGTTAATTTCATTGTAATTTTGATTGTATTTTTATAGTTAAGATAAAAAAATAAATACTTAACTATAAAAATACAATCTTAATTTGAAATAATTAAGTATTGAAATATTTGTATGTCATACAATGATACATTTTTAAGAATATATTTACATTTAATACCTATTTCATAAAATAAATTGTACCTATTGCTCAGATGTGTATTTTTAAAAACGATTAGCTGAAAGTAAAAATATCCTCTAAAATTAACAACCCCGAATCACTCTCGTGTTTCGTTCAATGTCCTCTGCCGCCGTACACGATCTTTTGTTCCACTTCATAATCTATCTTACGCATATTGGCAATACTTACCTTACTTTCTCTCTCTAAATTGAGCCGAGTTTCCAAATCATTTTATTATTATTATATTTATATCTAATGGGTTCGTCCCGTAATGTAAAATAATAGTAAGTAGTGTATAAAATGATAAAGTGGTAAATTATGTTTGTCGAAAAAATATTACAATACCTATTAATTCAATGCTCGTTTATACTTATCTACCATCACATTAAATGTTTGTATTATATATACATTACTATATACATACATGTATATTATGTTAATTAAACAGTGAAGTTGTTACCACATTACAATAAATGTATTTACTTAATGTATTTTCATAAATGTCTAAAACCTAAACTTCATTTTCTTACACATTTCAGTACACAATTAAACAAATTGGACCGGTTTTTCATTAATGGTCTATACAATATGAAGAGAAACAGTGTTTTTAGATTTGCAGCTAGATCGTCATTTAATAGACGTAATATTTACATTACTTTTGCAGTTAAATACTAACTTAAAATGAATGAAACATTCCTTTTGAGTAAATTATGTAACTCTGTTATTGTCGGACTTTAAACAGAATTAGATGTTATAAAACAACAATTAGTTCAAAATAAATTAAATCATACTTTATGCATTTAAAACATTAATTTAAGTTAATTGGGCTGAAGTAAGAGGAACATCACTCGTAGAAACCCCAATAAAATCTAATAAAAAAATACCGTAATTCAAATTCGTAGAGATAAATTTATTTTGTGTTTGTGTTTAATTTTTGCATTCTATTCTTTATGTGCGTTTCTCTCCTTAGAGCTGTAGAATTCATTCGGACGCCCTCTCTGTGGGTTTTCGTTATGGTTGGCCGATTACAAGCGGTAAAATATTCTTTTTTAGTAACGTTACTAAAGTCTTCGTTCGTCAGCGTGGGTATCAGAAGTCCAACATCGTCTGCCAAGTCCCTCGGAGAATCCTCCACACTTAAATCACTTAATAGCCTGTCAATGGATCTGCGAATCATGGATATATTATGTAAGAACACCAAAATAAAACAGTAAAAATATAAGGCAATTTGGTAATAAACGTAATAAGTAAAGATACAGAAATGAGGTATAAGTAGTGATAATAATATTAGTGCTATAACACAAAAATTAAAATAGGAATAAGAATAAAATAATATGTGACAATGTTTAAAAATAAAAAAAGGAAGAGGATCTTAATAGTTAAATGTAAACTACTTTCCTTTTGATGTTTGGAAAAATTTGGAATAGTAGTCCGGACTGGTGATGAGTTTAATAAAAGATCTATTGTTGTTAAATTTTCTCTTGTGAACCCACATTGGTATTCTCCAATAATGTCTTTTGTGTATGCCTCTAATCGTTTTAAGATCATAAGAGAAAGTACTTTATAGATAGTTTCCAATAGTGAGATGCCTCGGTAGTTTTCTACTTTAGCTGTATTTCACTTTTTAAAGATTGGATAAAGAATTGCCGTATTCCAATCTTTTGGAATCTGTTTATTAACCCATATGCTTCTAATTAGTTTCTGTATTTGTATTGCAAAGTGTGGCCCTGTTAGCTTTAGAAGTTCAGAGCTAATGTTGTTTTTTCCAGGCACTTTGTTTTTCCTGAGAGAGTTGATAACCATCTTGATTTCGTCCAGGTTTGGCTCCAGCAACTCTGGTTGCACCGTGTCATATATTATTCGTTCGTACTTGTCGCTTATGCTCACTATTTGTGTGGTGTTCAACAGTTATTCGAAGTGTACTTCGAAGAGATTAGTAATGGCCTGTGTTATAGTAACTGAGTTCCCAGCATCGTCAGACATAATACAGTTTCTTGTTTTGTACCCTTCTTTGACGGATTTACAATGCTTGTAAAATAGTCTAGGATTTGTTTTATAATTTTCAATGTCCTCGCTTTCTTTTTTTTGGCGCTGTATTATACTATTTGCCAAGTTTCTAACTTTTTTATACGCTTGTATGTTTTCCTCCCTATTATCTTGTAGCATTTGTAATCTACAGGCATTTCGGTTTCTTATTGCATCTTCATAAGCTTTATCAAACAAATTTTTTTTTGGTTTTCGACTTTCCACATGTAGGATACTTGCAGCTTCAGTTATAGTACCTTTTATCTTAGTCCAGACCACTTCAATTTCAGGTATCGACGAGGGTCATTTTTTGTTGTTTTCTTCTTCAGTTTACTGACAATTTTTCAGAAAAGTCTGCTACTATACTCCGTGCCACGAGAGAGTGCGACTAGGCGGCGACCAAAACGTGTTCATTTCAGCGCATTCCCACCACATTTCTGTCAAGGTTGCCTACCGTCGGTATGTGTCGATCGCTGTCGTACCGTTGTCGAACGACGTGGTTGTAATATACAGAGCAGTTACTGGTGTCATCTTATTTATTGTTATTACATGATTGTTTTTCAGTGCGGTTTAACGTGTTACGTGTATCTAATACGGTTTTGAAATTGCGATTTTTTTTTTCATTTTAAATAGACATTAAGACGTGTTATTTAACTATTTATAATGGCCAATATTTCACCTGTCAAAAGGAATCCTTCTGGAAAAGTAAATATTTATAATAAATAATACTATACTAACATTTTTTTGTTCTATGCTAAATGCCAAATATATTGCTAATTCTTCGTATTTTTTTTTTTTAAGTTCGTTGGTACTCGACAAAAAGAAACTATTGTCAATTTCTACAAAAATTTAATGTTGGAGCAAGAGAATATAGAAGCTAGTCAAAAAATGAAATATAAGGACATCGTCAAAACAATTTCAAAGACGAGTGGTCTTGGACAAAAAACAGTGGAACGTACGCTAGCAGAATACAAAAGTAAAGGTACAGTTTCATCGCCAAATAAAAAAAAAAAATGGGATGACAGTGATAGATAAAACCGACGATTTTGACCAAAACGCCATTAGGCTGAAAGTCCATAGTTTTNACAAAAAGAAACTATTGTCAATTTCTACAAAAATTTAATGTTGGAGCAAGAGAATATAGAAGCTAGTCAAAAAATGAAATATAAGGACATCGTCAAAACAATTTCAAAGACGAGTGGTCTTGGACAAAAAACAGTGGAACGTACGCTAGCAGAATACAAAAGTAAAGGTACAGTTTCATCGCCAAATAAAAAAAAAAAAATAGGAAGACAGTGATAGACAAAACCGACGATTTTGACCAAAACGCCATTAGGCCGAAAGTTTTTATAATAACTATAATAATATAATTTTAAAGGATAGTTTTGGTTTAATCGAGAAATACCTACTTTGAATAAAATGTTAGTGGCTGTAAATGACGATGAGAATTTGCCAAATTTTTCGAAGACGTCCTTACGCAGAATTTTAAAACATCTAAATTTTGAATATTTGAAAAAAAATCGTAATAGTGCACTTATTGAACGAAACGATATCGTGTGTTGGCGTCGTAAATATTTGCAATCTATAAAACATTATAGGCTAAGTGGTAGACCAATATACTATCTTGACGAATCCTGGGTCAATGCAGGTGAAACAAACACAAAGGCATGGGTCAACACAACAATATATTCGCCCAGAGACGCATTCCTTCGAGGACTCACTACTGGGCAAAAAGAACCTTCAGGGAAGGGGAAACGATTAATTGTGTTACACATCAAGTCTTCTGATGGGTTCGTCCCTGGCGGTGTTTTATCTTTTGAGTCAAAGAAAAACACGCTTGACTATCACGATGAGATGAATGGGGACACGTTTTACGACTGGTTCACCAAAATCCTACCATCTCTAAAAAAACAACGCCGTAATAGTGATGGATAATGCTTCATACCATTCGGTAAAAAAATATTCATTTCCAACCATGTCTTGGACAAAACAAAAAATTATAGATTGGTTAGAAAAAGAAGGTGAAATAATTCAGCCATCGTTGGTTAAATCTGAGCTTTNACGGTTGCCTCCCTACCACTGTGAGCTGAACCCTATAAAGCTTGCTTGGGCCTGGATAAAAAATTATGTACGTATGAACAATAAGACATTTAAACTACAAGATGGGCATAACTTATTAAAAGATGCTGTGGAAAAAGTAACGAGCGAAATGTGGACAAATTTTGTTGGCCACGCAATAAAAGAAGAGGACAAATTCTGGAGAGTTGATCATCTGTCTGACGAAATTTTGGACGCTGAAACAGGAGAGCACACATTAACAATAACAGGTGATACTACTTCAGATTCCGACGATGACGAAAACATTTAAATTATTAATTTATGTATATTTTCTAATTTAAATTACATGTGACAAAATATAATATAATACTTTTATTTTATAGTATTTAGATTTAATAATAAAAACGTAATAATCAAAATAAATTATACTTATTTAATAAAAAAACTCCTCTACTGATATTATATTATAGTATAACATAATGAGGCTTAATTTGTTTTGAAAAATTGTTATATTTCCTAAATTCTATTCAAAGTAAATAAATAAAAATCCGGTAATAACTAAATTTCATTGGAAACTGAACATGTCCCCTTTCTGCAATTAGTGAATCATATTAAACTACACATATAATAATATAAAATAATATATTTTATATTTATAATAGTACTACTAATAATGAGAGAAAATGAGAATAACATACATAAATATATAAAAGCATAACGGATGCAATGTAGACGGATAGAATTGGACCTAATAAAATATACATTTTATAACTCCTGTATTATCCCGGCATTATTAAAACACAATAGGCACAATATTTATTTTCGTTTTTTTATTGTGTTTTGGAAGTGTCTAAAATTAAACAGAAATACCTTATAACGTCGCCTTTCGATTTCACACTATCGACGGCGGGTGAAGTTGGTCTTTCGGGCTTAGGATCTTCGGCTGACGTCAAAGCAAATGCAAATACGAAACCGTCACGGCTTTTGGGCGCTGAAATCCCAACAATATCTTCTAAATCCCTCAGTAGGCCATTCGTTGTGGCCTGTGACGACACATTGAACAATTTGCATCGGTGTGCTGGTTCGGATGACCGACAGTTCGAAGTGACGTTCCCTCCATTGACCCATTCTAGAGTACGCATGCGAGATATCTGTCCAATAGGAGTAGAAAAATCGTTATTGTTAATGATTTAATGACATCATCTCGATGAATTAAAACTCTAAATACTTCGAGAAATATATTTCTTCAGACATTCGGGGCAGTATATTATAAACCACGTACATTTTAAATGTGTAGTTTATCACTGGTTCTCAATGAATAAATACAGGTTATATTATTTTATAAGTATACTATACTATTTTATAGGTATTAACTTGCGATTCGTTGATTGGAACGAGTTTTGGAGAGATCAGCCATAGTATTGGTTTCGTGTGTTCGTTATCATTTGAACATCCCCAATACATAAGATAATTTTTTAATTTACAGTCAAATAAACTGGACAACGAAAATGAATTGATTTTAGTTGACTTTCCCGGGTTTCTTATTTTTTTCAAATTTAATATTAAATCGTTAAATATTATATTTTCATCGTGTCTTAACTGTAAAAATCACGATACCCAGTCAATTTTATATGAAGATTAGTCTGTGCGTAATTTTTTTAATAGGTAACTTACTTTGCACAAGTATACCAGTATAAGTAGACCATCGTCACTGTCAAGAGCTTCATCCGTGTTTTTGCAGCTGATATTAGTAAACACTAAATGAATTTCTAAAGGAAACCTGTTAGAATTTAATATATTTTTTACTTCTAAAAACTTTAAAACGATTGTAAAATAAAATATTGATTGAAATAAATAGGGTACCGAATTCCCAACACACTGTGTTCGCTGCCCTCGTCGTTTTTGGCTCCCCAGTGAAAATGAAAACACCAAAATTCATATGGACATCGCAATATAGAACCGGTTAACATTGGCCTTTGGCCAATGGCGTATTCCGCAAAGACATCAACTATACGATGTATTTAGGATATATTAAAATATGTTAATATTTTGAATGGAATTCATTAGGCTGTAATAATAATTATTTGGTATCTTTTTACAATTGAAAATTAAACACAAACGAGTCACCCTAAATATAAAACACAACTTTATTTGAACTGTCTGGGCTCGATCTTCGGGCTTTCCACCCGAAGTCCCGGAAAAGAGTGATTTTTACAATAATAATTTAATAATCCTTTTATATAATTGTTATAAAATAAACGCATCAGCTCGCGACAGTAGCGCTGCCCCTATTACGGCTAACGACCACGTAACACATTTGGCTGAGTAGACGCATCTATGATATTATATTTTAACATAATAATAATAACCGTGACGCTGACTAACGAGTAAAACAATAATATTATAATACGTTAAAATATTTCATTATTATTATTATTTTTATTATTGGATATACTACATCTACCTAACGATTTACTTGTTGAAAATGGTCAATGTTATCTCCAAAAATATCCCTTCTTTGGTATAGGCAAGGCTGGATTTTTTTTTTAGAAGACAGAGGCACCTGGCTTCTATAATATTGATTTCTTTTTCTATCTGTAATCAAATTTTCAGAAAAAAACTTACTTTAATCAAAAAATGACAAAAAACCGTTTTTGTTTTTGTTAAAGTAACTAGATCAAAAATAAAACTAAATTCTAGTTAGTGAATATGAAAGTCGTTTTATGATTTAATATTTTTATTAATAATTGAACAAAACCGGGGAAATAACGTAGAAATAACGATAAAATTTATAGAAATGATAGTTACATTATTTTCAATCTTATTTTTTCTATAGTAATAAAGTTAAAAATGTATATAAAAACTTTAAATTTTGACAGAAAACTTATACTTGCCTATTATAGACGTGATAATAGGTTTAAAATATTTTGGAGAATTTTGAGCTATTTATAAACATTTCGTGTTTATTATTACAAGTTTTTTACTTAGTTCATAATTGATATATTAGGTTACGTATACGATACTCCCTAAATGTTGTGAAAAAGCTATATTCAAAAATAATGGTTTTAATTACACTTAAAAATTCCAAATCAAAATTTAACCAAAAAAACGGGGTGAGCATGCTTAGTGAATCACTCTGTATAATATACAGTGTTTGTCATACCTACATGTTGTTAATACATTAATTACATTTTGCTAAAAACAAAAGTTAATAGTAAAGATCTATACAAAGAGTACTAAGAAAAGAATGATAACGTTGTAGCTGATGAACTCTTTTCCTCTCTCTCTAAATCCCGCAGGGAAAAACGGATTAAAACAGTAGAAGAAATTAATTTTAAAAGAGTAGAAAAGTTTGGACCTTACTATTAGACCTAAACAAAAATCGCTGTAAAAATCAAGGCACACCACTTCGCGAACCGAATCGTCGAGCTATCCAGGGTAAAAGTATATAAAATTAAATTTCAAATATTAAATAATATAAATAATAATATAGATACACTTAAATAATATACTCATACTCTGTATTTACTTTCACCTTTAACAGACTTCCAAATAGACTTTTTGTCACTCTCCTTAAAATTTGAAGCATGCACTGTAACTTTTTTTAAGAAAAGTTTTTAATGCATTTTCACATTTAAAATTTGTATTTTCATTTTTAGAGAATCCGAAAGGGGTTTTTGAAACTTTATGCGGACAATTCACATAGCCGTTGACCATTTTAAAGGATTAAATCAAAATATACTACTATTTTTCAATTCGTATTAAACATGTAAATTCGCGCGGAAAAGCACGTCATAATGGTCTGCATTATATATATAGCCATGGTTTGCATATAACCGTGGTAAAAGTTCCGTTAAATACCGTACATGGCGCAACAGGCTCGTCATTTTAGTCGCGTGATTTCAATAACATTCTGGCCCAATTTATTGTAGGCGGGACAATAATTAAATATACATTGATGGCTCACATCAATGGACATGCCTAATGGAAACTAGTTAATTAATAGTAAAATGTATCAATAGAGGGCATGTAGTGTCACGATTGAACAATTAAATTATTTTGGTTGAAATGAAAAAAGTAATGCCGATAATCAATGTCAGTTCAAAGTCCAACATGCGTAGAAATTTAAAATAAGAAATAATCTAAAATCGTATAGTGAAATAATTTTGACGAACAATAAAGAAGCGATAGTATATTATTTTCTTATATTTTGTTATTTCTTAGAATTAATTATTTTTCATCGGTCCTAGTTCCTCGAAACATTGACAGACATTCTAAACTTAGTAGTTTAAATAACTATTGTTTTTTTATTCTTCAATAAATATATTGCAGTAATAAGTAATCAATAATCATCGTATTTTAATCATTTAAATTATAATTTGAAGGATATTTGCTTCATTTTATTATATCATATAATTTTAAACTGACAATTATATATTTAATTAATATAAGTCACGCCATTAAGTGGCTGCTACATATGCATTTGTTGTCTCATAAAAACTTAGCAATTTTGCATTCACACGGGACAACTTTGTCTTGTTAGTTTTAATATGAGAGTGCATTGACCTATTATTAAACTTAAAGAAAGTGTAAAAAAGTTCTCTATGTTACTACGTCAGCTTTTTCCAATAATTAAATTTCCAAGCAAGTTAAAAACATTTTTTAATAGTGATATTTCATATGTTCAAACCTCATCTTATCTTCAAGTTTGATAATAATTCATTCAACTTTCACTAAAACTAATAACACAAAGTGTTCCTGTGTGAACACAAATTTGCTATGCATTAATTTGTAAGACAAACAATAAAGGTATGTTACCATTCTCTTAAGTTATAACATAAATTATGTACACGAAACCAAACATTTTGCTAAAACCATGTACATTTTTTTGTCATTAAAAAAAAAAAAAAACTTAACTTATACATACTCTTATACAATTTTGTATAAGAGTACAATTTTGTAATTGTTTAATATAGAAACATTCAATAACAATTAACATGATACAATTTTTCATACAAAAAACTTTAGTGGAAAATATAGGTAGATTTTAAAATGTTATTAGTGATTTGTTGTGCATATATAGGTAAATATGTTTTCAGTCAAATGATATTTATTTTAAATAGAATGTATCTTATAAAACTATACTTCAACACAAAACCTGTTAGTGGACAAAACAGAAATCAGTTTTTTGCAGCATAGCATGTTTGTTTTGTAGAATTCTCAAATAAATATACTAGCACATAATTTTATGGAAAGCATTCACTTTACTGGAACCAACCTACCCTACCACAAAAATGATACACCCCTACGCTCCTCCAACTTAAAAGTGAAATATCTCTTCAGCAAATTGACAGAAGTCAAAAATGTCAATGCTAAAATTTATTTTAACTATTACTCCATCTATTTATGGACTTAGAAGTTAGGTCTATAGAATATAGGTTGTTATTTGAAAATCAAATGTAGGTAATGGTTTTACCCCTAAAAATACGGGTGATAAAAAATAGCATAATTATAAAATTGTAGAGTTGCTTATTTCTTAAATGTTCTAGAAAACAAATAACGAAAAAAGCTAATACTTTCCGAGATAATAAGTGTATCCACTTGAATGGATCATCTGGTATCTAATACTTTTATTAATATTAAGTATATTTCTTTTATCCATAATCATCATAATATGCTGTAATATAAATCAGTATACCATAGCCTTTAATACAATAAAGTATAGTGTGAACTGTGTACTTATTTTATTTTTCAAAATTAATTTTAACTGATTCCGAGGACTGAACTCTTATGAGGTTAAGTAGGGGTTTTTAGGTATATTTGGTATGAATATCTAATTGCTTATCTATTTATTTTTGTTTATTCAAGGATTGCCACGGAAATAAAACTATTATAATTATTATTATTACTATAGGCAAGGCCAGTTTATTAGTATAAGGCCTATTACAAGAAATAAAATAGTCTCTGTAATTGCCTACCCCTATACTAGGTGGTCCTTACTTATTGGAGAAGAAAAAAAATAATTTTTTTTTATGCAGAACCCTCCCATTTTTTAATGGTTATAAGTAAATGATTTGTGATGAATTTGGTTATGATGACTTACCTCTTTTTCGTGCTGCAAGAGGGATGAAAAATGATCAAAGAGGGTAGTTTTATGGGTTTTCTGATTTAACCCCAAAACTATTGGCCTTTTGGTAAAAATGCATAGAACATTTATTATAGCCTTAATTACCGTATATAAAAAAGTATGAATAAAAATTTCTTGTAAATCTAGTATTTTTGCACGAAAATAGCAAAATTCAAATTATTTAATTTATTAGGTAAAATTTATTTTATCACTTTTAATATATTTCTTAATTATTTAAATATCTTAAATAAATGTTTGTAACATTTAATTTTCTAAAAAAATGTTATTTTTATGTTTTTATTGGATCGGCTAGTTCAATGTTATACTTGGATTTATGTAATTGTAAGCTAAAACGAAATAAACAATTACCGCTGTTAAGATCTCTTGTACAGAGGTGGCCAAAAATCGCGCAAAAAATTTGCCAGATAATTCGCTTATCACGGAAGATATCGTTGTTGTTGAGTATGATCTTGACTTCTTCAAGCATTTCGAGGTATTTGGGACCTTTTATCGTGCCGTCGTGAAAGTAAGGACCGATTATAGTGTAAGAACAGATGCCATACAAGACGGTAGGCGTTGCGCGACTTTTGGCCACCTCTGTATATGCTGTCACCATTTAACAGTTATTATTATGATTACCCAATAGACATTTTTATCTCTAAATAGTGAACAACATATAATAATATAAAATAATCAGTGAATCGGAATATTGTTATCGAATAATCATTAGCGATTAATAGCTATATCGTTTACAATCGGAAATCGAGTGCGCACAGCATATGCCGTAAATTATTATCTTAGTTTTAATTGATGTAATTTATAGATAATCAATATTAGTGTGTTAGTTGTCAACAAGTTTTTGGCTTAAGGCTGGAGTTCCACAGGGATCTGTGCTAGGACCATCTCTATTCAATATCTACACAGTACTATATGGTTGTGCGCAACACTGCCATCTAGCAATGTTCGCAGATGACACTGCAATAATAACGCAAAACCAAACGCTTGAATCTTCAATAACAGACCTACAAAGCTCCCCAGATAAACTATCCCTCTGGTTCTCAAAATGGAAACTTACACTAAACCCAACCAAAAGCAAAGCAAAAATATTTACACTCAGAAAATACATAAATCCGACCCTACTTCAAATAAACAATAAAGAAATCAACTAGAATAACAAAGACGACTCAGTAAAACATTTGGACCTGCACCTTGACGAAAAACTAAGCTGGAAAATACACATCAACAAAAAATTAAACCAAGGATACACTAGTGAAATGCTCTCTACTCCTTTACACAGCAATAATAAGACCTTTAGTAACCTTTGCATACCCAGTATGGGTATCTGCCTCCAAAACAAAAATTAAAAAATTACAAACCCTCCAAAACAAATTCCTAAGAATAGCCCTAAAGGCCCCTTGGTTCATGAGAAATAAACAATTGCACAACGATNGTTGACGGAGCCCGTCACTACAATATCGGTAAGAGATCCACAAATCTAAGACTCAAACCTCGGCTACCTCAGGACATCCTACTAGATCCCAATGAAGACACCTCAACCTCAGACTCTGACCCAGACTAACCTAACCAAATCTATTATACATCACATAATTATATAATAATAAAAACTTTGTAAAAATACTTAGTGTATTGACACAATTATATTAATAAATAAAAAAAAAAGTTTTTGGTGGAAGATTTATATTAAATAATATAAAATGCGGCGACAAAATATTCATCTTATCGATTTAATGAAAAATCAAATTCTAGGTAGCAAACTTTCTTCATTAAGAGACTGCTTGAAAGTATTATTTTATAATATAAGATTCGTAAATATGACTCTATCCGAAAGCTCCAATTTGGTAATCGACGAATGTCTAATTTTCTGGAAAAAAGCCAGTATTCCAACAAAGAATAAAGCTGATTGTGTGAAGAATTTAAAATAAAAATACGAATTATGGCGCAATCTTGAAAAGAATAAAAAGCGCGAAAATGAAAGTTACAATTCAAATGTGGACAAATTTGAAGAAGATTTGGATAAACTATTCGACATTGCTCATTCTAATGCTTCAGAATTAATGAAATCAATTTCTCAGCAAAATTCCGGTCGTCTAGGTTGCATGTTAGGAGTAGATATAAATCAAACAAATAAAGAAAAAAGAAAAAATCTAAGAATAGAAACTGAAATTGCAAAAAAGGCAATTCTCAAATTTCAGAATCTGTCACAGGTAATTGAAAATTAAAAATTAATTAAAAACTCTCAAAAATGACTTATAAAATATATGTATTTTAGTTACTTAGAAAATTGTTGTCATGGCCCATCTGGATCCAAAAGAGTCAATAAATCAATGATGACACCACGGCTTTGTGCAGCATTAGATAAGTGCAAGGTAAGTACTAAGTAATTAATGATATAAATTAATCTTATATATTTATGGTTATAGTTACGTGACGTTATTATGCAACAAATTAACAACTATATTTTAAAATTTTTGTGTTTTTAATTTTAAATTAATTTAAATAAACCACTTCATTATTGAGATTAAGTCAGGTTAGGTTAAGCGTCAAAATGTATTTGGTACATATGTGTTAAAAATACAAATTCAATATTAGTTTAAAACAATTTTTTTAGTTATACGTAATAATTACGTATTGAATTTATATTTTCAAGGTAAGTGATCAGGATGCTGTACATTTATTATCAGCATTCACTGAAAGTGTTTCTTCGAATCCGGCCCTTTATGTAATCAACCGAACGTCTATAAAAGTGCACAACAATCTGTTAGAAAAGAAAACGCTAAAAAAGTACGGTCAGATTTTTTATATTTGAATATAGATTTTGCCATTGTTCACTGGGATGGAAAAATACTTTCTGACTTCAGAGGACACGGAAAAGTCAATCGTTTGCTTATAATTATAACAGGTTCTAATTTTGAGCAACTTCTTGGTGTTCCCCAAATTCCATCTGGTACAGGATTAGAAATATCATCTCCTATATTCGATACTCTTTAAAAATGGTCATTAGTTGATAAAGTTAGGGGATTTGTATTTGAAACGACATCTTCAAATACAGTCAGACTTAATGGAGTGGATGCTCTGCTAGAGCAACGACTAAAATAAGATATTCTTCACTTAGCATGTCGTCATCATATTTTTAAGTTAATTCTTCAAGCGGTTATAGTTGAATCAAAATTACACATATTATCCGAACCGGATACTGCAGTTTTTAAGCGTTTTAAAAATGCATGGAATGGAATAAACACCAAAAATATTTTTGCATGGAACTCAAATAAAAAATTAAAACATATTTTGTCACCAGTGCGTCAAGAAATTCTGTCTTTCTGTTTAAAAATGCTAACAGAAAAACAACCAAGAGATAACTATGAAGAATTTTTGAAACTTGTAATTATTGCACTTGGTGAAACACCACCAGGTGGAATAATAATTCGTAAGCCTGGTGTATGTTATTAAGCAAGGTGGATGGCTAAAGCAATTTATTGTTTGAAGATCTTTTTATTAAGATTAGAATTTAAGTTGACAAAAACCGAAGAAAATACATTCTGCCGAGTCTGTGCATTCATTATAAAAATGTATTTTAAGTCATGGTTTATGGCAACAAATTTAAGCAAGGCCCCTTTAGACGATATTGATTTAATACGTAGATTATTTGCATATTCGATTGATGATGAACATATATCGACATCATGCTTAACAAAGTTTTTAAACCATTTTTGGTATGAAATGACGTGATTTCATATCATAAAATATTTGATCATTGTGTAATCGAACAAACCTCAACACGTCAACGCTAAACGATCTAGCCCTCCACCCTCTTTTTATTTCTTACGCATAAATCCTGTGTTCCGGATAGTCATAAGCAAAGGTATTCTGTCGGATTCTGACCATATTAGTGGCGGTAGCTTAATCGATGTGAAATCATACAATCCGATATCCAGAGGATAATAATCGTTGGACCAGTGGTCTAAGGATGTGTTGGTCGATGGTGATAATTCGTCAGATACCGTTTCCCCTATACAGGTACACAAATATACAAATTAATAATGTGTCGATAAGAACATATTATTAGACATGCTATTATTTTATTTACCGTCTGTCATTTTGAATATAGTATTATTCCGATGTCCAAAAAATCATTATTATGTAATGTTGCCGTGGTGACACATATCGATTACATAATTTGTTTCATCGTATTGATTTTAAGTGAAACTAAGATTGAATTAGTTTATTTATAATTTGTTTTTAGTTTTTGTGTCTGTGAACAACTTCATAAATCTTAGTCAAATAAAAAAATGTATAGAAATTATTTTTGTACAATTTTTGATCTAAGACTGATTGCACACCAAAAGAGCAATACTGTGTTAATCATTATTAGTAATTTTTTAGTAAACTAAAAACAATTTGTTTTATATATGCGGATACCAGTTAGTCAAGTTAAAGCAAAACAAAACGAAACAAGTTGCAATCATTCGTGTACTGCGTACTTTAAATTCCACTACTCTTTTTAACAAGCCTAGCCCAAACTACTTGATAGATCAGAATAAAATTTAATATACAGATAGTTATTATGATGAAGGTGTCCGCTAAAAAAGGATTTTTTAAAATTAACTACTAAGAGATAAAATAAAGGTTTTCAGATATTTTTGTTACGAATATCTAATATTGTTTATATTGGGTAAACTTGTTTAATTTAGTTGTCAGGGACAAAAAAATTATTAAAAGGGAAAGGGCTTGAAAAAAAAAACAGTGAGAAAAAAAAATAATAATAATAATCTTCACTGACTATAAATATATGTTATCCATAATTATAATATTGTTATAAATTAATACACAGGCAACGCTGTCGGACAGCTCGTGCCTGTGAACAGTGTGTTCATGCTAAGAGGTACCACTAAATATTTAAGTTGGATGACCTTATATTGAAATGGAATTTTCGGGAAATGTTAGAGAGTACCGAAATACATATTTTTCGACAAATTTTAAATTGTTTACCCTTTCGGTACGCGCGTGCGCAATACAACTTACTTTATTTTAAATGGCAAAACCATATTTTTCTACAGGTTCGGATAGATTATTATTTTTTTATATAATTTTTGTATACAAATTTTTTTCTAATTACAAAATTGTCAATTTATGTATTGTATGTTGAAATTTAATATTTACGAATAATCAGTGTTTGACAAAATTTTAATTATATTCAACTTATAATCGAAAATCGATATAATATCTCCGATACTGTGAAATACCTGTTCATTGACAGATAAGATGTAAATAAATACTTAATTGTTTTCGTAATTTACTGTCATTTATCTAACCTGAGTGGCTCGACTTCGGCAACATTAGTCAATATTTAAGATAATTAATCCAGTTCGTTATTACTGTATTTTATGTTGATAAATTATTTTCACTGACTAGTAATAGTTATTTTAATAATTTGAAACTAGCCCTGTGACAATTTGTAGTGTATAACTTCAGGTTTTTTAAGTGAGTAATTTTTGAAAATTAATGATAGTGAAAAAGTCGAACTTATTTTGATTTTTTGTGAATGTAACCGTAGTGCCCGACAATCAGCTCAGATGTACGTAGATCGTTATCTAGATAAGTTTCACCCACCTCACAATTATGTCCTTAGACTTTTACATGGATTAAATGAAAACGGTCAATTTCCTAGCAATCAAAATCAACGACGGAAGCCTAGACCAAATAATTTTGATGAAGACTGAACTTCAGGTAATGACTTACATACGTGCTTATCCACGTTCATCAATAAGACATGTATCTCGAGAACTCGGTATATTAGTTGGTGCAGTATATAAAATTTAGAAAAAAAACAAAATGCATCCGTAGAAAGCTGATTTTGTAACACATTTACGAATCGGAGATTATGAACGTAGATTACAATTTGTGGCATGGTTTAATGTTCAATTTGAAATCAAAAATATATTTTATAATCGTATTTTATGGACCGATGACTCTAAATTTACAAACAATGCTATAATGAACAGACAAAACAATAGATTTTGGCACGATACAAATCCACATTGGTCTCAAGAAACTAACTTAAGTTGCAGACAGTCTGGGGCATAAACGTGTGGTATGAATTAATCGGTGCACAACTTTTAGGTCCTTATTTTAATGAAGAAACACTTACAGGTAGAAGATATCTATATTTTCTTATTCAATAACTGTTATTGTTAGAAAATGTTTCATTACGAAAATATGTATTTTCAACAAGATGGTACATCAGCGCACAACGCCATCGTTGTTTGGCAATGTTTAAATAAAATTTTTCCTAAACGATAAATTGGTACCTATGAAATAATTCCATGGCCGGCCAGATCTTCTTTCTTAACTCCATTAGATTTCTTTTTATAGGGGCATTTAAAAACTATTGTATATGCAGATTCACCTACTAATGTCTAAGATTTAAAAAAAATAATACGAATGGCATATAATAATAATCTGAGAGAAGACAAAATAAACGCTGCCACATCCACATTAAATTATTTTGAACTTCAAGGTAGGAATTTTGAACAATTTATTCGATAAATGTTGTTGATAAATGTAGTGTTGTAAATAAATACATTTTAGTTTTAATTTTGTAGTGTGCAATTTTCTTGTTGAATATGATTCAAATTTCGTCTAAAATTGATTTTTCGTAAATATTAAATTTCAAAATACAACAACTTTAACAATTTTGTAATTAGAAAAAACTTTTTATACACAAATTATTTAAAAAAAAAATGGTTTTGCCATTTAAAAAAAAGTAAGTTGTGTTGCGCACGCGCGTACCGAAAGGGTTAATAATTTGGAATTTGTCGGAAAATATGTATTTCAGTACCATCTATCATTTCCTGATAACTCCATTTCAATATAAAGTCATCCGACTGAAATATTTAGAGGTACCTCTTAGAATGAACACACTGATATACTAATGGTATATAATAATAATAATACTAATACTAGCTAATCCGACAATGCTTTGCTAATGCCAGATAATAGTGTATATAATAATAAGTCTTCTTGTCTGTATTAATTAAATTGGCATCCATGTTACCCAGACAACCTATGAATAAATAAAAATGAATTAATGAACAATTCGATATTCGTATCAAAAATATCTAAAAACCCATATTTTACCCTCTTAGCAGTTAAGTTTTCAAAAATCCTTTCTTAGCAGATAATGACGTCGTAATAGCTATCTGTATGCCAAATTTTAGCCCGTTCCATCCAGGAATTTTAGCTAGGCGACTATGAATCAATCAGTCATTTAGGACTTGTTATTTTATTTATTGACATATATTATAATATATAAAATCTCAATATTCTTATACTAAGCGCTACCGTAGAAACCTGATTATTATAAATAACAAGTGGAAATAATTCTTGCTTTCAAAAATATTCATAAGCAATTTTCAAACTTTTCAATTAAATGTTTGAACGATAAATACATGGAAAAATTCATCTGACGTACTGTACCAATATATATATAATTAGCTAACGATAGATACATATAAGTTATATATAAAAAATGTCGACTTATGATCCATCGGACTTTACTGCAAGTACAAAATTGTACGACCCAGAACCCATTGAATTGCAACCAAAGTTCATGGTGGGTTTGACAACTGGCGTAGAAGGAAATTGCCTATTCTTGTCCGATGATGTTGTCGTATATCCGGTCTCAGGCGTTATTGTCATATATGATACAAAAAATCGTAGCCAGAAGTTTATACAGTTTACCGAACAACCTGCAAAAACGACAATTACGGCGATGGACCTTAATCCAATCAAGTAAATATTGATATGAAATTGTACAGACACTCGATGAAAACATTCGCTTTTGCTAACATCAGTAATGAAACCACATGGTTTGAAGTATATCAGCTTTTAATTCAGTCGTCTTTGACCTACAACTAATGCACACATTATCTAGTACACAGAGTGTTCTACAGTATAATTCTTATGCTACTAACTCTATCAATATTCTTTTTTTTTTTTTTAATCAGGTTTTGTGCGAGGGGAATATACTTGTATGCAAAGACAAATTAAATTTTTATTTTCATCCCTTAAAAAAATAGCCATTTTGTAAAATTTATTTTTCTAAAAATTTTAATACATCATAGTTAATGATAGGTATAGTGGCTTTAATGTATAGAAAATAGACATGAAAACAATTATTATATCTACAGATAGAAGATGTGTTAGACATGTTAGAAAATAGAAGATAAAGAATTACCGTACTGATTGTATTGCCTTACAGGGAACGTATTGTTTTATTAAAAATTAATCATTTTAATCATTTCAATTAATCAGTTTTCTGTAAATTAAAACGGCCATTAAAACTATTGATCCGATATGAATGTATTTTACATTGATACATAACAACTTTTAGAATAATATCTTTTACAAAATGACTCTTTTGAAAAGTGATAAAATAAAATGTTATTTTTTCTATAATTAAAGGATAAAAATAAAAATGTAATTCTTCTTTATATATTTGTTTTCCTCGTACAAACCCAGATTGAAAAAAAAAACTAATATTGATAAAATTACTAGCATAAGGATAACACTGCAGGACACTTCGTGTACTTATATTAATAATATTTTTCTTTTTCTTCTCATGTATAACTTTCCAACTATTTGGGGTTGGTTCCTTACTGTTTCTAGTTTTTTACTGTAGTTTTCATCATATCACTCTCAATCGTATATCTAAAATCAATTTACTTGTTCAATCTACCTTTTACCATATTTCTATCTACACTGATTTCTAAATCCATTTTTCATTTTCTAATTCATCTCATGATCACTTCATGTATAAATCATCACAGTTTATTATTGAATAAAATTAAGTATAGTAATATGAACAATTAAATACAAATTTCAGTCTTGTGTTAGCCGTAGCTACCACTTCCACGGAGGACGGCATAAAGCCGACTGTTAGCTTCTATGATCTGACAACTTTAGAACTGAAGCATACATTCACAGAGCCTGAGGATGAATATCCAGGGAGCACTGAACGTCGACAACGTTTTGCCAGCGTCCAGTTTTTGAATGACAACGCGTACATTACGGCGCTAGCTGTCTCCGATTCCGACTGTGTCTTATACTATTACAATTGGAAAAACTCCAACCTGGATACGTGTGTGCGAGTAAACAACCCGGTGGCGGACGTAAGTACACACTATATTCATATATTATGACGGATCGATAAACTATCTGGAAGAGGGGCAATAGCAATGAGACACGGAGATTGTTTGGTGGGTTCATATCACATACTTTTTAGAAAAACCTAAGGTGATTGATCGATCTTGATAGACTGATACTGATCTTCCAAATTGTATAATGTTACATTGGTACTTACTTGCGTAGAAAGAACATAATAAATTGTTTTTACTTGTTTTATTTGTTTCCGAAACTTCAAAATGTCTAATTTATAGCTCAGCTTTTTTATTTAATGTTTAATGTGGTATACACAAAATTCTTTCTTGAACTATATGACAGCAAAACAAAAAACTAGATGAAGATTTCCGGTTACTGATGTCCTAACATCAACAACTTCTCTCTAGAACTCTATAGAACTGGCTTTATTGACCGGACGGCCAAGAAAATGTTACTCCTTGTGCGCCATGGTTTCCTAACACCAATTCTCTTATCTCAGCTATCGATAGCTCTATATTTCAACTACTGTTCATAGTTGATTATGTAGGTATCGAATCACCCGATAGGTATTACAGAACGCTAGCTAACCTCAAGCAACCGTGTTTATACTTAAACACATACAAATTAAACAAAACTTTATTTGTAGTGATAGGTACTACCGAGTGAAAATTATCGAACTACTCTATAGTTTCAAATTATTTATTTACTCGATTTTTTTCAAAAACTATTGACACTATTAACTACTATCGACCATCGACTATCCAAACTACTTATTACGGAAACAATATACACTAAATTGTCTAATATCAGAATTTCAATTTGGTTAAATTATCGAACAATGTTATAAATTATTTATTAGAGTAACGTCATATTATTTGAAATTACCCTTTTAAAATTAATTTTATTACAAACATTATTTATTTATAATGTTTGTAGGAAATCAATAATATATTTTCATTGTTAATCAATGATATATTTTAAAATTTATAAATCATTTATCATATTCTATATTTAATGTATACAAATAAAAAAGTGTACAGTTAATTAGCTTAATAAACTAGTGAATACGATTACGGTCTGCTGCATAATTAAAATAATTATACAATAAATGCATATATTATAGGTACATTTCTCTGATCTTTAAAAAATTATTAAAAATCACGAATTAATGAAAATAAAAAGTTAATAAGTCAAAATTTTCAGAAGAATAAACTTTATAAAATGTCTTCCAATTTTTCAAAAAACTAATTTATTTTTTAGTCCTTATTACTGTGGATAATATTTATTTATATACATAAAAAATCGAATTTGATTATCTTTATTATCTTCATATATATTACAATGGGTACATCTTCATGGAATAGTCTTTAAAAAGGCAGTGACAAAATAATATTTATGATGTTATGGAAAAATCTTCTTTTTTTATTATTATTTTTATTAATTATTAGACTTTTGTATACATATTTTAAATTATTTACTTACCTAAATGTATTATCTAAAATTATTTTCTTTTGTCGTGGAGAAAACGATACATTTTTAAATTCGGAAACTTCTTATTTCAACTTCATTAAATTTATAAGGTTATTTGTTGTTGTAGGGGGGTTTCTATTTGAAAACTAAAAATTGAAACTTATTTTAAGTTTAAACTATTCTATAAACAAATCGAATTCACATAAAATTCTCTGAGAAAATGATCATTGTGTACTCCAACATTATCAAAAGTAGAAGAATATTTTCTTGAGGTCTTTAGCGTTAATATTTATTAATTTCGTTTAATTATTATCAATCTTGTATGTGCAACATCATTATTGTTTAATGGTCATAGTTCACAATATTTGAAAGTTATTCTTAATAAAGTTCTGCATTACTTTACATTTTACGCGATAATGGATTTTTTTTTAATGGTTTTTGTATTGAAATTATTATTATGAGCAAAATATCATATCGGTATTTGTTTATTTTTAGTACTACGTGTGAAATGCTTGAACATTTTTTTTGGTTGATAAATTTTAAAATTTCAATTTCCCTAATAAAACCCTTTTCGGTAATCCCATTATTAGTTTGCGGGTTGGTAATTATATTATAGTGTATATTATTAAAGATATTATACGATGTAATTATTGTTGTTCACGTTTATACAGGTGGCTATAAATCCCATCGATACGACCATTTGCTGTTTCGTCGGTAAAGATCTATTTCGTTCGATGACCAGAACTGACACGGGTTGGAATCAATATGGTTTCAGAGAAGCGGCTGGAGTGGACTTTACGTGCGTGTGCTGGTTATGCGGCGACCGGTAGGTGGAAAGTTATATTTAAGAAGGCTGCTCTTCTTATAATATATTTGTCTTATTCAATATTTCCATTAATTCTATATATCGGTTATGACATTTTATTAGTAGTAATGATTTAAACGGGGTTACAGATGTTTGTCTGGCACCTCCAATGGGTGGGTGGTATTGATGAAGAACGGTCAGCTCCAAGCCGTATACTGTCTAGACGATTTGAATTGGGAATTGGACGTGACGGTGAAAATGACCATAGACGAAAGTTTGGGCACCATTGTGATTTCCAAAAACAAACCGCCACCCGATGCCATTCGTATTTGTGTTGCCTTTCAATCAGGTTTCGTGTTAGTCGTCGGTAACTCTACCATTTACTACTTCCAGAAGTTGGACGAAGATGATAGGCCCAGGTAAACCCCGGATACCTGAAAGGTGGACAATTGAATAAGTTGATCATATATCGCCATAATTAATGCATCTGGTCAATTATGAATATGAAGTATAGAAATATGTACAGTCAGTCGATATTTCAAAAACTCCATAAATCGAACTAAACGCTTAATTCTCTGAGAAAACTTCTATAATTAGAAGAAAATATGTACATGTATTCCGGTCCCCTCGAAAATTCGAAATGTCTGTCAGAGGGACACTCTCTATAATTAGAATTTTTTTTTCCAGAATCTCTATAATTCGTATTTTCTTAAACGCGATTATATGTATGTATAAAGGTTATGTCGACGTTTTATTATTTATTTTATTACGTTTATTATTTGATGTACTCGTAATGAAACCAATAACGACGGTGATTAAATATTATCGTAGTTTATCGTACCTTAACTACCTAATCTAGACTTTTATCGTATCAATTTACAAAAATAAACCTTTGCATTGGGTAAACAGTTGTTGAAATCTAATTAAACGTGGTCAGTCAGAATATGGGTTCCGTAAAGTATAAGTGTTTGTCGATCGTCGACAAAAAAAAAAGCTGAAGCAGGTGAAAAAAAATATGTTGCTCTACGTTTTTGTATCCTAGCTTCTACACATTCAAATATACTTAAACAAAAGGACCATCTTAAAACATTAATACTTAATCATCGAAGATTAGACTAAGAAAATGTAAGTACCTGAATCTGAATCGATTTTCTCAAGAATTTTCTCATCAAATTTGAAAAACCGAAAGAAAATCCGGAAAATGTATTAAAATATAACAATTCTTTTTTTCTGTGCACAACTTTTCTATGGTAATTTTGCTCCAACTTTTAATATAATCAATGTTTCTAAAAGAAAAATTTCAATAGGAAGGTACTTTAAAAAGGTCATTTTTCGATTTTACCAAGAATTTTCCCAGCAAATGTTAAAAACCAGGATAAAACACGGGAAAACCGGGAAAAGGTTAGAAAACTGAGAAAATCAGTACAACATTAAACAAATATTTTCAAAGAAAATATATAAAGCCTATTTAATTATTTTACAATAATATGACATATATATTTTTGACAAAGCATCACTATCAACTGAACTCCGCTGAGAATAGTTTATCGTAAGCAATGGTTGCACACTTTTCTTTCTAAAGTCTCTTGCAACATCTGAGAGGCAGCTGAAGAGGGAAGCGATAGAGACCCAGAGAATTCAAGAGATGCTACTTTATTTTTGAGCAAATATATCTCTTCATAGAGTTCGAGAACTCTGTTTTCAAGGATAGGAGAATTGTCATAAGATCTTCGATTATAGGAGGTTATTATTTTTATTGGTTTTGGTGGTATTACGAGTAACGAAGTTCAGTAGAGGAGGATAGAGCGCAAAATTTAAGGTTTGATGGAGAAGTCATATTGTGGCTGGATACAAAGGATATCGGTTGGCGTATAAATCACTCTAAAGAAAAGCAGGAAAATTATTGCACACACAGTATATATACTACGTACTAAATATGAAGTAACACTCTGTAAATACATGTGTTGCTGTGCACCTGCACGCAAGTAGGTTTCGGTCACTGCAAACCTTTGTACCTCCGTGAATAGAACAGAAAACCTAATTGCAGATTGGAAAGACCCATGATATGTTAATAATTAAGTAATATAATACACAGTGCATGATGCAAAATAGAGATACGACAATCAGTGCATTTTTTAAGGAATTTTTACTGGGCGACAAAATAATGTTTCTCAAAATAGATAGCCAATTATAGTAGGTAATAATTTAATGTTCACCCCTCATAATTATTAAAAATAAATCTNATTCGCAGATAAGGTCATTATTCTACTGTCGTTATGAACATCAATAGCTAACTCAATTAAATTGGAAACAACTTCCGACTCATGAGATTTTAAAAGTTTTAACCAAGGATGTTTATCTGATTGTGACATCCAAAGTATCTGAGTTTCTTCTGCAGAACATGCAGCGTTATGAGCGTCACTATTTTAAATAGTCTACAATTCTCATGAGTTCTTTTTTTCCATCACATCTAATCCCGTCGGCTATTGGAACTTGTCCGTTGCGAGACAACTTTTTGGATTGTGAAATTTGAATAAAACATAAAATACATTGAATACCTGATCGTTTACCTAATTTTACTTTCTTCAAAAATTCGAATGTTTTAATTAACCAATTAGCATCTAACTTGGACCCTTTGTACCATTGATGATGTACCACTCGATGAAGGACAATCAATTATACCCTCTACTTAATTTATAGTTAAAGAAGTATTAGAATTTGAAGCTTCAGCAGGTACATTTNGAATACCTGATCGTTTTCCTAATTTTACTTTCTTCAAAAATTCGAATGTTTGAATTAACCAATTAGCATCTAACTTGAACCCTTTGTACCATTCTGAACTCGATGAAGGGCAATCAATTAAACCCTCTACTTGATTTATAGTTAAAGAAGTATTAGAATTTGAAGCTTCAGCAGGTACATTTTGAGGTAAAATATAAGATTCAGAATTAGAAGGTTTTTGTTTTTTTGAGGATACTCCAAAAAAATCTGTTATGCGTTTAGCCATAGCGATTTGAATATGAATTAAGCTAAAATGTAAGAATTAAAGAATTAAAAATTGAAAATTGATTATAAAATGTATATTGTATACTAGTGTATACNTTATACCCTCTACTTAATTTATAGTTAAAGAAGTATTAGAATTTGAAGCTTCAGCAGGTACATTTTGAGGTAAAATATAAGATTCAGGATTAGATGGTTTTTGTTTTTTGAAGATACTCCAAAAAAATCTGTTATGCGTTTAGCCATAGCGATTTGAATTTGAATTAACCTTAAATATAAGAATTAAAGAATTATAAATTGAAAATTGATTATAAAATGTATATTGTATACTAGTGTATACATGTAATTAGTAAATAATATGTTTATGAATAAAATAATAAAACGTGACAACCCGACGGCCGACGTAGTCAATAGTTGGTTGCGTTGTGTCCACCGCCGCGTACTACCGGTCAACTTAAATACAAGAGATTTTCCTGTGACCCATAACCCATTGATATATTATATTTTATTCGGTATTTAATGGGGCTGCACTATAAAGTATAATTATTGTATGTTTAGAAAAAAAACCAGCTGGCTATCTTATATAAAATCATAATTTAAATGTCTATACTCTAGAGCCTAGGCAATCAAAATTATCCAATTTACTATTCAATATTTTATTTTATTAAATCTTTACAAGTTATTAAGGTACTTACCAGTTATATTGTCGATAAAAATTCAGACACATAAAAAGCCAGTCTACACTCTATGGACGTCGTCAGTAGTCACAGTGCAAGACAAATGTTGAATAACTATTAATTAATATTATTGATAATACCGTGAACCGTCGCGTGCGCGGTCATTTCGTGAATCGTATCGGAGACTATTTTTATACATATTGACATTTTACGTTTATATTGTTATAAATAGGTATTATTATAAATTATTTTCTCATATTCTACAATAATAGATGCATTTTGTATTTATTTTAATATCGATAATATGACCATTAGTATGTGTACCTACCTACAAAATGTATTGTTATCATTAACTAATTATTTTTTTTTTACATAAAATAAAAATTCTTCTTTAATAAATTGCGTGTCGCCCAGTCTTTAAAAATACAGTCAACTAGGCGACAAAATATCTTCACTAGGTGACATTTGTGTCGCTCAGTTTACTAGCTTAAAAAATGCACTGATTCATAATATAGGTTTTACGTGTCTAAGTTTTATATAATATAATTTCTATTCAAACTAACGTAACTAAAACTAAACTTAACCTACAACTAACATGAAATTTCAATAAAAACAAATATTTTATTATTCTAAATCTAATTTAACAATTGTTTTTTTAATGCTTTTTGGATATCTTACTTCCTCAGCGTTCTCAGTTTCAACTATATCCTTAATTTCCTCAGTCTTTTCAGTTTTATCTAAATCTTTAGCTTCATTCTAATCCTTCAGTTTTATTAATTGGTCTATGTGCCTCTTATGTACTATACTGTTTCCTAGTTTGATTAAATACAATACACTACCTACTCTTTGTTTGATCTTTCCTCTAACCCACGTGTTTGTTGCATATTCCCTCACTAGTACAATTTCATTTATTTCAAACTCTCTCAACAGGGAAAACCCTGTTGTTACCCTCCAATTGTTTTTCCTGATTATCAGAGACACTTAATCTAATATTAGGCTTGAGTATGTCAAATCTAGAACNGGTTGCGTCGTGTCCACCGCCGCGTACTACCGGTCAACTTAAATAAAATAGATTTTCCTGTGACCCTTAACCCATTGATATATTATATTTTATTCGGTATTTAATGGGGCTGTATTATAAAGTATAATTATTGTATGTTTAGAAAAAAAACCAGCTGGCTATCTTATATAAAATCATAATTTAAATATTTTGATTATTTTCAATATGTACCTACCTATTATGTATTATACAAATTATAATTAAAATGTCTATACTCTATACTCTATACTTTAGAGCCTAGGCAATCAAAATTATCCAATTTACTATTCAATATTTTATTTTATTAAATCTCTACTAGTTATTAAGGTACTTACCAGTTATACTGTCGATAAAAATTCGGTCACATAAAAAGCCACAGTCTACACTCTACAGACTTGGATACCATGAAAACACATTTAAGAGAATTAAAAATTCAATTATTCGAATATTTCTTATGTGACAACAATGACTTCTCAAATAGATGGGTTTTTAATACATTTGATGAAAATATTGTTGCATTTGCCAAATTACCAGTTTAGACTCAAAACCAACTTATATAATTATCAGCTGATAAAACATTACAACTAAAATTTTCTTCTCAAGATTTAAATAAGTTTTGGCTTGCTCGGAGAAATAAATATGGAAGTTTGGTAACAGAGGCATAGAAAATTTTGATTCTGTTCCTTACTTCTTATTTATGTGAAAAAGGATTCTCATTCATGGTGGCAATAAAAACTTAGTATAGAAATCATTTGTTATCACTAGAAAATAACTTACTTTTATGTGTTTCAGATGTTGTACCACAAATTAAGCAACTTTTAAATGTAAGACAAATTCCACGATCATACTAATTATTTATTTTGTAATGTTTATTCATTCTTTTATGTATATCCTTATGTGGCTAATTTTATTATTATTATTTTAAGTTTTTTTTTGTTGTTCAATAAAAAGGTACATTTTGTACCGTCAGTGTTTTATTTTTTTTGACCTACGTGACCCTTCAAGATTGTGACCCCCTTGGGAGGTTAGGTCCCCCTCGAGGACCTATAATTTTACAATGTATTTCAAAACAAATAATAAGAAGGAGAAAAAGTACATGAACTTGAACGGTGTTCTTATTTGGTAAATGGTAGTCAAGAAAGAGAAAATGATATAACTTTGCTTGTAGAGAAAACATCGACCTCTCGGTCGCCCGCAATTTTAATTATAATTAACTATAATTAGTATAATTTTATCTTGTATTTGGAATACGTACTCGAATAATTTTCAAAAAATATATCGAGAGTACATTCTGGAATACTCAAAAAATTATTCGAATGTTTGAAAATACTATTTTTTTAATATTTTGTTTTTTTTTTGTACATTTTTTCACATTTTAAAGTCATAGGTACATGCATTTATTATTATTTTTCTTTATTATATTTTGCATAATGATTATACACGAATAAAGTAACATGGAAAACATTTAAATTTTGTTACATTTAATCATCAATACTTTTTTAAAATTTGCATTAGTCATTTTCCCTCTTTTCTTGGTCAAAACTGCACTTCCCACACTAAATATATGTTTTGTTGGAGTATTACTTGATCAAGGCGTATTGTAATTTAAACTTGTTTTGTAATAAAAGAATTCAAAGAAGGAAAATTCTTTGTTGGGCTCTTAAAAAATAATTCAAATTTCGTTTTCTACAGAATTATTAATATTTGTTTTTTTAGACCAATGCGAAAAAAATTATTTAATACATTGTATTGTATTGTACACAGAATATAAAACTGTGGAAAAAGAAACATGCAAAACGTATTTGTACGGATTGTTTTTTTCCGGATTGAAAACACTCGAAATATATTTTACCTGAAACCTTATAAACCCGAATTGTATGTTTTCGGAAAAAGTAGTCATGGACCGTATAATTCCGGAAAACAGGTTTTTCCAATCCGTAATTAAGAACTAGATTTCGTGGAAAAATATAGGTAGTTCGGGTACCATCGCTAGTCTCAATCGTTTATTATTACCAAACCCTATACAGACTATATCTATATTATAGAATCTATAAGACTCATTATCTCGGAAAACATTAAATTTTTTCGGTATTTTTTTCAATATGCGGGTTTTAACGGTCCGTGAATATAATTCGCAAATGTTTTGTTTCCGGAAATATACAATCCGGGTTTATAAGGTTTCCTGTAAAATACAGTCCGAGTGTATACATTCCGGAAACATGTAATCCGTATAAATATGGTTTGAAAATAAAAATTCCAGAAACCAATATTCCGTATAAATATATTCCGTACTTTTACATGTGTTCTGTCTGTATAGACCAAATAACCAATTAACTAGTATTAGTTATTTGGTTGTACATTCAAATTTTACTTTTTTTCTTTCAAAAAAACTCTAGTTATAACACACATGTAAATAAATACACATATACATAAATATTTTAATTAAGTTTAATTTCTGTACTCTCCCTAAAGGTATATCAAAAGCTGTGTATTTGAAAAACTCTCGGACCGGTATTTAACATTTTTGGAAACTACTGACAATTTGTCTTTGCCGCACTACGTGGAAAGCGCATTTATTAGTCCCAACTGTAAAATGTTAATGTGTATCACAAAACGGGCTCAAATATACTGGGCATCATTGGAGTCCCGGCGTCTAAATAGAGAATATGTTGTAAGTATTAATTAATACCATGACTATCTAATTTCAAGACCGTCAATATAAATTTCTGAATAATCATTTTTTTATTTATAAACTATCCTTTATACAATCCATAGATCCATCCCCTTATAGGCACAATAAGAATATTTGCTTATGTGTATAGCTTGTACATTTGTTGATGGAAGAAAATCCACCAAGTGGGTGGATCAACCTTTTTTGTTAATAATTTTTAACAGTATTACTTTTGATGATCATGACACCAATTTCTTTTGAATGATATCAGAGGGTCACCAGGAATAGTGGATGTACCTAAGTTTGATATGAGTTGTAGTGGGAAGGGAGTTTATTGTAGAATCTTTTATAAAAAGCTAATAATTTTTAGGTTAGTAAGTAGGATTAGATTAGTAACATATATTGGGACGATGATGATATTGCGAAATGCAAATTTGAAAGTATTGGATTTTGTGGAAATTTGATTTTGTAGTATTGCTTCGTAATTGTAGACCTAAGTCTACCTTGGCTTGATTAAAGTTTTATATAAGGAGTTTTTTATTAAGATTCGAATGATGGTTTTTAAAAATTAAATTTGTCAACATAGGAAGACGCGCGCTTAAAATATGGTGTGACCATGTTAGGCGGCTATTATTAGACTTAGATATTTAACAGATATGGTATGGTGGTATTTAGATACTGTCTAATAACCCAGTACATGGTGAAATACGTAGAATGAAAGTATTATGAGTTGATTTTCAGTGGTTCACTTTAACTCGAGATTTTTTTCACTATACAGATATGAGCTTTAGATGGGTCTGGAAATTTGAGGAAGCTGTAATCGGATCATTAAGAATAGTTATTATTGTATTATCGTTAGTTAAGTCAGTATATTGATAAATTTGAACCTCGGAGTGTAGGGTAAAAGTTTCAGATAGGTAATTTTTAAATAACTCAGCTTTATCAGCATCCATAGCAGCAAGCACTCGATTTGAGCTTATTATTTGAATTATTTGGTGCTTTTTACTGGTGAGACTTATTTGTAGCCAATCAAAGCTTTTGTACTCTTTACAGCTAATAATTTTATGAGGGATTTTGCTATAGTTTTATTTTTATATTTAGCAAGACATTTTTTTAAAAGAATTTGATAATTTATTACAAATATGTTTGTGTGTTGGAAGATGGGTCCATTGATATTGAACCTTAGCGCTACGTTTAAATATAATTAGCAATCTAATATGTTCGGGTAATTATGGAGATAAGGTTAAATATTATTTTTGTGTAAAGCTAGAGTTCGAAGTTACAGTTTGGATAATGTTTGTAAATTTATGAACACATAATCCATTTCTTGAATTGTTTTAAACTGACCTTAAAGTCAATATTTTGAATAATTAAATTATGAAATTTATTCCGGTTGGTTAGATGGAGGAAAACGAATTGTCGGAGAAACACTGACGGACAGAAGAACAAATATGTGGTTCAAGAAAGGTTCTAGAAGGTTTGTAATTGTTATAAATAGGTTATGTGTTGTATATGATACAAATATGTCTAGAATATCTGATTTTTTGTGTAGAGATCGACTAGAAAATAGATATCCTTGTGAGGCATGTATTTAAAAACTATTGATTTGTGAATTTATGAAGTACCGAGAGCCCTTTGGGTTGTTAGTCCTGCAATCTCAAATATTATGCTTAGCATTATTGTCACCACCTATGATGAAATAATTTGAAAAAAGAGCTGTGTAGTTTTGGAAATTCATGAAGTATTTCATAAGTAACATGTCTTGGTGTGTAATAGATTGCCGCCGAAATTGTTCGTATATTATTTAGATACAGTATTATAGCACCATATTGTAGAAAGGGTTGAAAAAAATTTGGTAGTTTGAAAAATAGCGAGAATTTAACACAAATCACAGCACCTCTGTGAGCCGTATTATCTGGGTGATTAGTTTTTAAAAGATTATAGTCAGGTATATACCCCGACCAAGTTAAGACGATGACCGGCCGCGCATGTAAGATAAGATTATTTCTATTCCGCGATCTCCTCACGTTAAATTATGAAAACAAACATTATTTATGCAGCGTATGCTAATTATTTAATTATAAATGCGTAGTATACGTTATACTATTAATTTTTTTTAAAGTAAACAAATAGTCATGTTGGAATTGTATTCAATTACCATAATATAAATTTACTTTAAAATTAAAATAAAATAAAATAGTTATATAAGTTTTTTAATAAAATAAGAATAAACAATTACTAATTATATTATTCAATATTCGTACAACTACTAATAAAATATTATATACTAAAAACAATTTAAAAAATAATAAACATTTAAAATAATATTATTTACTGTTTAATAGTATATTCACATGTAGGTTTAATTAATATAAAAATATATAAAAAGTCCTACTTGGCGTATATGTACAAATTAATTAAAAATCATCATCGTCAGATAATTTAGAGGATTCAGAGTTCTCAATTGTCAGTATATGATCGGGTTAGGTGCTCATCAAAAATAAAATCTAAATTCCAAAAATTCTCTTCCTCCTTCTTGGCATGATCAATATGCGATTTCCAATCTTCACTTTTGACTCTGTCCAAACCAGTATGCAACAGGTGTTTGACGTCCTCTGGTTTGAAAGTTGAATTGTTGGCTTTAACGTAGCCTTTTACCATTGACCAAACCAGCTCAATGGGATTCAACTCGCAGTTGTAAGGAGGGAGCCTGAGAATAGTTTTATTTACCTTCTTAGCTATTTCGTCGATTACGTACGAATTGAACCTAGAAAATAACAAGTATTAAAAACTTTTTTTTAAAAATTATTTTAAATATATTACCTTGGCTTAAGACGTTTAACAATATACATTATGTATACTTTTGCCATTTTTGAAGGATCGTTGATATCTTCGCTTTTTGATATAAGCCAATTGACAATTGATGTTTTCTCCACGCCAATGTTGGTATTTTTTCAGATTTTACAGAATGGTAAGGCACGTTATCCATCACAATAATGGCATTATTTCCAAAAAGTGGCAGTACTTCTTTGAACCAATCTTGAAAAGTTTTACTGTTCATTTCATTATGGTAGTCACTTGTGTTCTTTTTTTATTCGAAGCACAAGAGACCACCTTGTACAAAGCCATTGTCTGAACCAATATGCAGTATAATCAACCTTTTTCCTTTATTCGTAGGATTAGAAGGGCCAGTTGATAGTCCTTCCAGGAAGACCTGTCTGTGAGACTCAATGGTTTCGTTGACCCATACCTTATCAACACAATCTTCAATGTTCAGCCAGGTTTCATCTGTTCTTTCAAAATTCAATTTCAATTTCAAAATTGATTCACTTTACTAAATTGATAGTATGATGTTTGTCAAATTCATCCACTTTATCACAGATTTCTTGGCTGTCTCTTTAACGATTTGGTGATGTCAACAATGTATTACTTTTGTATTCGGACACTGTTATACAAACACGATTTACTCCAATTCCCAGATTTTTAGAAATGAGCTCCATCAAATCCTTATATTTCATTCTAGGCACCTCAAACTTCTTTGACTTATACAAAATACCAATGCTGATTAACTGAAATAATAGTATTGTTAGTTAGTACATTAATATTACTATACCAATATTTTTTTATTATTTTAATAAATAATACAAAATAAATTATTTTTTAATTTGTAACATTATAATATATTCATTATACTTACTTTTCCCGACGGATTTTGTTTCACTGGTGATGGAAATTGATCGTTGTCCATGATGAAAATCAAAAATACAATTTACAGTTAATAAATAAAATAATCTGAAACTAAAATATTCACGTACAAAAACAAACATTCAATGTTGACTACAAACACGGTGTATAATATTGTTATTCGGTGCGTATCTGTGTAAACAGATGTTTTTATAACTATCAGAAACCGGTCAGCTTATCAGGTACGTGCGATATGGGATTTGCGGGACGGGGAACTGATCGAAACGAACGAAAACGTGTCGGCTGTCCGGTCATTATCTTAACGTGATCGGAGTATAGGAATTTGAAAGTATTTTGTAAAGTGATTTTGTGATATAAATGTCTTAACATAAAAGTGGAATATTTCGTGAATGGCTTGACGTAAATCAAAAATGTCAACACCAAAAATTATTTTAACTAATACTCGATCTATTTAAGGAGTTGTTAATATAGGTTGCCATTTGAAAACGTGTTCACAAACTAGATTAGTAACAGCAATGGCAGCGAGAACTTATATTCATATATTGAAATGAGAGACCTCATAACAAAGCGAAATTATTTTTTTTCGCTACATGCATTATTATTTTACTTACCGCCGCAGTAAAATGCATTTAAAACTGAAATTGTAGTCAGAACCATCATACTATATTATATTGATATTGTAGAGTATACCTGCTTAAAAATATCAGTGTTTTTATCATATAAGTAAATTAATTTTGATCTGTGTTAAAACTATACCTATACGTATAGTTCTATGTATACCTCGGTGATAAATGATAAATATTATAAAATAATTATAGGTATGTAGGCACTCGACGTATTACAAATATTCGGTTAATTTGTTCGTTGTACGTTTTTATAAAGTATTAAAGTATTATCAGCATCATTAGTATAATGATTGTTCATGATGATACAAATGAGAAAAAGATAAATACCAAACAAGCAAGTCACATGTGTGAGATTAAAAATATACACTAAACGTGATCCGTATAGTGTATAGGTATAATAGTAATCGAAAGTTAAAACAAGATAATAATAAAATATTTTAGAAGACCTATAACCTACACTGCGTGATTTCGCTGTAATATTTCAGTTTGGTTAGGTTAGATTAATGGTATTTTATTTCGTCCAGTTACCACAGAAATTTCGCTACCGATGCCGCTCTAGTTTGCGAGTACCTAAAATCAAAAGTAGGTATCCATTTCACCTTTAAAAATAAGAATGAAAAAAAAATGAATGTAGCATTTTGGTTTTATTTTTTTTTTTATTTGTTTTGTAAGTTTTATATTAAGTTAATATTTTCCGAGATTTTGCAATGGGTTTATCTTCGTAGGACCCCGTGTATACAGAAATAGTATACATTTATTTTTAACAATAAAATATTATAAGTCTATTCTAAATCAGTATGAAAAACGATTCTCTGAAAATGGAACAAATCTGGGACTGCGTAAAAATTTGGACAATCTCCCCTAATGTCACACACTATAGTGGATATTTACGTCACCGCTTTTATACCGATACCTAAATCATTGTATATAATAATAATAATTTGTAAATATAAATGCTAAAACAATTATTTCTTACAGATTCCAGTCCGACCATTTGGTGAAGAAATGCATTATGGCGGCGTTGGAAGCATGTCGACTTGTCTGTGGAAACCAAACATAATGACTTGCGGCCTTATTGACAATACTATCAAAGTGTGGAATTATGTTGAGTGCAAGTTACTGTTTTCCAAACACTATCTGGAACATGTGTCCAGTATTTCAATACACCCCAACGGTCTGTATTCTGTGGCCACGTTCATGGACCACGCTGAATACCAAATGATCCAATTAGACGATCTGGTACCGTTAAAATACTTCCCAATAGCAGGCTACAATTTATGCAGTTTCAGCGATTCCGGTCATATGTTTGCATTGGGTAAAAAAAACGCAATCGACGTTTACTGTTCAATAATGTTTGAAAAACTGTTTTCGTGCCAAGAACATTTCCAATCCGTGAGTATTTGAGACAAACGTTATTCCAAAAAATCGGACGGGTTTAATTAATATTGTGATACTTATTCGAAGATAAAATTCTTTAGTTTGTTTATTTCTTAGATTCATAGGATACTCTCATTTCTCGTTTTATATTGTGTTGTATTCCACCATCTAGCTTTAGTGTGGTCTTTTAAATTCGGAGTGTATTGGAGTATATCCGTCAATTACCAAAAACGTTTTGTTTTTTGCACTCATCATTTGCTCCATGGTGAACGGATAACGTTCGATTATCAACTTAAACCATATACTATGTTATTACTCTACATTACTCTATATTGTTTGTATTAATTTATATTATCGATTTTTATGGGAAATGTGAGTGTAGTTACTTGTGATATTAGTATAGTTCACTATCAGCTACGTGCAACCTTAATATCTCACGATAATAATAACGAACAGAACCAACTTTTATTATTACGTAATATAATACATCTACGTTGAAATATAATTTTTACTTGCACAGAACTTGTGTACCAATACAATTTTTTCGTAGAAACTCAACTCTTGTAACCTTTTTTTATCATTGGGACATAACTCGTTAATTTTGATACAAATAAATCTTTATCCAATTTGTGTGTATCTGAATTGTAAATTTAAGAAATTATTTTGTATTTTGGTTATAATTATATTTTGTCTTTACTTATATTATTACAAATATATTTACTATGTCGATAATAAGAAAATAACTCTTTAGTTTTAATACAAAATTTGATTGTAGAAGGTTGATAAAAAGAAATGTTTTACAGAGTACTTGTATTTATATTGTTTTTATAAATGGTTATTATCCTCTTTATCTTTTTAATTTATTTGAAAAAAAAAGACGAGAACATAATCTTAGTAACGTATTTTTTCGATAATTCAATTTTTAGACGAGATATAAGTAACTATGTGAAATATCACAGTTTAATATTTCTTATAGAAAATATTCGATTGAAAATTAATCAATTCTAATATTAAAACTAATAGCACAAAATTGTAGCTACAGAACGTTAATTTATAATTTCGAAGCACGTTCTCTTAAATGTTTAACAAATAAAAAGTGATAATGAAAAACATTTTGCATTTATTTATAACATCCCCCTTTGGAAATTACTGGTCTGGTTTTTTCAATAATTATTTTAAAATTAACTCCATTGAAATAAAATGGTTATCATTATTTATAAATATTAATCGTTTATTCGTTTACATCCTTACGGTTCATACTCGGACAAGGTCGATAAATTGGTGTGGTCTAACAACAACCGAATCATAGTCGCTCTCCACACAACGACTAATCAACAAGTAACAATGTTTGACACGAAAACCGGGCTACTTCTTAGAGACATTTATTCAGTAGCAGCAGGTACAGATTTAACCCTCACTGAAGACGGAAAAAAAATGTACATCATTTCAAAAAACGGCAAATTAAAAGAAATTTACGAGCGAGAGGTACAATAATTTAATTTGAGGTTATACCTATCCAGTAGCGGATATGAGGAGGGATGTGAACGATGAGTCTATTCCCTCTTCGCCTGTAATATTTATATTCTAATGTTGAGCCGATATTTTTATTTATGTGATAAAGTATAAGTAATAAGTACTAAATAATAGATATTATACATTTTAGTCCGTACATAGTAGAGTAATTAAACGGTTATTTACTCACGAGTAGTCCACACATAATGTTGAAACGAAGGTTCTTGAATGCGAACTACATACATTATTATCGTTATTGTTGTTTTTGTCTGCTTATAAACAGCTTGTATAGGTTATGACGCTTATAAATTATTTATTGGCTTATACATTTACAACACACCATCGTCATAGCTTCTTATCTAAGTTTTCTATTAATATTGCCATTCTTACAATTAAAATAAAACGAAAAGAAAGATCTCGTTCAATATACACATTTTTAAATAAAAAGACCGACATACTTCACACAATGGGTGGACCAATGTTGTAGATGTGAAGTTACGAGTTAGTTCAATAGGATATATATAAGAATTTAATGTATATCTAATATCTATACAAAATGATTAATCTTTACTAACGAAAATGATTCTGAGTGAAATTCGGTTACACATACTTTGACAGACCGTAATATTTATGATTTTAATCAAATTTGTATAAACAAAATTCTACTTTACACTCAAAATTAGATTCTGAGTGAAGCAAAGAATGTATTGGTTTTACAATGTTTATTTTTATTTTTTTATCTGTAAACAACTTTTGTACCAGCAATATTTCTCCGATTCACAATGACAGCACTATTTTTAAAAGATCATCTGACCAGGGTGGAACTTTATAAAGGTCATTTTTAATTTTCCCATGAGTTAAAAAAAATAAGGGTAATATACAATTTTTTTATACAAATTTTAATATCAAATTTTGACAAAAACGTAAATATGTTGGCCTTTCAAAACACGCATAAGCGAACTCCTCTCAGAATTGTTTTTCATTAGCAATGTGTATTCGTTGTATAAATTAAGTTCCCCTCTATTCCTACCCTTCTCACTTCTCATATACAACAGTGGCCCACTTATCATGCGAGGTATATCCGTTTTTTTTAGAATATTGTTTTTTTTTTCAAATTTAAAAACACAAACAATAATTATGTTATGTAATAAGAGCATAAATGTGCTTTTCGTATATCAATAAATCTAATAAAAATATATAATAAACTATTAATAAAAAATAAAGATTATAAAATACATAATATATTAAATGCACATGAATTTACTGGTAATTACCATACGGGTTAAATATATACCAATTAACCTTTAATTTAGGCTGAATATCTCGGAAATTATATCTTCTAAATTAAACATTTCGGATCTAAATATATAATTTCGTACAGAGTCTGAGCTTTCAGAAAATTAATTAAAAGTAATTTTAATTAAAATTAAAATGCCCATCAATAGTTCTCTAAAATCGCTTAAAAATTGCTCAAATGGTTTGAACATTTTACCACGTCTTCGTAAAACAAATATAAGTTTATCATTAAAATATCAAGTCTTAACGAATATTTTTAACTTAATTACAACATATAAACAAAATTGAAAATAATAAAATAATATTTACTGGTATACCATTACATTAGTACCGCCACAGTAAACATCGATTTTTACATGTTCTCAGGGGTGCAAAAATTCGAAATTTGAGATTACAAAAGTGTACTAATAGAACAACAATTGTTGGTGCACAGTTTTTAACGAAATTCTAAGTTAGGGGTGTAACTGACCTAATGTAATGACGAGCAGTTGTTTTAATTTAAGTTATTGAACTTTTTAGCGATTATCCTATGATTTTAAAAACTTCCGTACGATTCCACTTATTTATTTTCATTCATAATATGTTTTTAGATACTTAATACATATTTTTTAAGACTTTATTTGACTTACGCGGAATTACACGGAGATTTGTAAAATCATAGGATAATCGTCGACAAATTAAATTAAATGGTTTTAGAACCGTAGTTAAGGGGTCAAAATGACTTAAAAAAAATATTGTCTACCCGAATTTGGCATTAAAAAAATCTGTTACCATTTGAAAAAATGCAAGTTGTATTGCACATGTGCAAATTGAAAGATATACAAATAGAAAAATCATCAAAAAATTAGTATTTAGGTATTTCCTATCTCATCCTGAAAACCCCATATTAATCTGAGGTCACTAAACTTTCGTGTTACCTTTAAAACGAAACGCACTGTGTGTTTCAATTACAATCATTTCGACTGTCAAAATTATTTATCTTGGTGAAACTACCTAGCATAGCACACTTAAATGAGGTCCGTTTCCCTGATACCTGTAAATCGTCCTATCGATTTTGGACCAATATAATTTGTATGTACTAAAAAATTAAAAAAAAATTGTATTCTCTTCAATTTCCTGTAAAACGGCATTTTAACACATTGAGTGCCTTATAGTATTTGGCAACCGTTGTCCGAGAATCCGCGCGAAGTCGGTCCCGTAATTACGTTGATCGACCAAACCATTCTTCACACAAGGCGACTCCCAAGCGACGCGACGGATACTCGAGTATCTTGTATATCACTTCCTATATTTAATACTGGAAAGGCACAAACGACGCTACTTTTAAGTGACGCGTATCCTACGCTTATTTTACCAGTCTCGCGCGACTTGCAAAGAAGGTCGCTCGTCGTCTGCGTCGCCTGCGTCTCTCGAATATTACAAGTGTTTTCTAGTGTTTTTCTTTTTGAATTTAAACAATTTAAAAATTTAAACATCAAGTTTGTGAGTGAAGTTGAAAAAAGGCCAGAACTTTATAATTACACTTTGCCTCAATATTCTCGAAAAGATGTTGCGGAGAAGGGCTGGATGGAAGTTGGGAAGGAAATGAACTTGCCAGGTAAAAAAAAAGTTAAAATATAATTGATAATATTTATATAATTATATATATATTATAAAAACTTTTATCTGTTTATCTGTAAATTTAATTTTTAGTTCAATAATTTAATTATATATTATTAATTTTTTTAAATATTCATTTAATAATTTAAACGCGTGTTTATTTTCTTTTGAGTTATAAATTACCTACAATATATTATTATGCACTATTATAAAATAATCGTATTTCAACACAACATTTGTAAATTGCCCACATCATTCTATAATTATTCATATTTGGTACGTACGAACGATAAGAACTATTGTATTATACTGTAATTATTCTATATACAAAAAATAAAATGTAAAACGAAAAACATTTATTTTTACTTCTATATTTTCTATGTATGTAAAGTAAAATATTATAAATCATCAATAAAATATATTATTAGGTATACAATATCAAATACAATATTTCCACTGCCAAGGAAGAGATGCTTGAGGGAGGGGTAATAAAGTAGGCTGCTAAATAATTTCTTATATCATTTGCGGAAGATCGAATATTTATTTCGATATTTGGCATATTATCGTTTTGTAAAGGTAAAACTGCGACACATTCTTCATGTTGTGAAGTGCGGTATTGTATACCTTCTCTTTTTCTAACGAAATTATGAAAAACACAAACACTTTTTAATATGCAATTAATTTTCTCTACATCTCGGCAACGTATTGGACTATTTAGTACCTGCAATTTCTCGCACATCATTCCAAATGCGCACTCTATAGTTTTCGACCACGACTTAAGCGATAATTGAAAATTATTTTTTGTATTATCATGAATTCTTTTTGAATATGGTCTTATTAAATAAGGGGTTAATGGAAACGCTTCATCTTCAACCAAGTAAAAAGAACAAAGAAACTCATTTAAATCATTCGGAAGACGAGTAGGTGACGGAATATCAAGTCCACTGTGCGTCAACCAATATTTAATTGCTGAAGCATGAAATATACCTTCATCACTGTTCCTTCCTACATATCCACATTCAATCATTGTAAACAATCCGTCCGCATCACAATAAGCCATTAATACGACGGAATGGTAACCTTTGTAATTGAAGTTGCTTGAACCACTATTCGGCAACTTTTCAATGCTCACATGTTTGCTATCAACTGCTCCTAGGCAATTCGGGATATTCCACACAGAATAAAAACGTTCAGTAATTTGCTTCCAATCTCGTTTGGTTGATATTGGCAAATAAGATTCTCTGAGCACATCCCAGAATATTTTAATAGTCTCGTACACGACATACCCAATGGTGCTCTCCCCTCTAGCAAAGTAGAATGAAAGTGCGACAAATGTACACCCAGTTGCTAAATATTTGAAATAAAAAGATTTTTCTATATTATTTATTAAGTTTAGAAATTGAATAAAAGTACCATAGTTATGCGAGTTTAAATTATTATTATTATTATAATTATTACAACTATTATAATTATAATTTTTGATAGTTTTTGTTTTCTAATTTTTTATTTATTTCTATAATTCTTATATTGTTTTTACTCAGCTTCTGAATATAAAGAACGATGGAAGAATTTGAGGTCAGTTTTTGTTCGGAACTTAAAACCTCCCCCACAGTGGCTTAAGCTCAAAGAAAAAGAAACCATATTACTTAATGGAAGCGATGCAGTTTGCTCTGCCGTTTGTGAAGACTAATATGCCTACTGCTCCTGGAAATATGCCACCGGTCAACGAACAATGTAATTCTCAGTCTCTAATCGATCAAAATTATGGTGAAATGTAAGAAAAACCAGGGCCAAGACTCCTCAGCTGAAGTACCACATTTGTTTTCAACACAAATACCACAATCGGTTCCTCGGATGGATTCATTTCAACCACTATCGATCAATACCCAGCAGTCAACACTTTCTGAATCACCAAGTAGACCTTCAAAGGCCTCTGATGTTAATAAAAAGAAATCGGATTTTAAACGTGGGATTTCACGATTCAACAGATGTTGATGCAAAGTTCATAGATTTTCTCCAGGCAAAAACGACCAGATTGAGTACACCAAAAGAGAGATTTACTTGAAAAACTGCATAGATAAAATCGTTTCTTGACAGTTTGATCCCAGAATTGGAGCCATTAACCGACCAAAAACTCAAAACGGGAAACACATAACTCCCTAATCCAGGTTCGACTAATTTTAATTATAAATCATACTATTAAATTGTTTTAATGGCTTGCAGTGATGCAGATGGGAATTTTATTATGATAAAAACTGGTTTCGCTGGTAGAAATAGCGATGGAGATATCTTTGGATGTAATCGATGGAAGTATCAAGAATGGGTTGTTGGCTTGAAAGAAATGGTTTAAATATGCCATATCCTAAACCATTGCCTAATGACCCTAACGAAATTAGTTTTCCTTATTATTTTGTAGCTGACGAAAGATTCTCTTTAAAAAAAATCTGATGAGACCATACCCACAGAGAACATTAGCAAATAAAAAACCAATATTTAACTACAGACTCAGTAGAGGTAGAAAAACTGTTGAGTGTTCATTTGGTATGATGTCACAAAAATTTCAATTACTATTGTCACCAATACGATGTACTAATGAAACTACTATTAACAATATAAAAAGATCAGTATGTATTCTCCACAATTTTATACGTAAAAGGGATTGAGGGAAGGTCGACAGTATATACCTTCCGTTGATTTGGATGAAGACTCTCCAGAAGACGTTCAAATACCCGTTGAGTTTCTCAGAGACAACAACGATCAAAATGAGTTGCTGAGAACACGAACGGCGAGTCACCTAAAAGATTTTTTGTCTTCATATTTTGTTAAGCCTTGGCATCGCTGCCATGGCAGTGGAATAAGTGTGTATAGTTATTAATATTATGGTCTAAATATTTGATAATAATTTTCTTTGAAATTTGTTTTGAAATAAGTATATGAAAGTGTATTAAAATGTATAGGTATTATTATTAATTATTATTTCTATAATTTAGTTATTGTATTTTTTTGTATTTATTAATACGGTAAATTGCATTATTTGTTTTCATATCTACTTAATACAAAGAATAAAACATATTTGTTAAAAACAAAATATTATACCTAATATCGATAACCGATAATATTTAGTTGTCGAATATTTTGGATGCGTTGGGGTAGGGTGGTAGTGTTTTTAATATTAGTACATTGTTTTTATTTTATTTTTAGCATTTACTTTATACCATAACATATTATGTTACAATAAGGTTAGTCGTTAATAATATGAACTAATAATAAATAGTATTACCTGTTTCTTTTTAACTTCCTCTGCAACTTTTGACCATGCCTTTTCTGTTAAATCTTTTCTAGCGTATTCTGGTAATTTGTAATTATATAAACACGGATATTTTTCTACAGCCTCAACTAAGTTTATAGTTAACACACACTCTTTTTTCGACATAATTTTATAATTTTATATTAGTTATTTATATAATTATTATATTATGTAATACTATTTTAATATTAATAATGAAATAATAAAATATAATGAAATAAACACGAGTATAATTAAAATTATGTAATGGCAACTATTTATTGAGCGACTGACAGCACTTGTCGCGCGCGATAAGTTGCTTTCGTGTCGCGTCGTAGTAGCATCGCGTCGCGTCAGTAGGAAGTCCCGAATATATTTATCCATGTTTTATAAAACAAACGATTATCACGCGTTGCCCTAGTGGGAGGACGGCCTAAGTGTTGACGTCGGCCACCAGAGCAATACCTACCAACCGTTTGTTTTTTCTACATACCAAATCATTATTATTCATTCATTCATTCATTATTATTTAGTATTTAAATTACGAATACAATATATTATTATATATGGGATATTATTAAATAAAGTACACTTTAAATGCAACTCATAATTACTTTTTTTAAGAAAAAATTTTTATATACATAAACGTAAAAAATTAAATACATCATAAAAAAAAAAAATCAATGCCATTTGCAATTGCTTAGTATCTAACTAATTTTACGTTGTAATAATAATTAAACGTAATACAATACGTTTCACATATAAAATAGTAATACAATAAACATTTAAATTAAATAATAAGGTATAAAATGTAATATCTATAATATTATGTTACTTATCTAAAAACATTTTTTTTATATAGGTAATAATAATCAGAATAATAATGAAATGACTTATATTTGTCTATGATATTCTTCAAAACAGAGTTCTAAACATAATCACGGTTGATCTTCATACTTATTGCAATAATAAATGGTTTCTGTTTTTGTTCCCTTAGTGGCACAAATTCGACATCTTTTACGAATATACTTGTTTTTATGATTTTTGTCTACTTTAATAGGAAGATGGTTTTGTGGTAATCGTGAACATGGAAGTTGTACTGTGTCCGAGATTGTGTTATTATTAGAGTAAAGCGAACTATTGATGACTGATAATCGAAAATCATAATAGGTTATTTTTTTGACATTTTTACAATACAGCAAAAAGTCATTTAACAAAGTTATTTGAAAAAATATAACGCTATTTTTTTGTATCATCTTAAGGTTTTCCTTTCACAAGGGTAATAAGACATCATCTGGTCTTGCCGATCAATATTGGTCATAAACACATTGTATTCCGATATCGGCAAGGGCTTCAATTTATATTGACCATATTTATTATGCAATTTTACCATTTCATTTTTAAACTCAGAACTTATAGCAAGGATTTCTCTTTTGTCTTTCCATTTGACTATACATACACCATATTTTGTATATTTACAGTTTCTCCAGTTTTAAGTTTTTTTGAAATAACTTCATTCGGATTATTTTTGCGGTTTTTCCAAAGAGTTCCTGTGCAATATGTTTTGCGTTGTAGTAATGTGTGTGCTGAACTACTGCTGTTTTAATAATTATCCATAAAGAGTGAGTGACTTTTGTCTAAATAGTTTTCCATTAGTTTATAAATGACATACTCTGTATGACTTTGTTCAGGTGTACTATCAGTACCTTGCTCAGAATAAATAAGTATATTTAAACAAATCCGTTAAGCTCGGTCAACATATAAAGTTTTATTCCATATTTGTGGCGTTTATTTTTTATATATTGGCGGAAAACTAATTAGCTTCGTCAAAGGATCATTGACTTGTCCAAGGATAATTGTTCAGATGATTGATATACTTCGAGCCTACGATTATTGAAATACTCTACAACTTTGTAAATTTTATATAACCGGCTAGGTTCGGAACTACCAGGTTCAAGGTTGCGACAAAATTGTAACGCACGCATTATCAACATCTGTGTACACCACATGTACCTATTTTTACTCATAACGTCACGAAAGCACTTTAAATTAAAAAGTTTATCGGGTTTCCAATAATTAGTCATCCGTGGCATTTTTATCGTGCCTGTATGAAAAACTAATCCAAAAAAAGGTTTTAATTCATTTTTGGTAAGTTCGATTCATTTTGAAATTCGAGATTTATTACTGGACTTAGTCAAGTATAACTCAGCTGTATAATTATTTGTTTCCTCAAGGGCGAAGTCACATAAATCATCGGTTAAAAGTAAGTAAGAAAATCACCATTAGGTTTTATTTTTAATCCGGTATTTTCTTCAAAAACAATAGGATCCAAAACTGGGGAATCGTCTAACCAAATATTATATGTTGGTAAATTTGTCAGCTTCTTAGGTTTTTGTCGATTAATTTAAGGTGGAAAGTTTAAAAATGGAGGAAGTTCATTTTGTATAGGCATTTGATCGATATCATCTAAACGCAAAGGACTTACATCTCTAATGCTCTAATGCTATCATTTTCAATTTCAGATATATTTCGCAAAACCTCTTAATTTACATAATAATCTACATCATCGTCCGCCGAATCACCTTCACCTAAATCTGTATCTGAGTCATGACAAAACTCTTCATCAGATGATAATGATTCTTCGAACATTTCAGAAATATCATGATCGGATAAACGTATTTTTTAGTAACCGATGTCTTTGAACGATTATGGGACCTATTCGGTGTACTTTGAAATGAATCCATTTATGCAATTTGAATAATAAAAATTGTTTTCTACATAAATAAAATAATAATGAATGTAATAAATAAAATGTATACGATTTATAACCATATTTATACTTACGTAAATAAAGTCGTAAATCGGAATAATAATAATGCATATCGATGTACACTAAAACAATAGAAAACAGATAACCGAAAACTTTAGCATGGTAAACGTGATAATAGACGCGTACAATTATTTTATAGCTGTAGTAATGAATAATAATAGGCTAGTAAACGAATTAATAATGGGTATAATTATGTAAGTTCCTTAAATTATTTTCGATTTTAAATAATAATTTATATATATATATATATACATTTATATTATAAGAAAAATAAAACAAGTTTGGCAATACTATATTTAGTAATAACTATTCAATTGTATATTAAAATAACAATTAAGATATATATAATTGTGGTCGTCGCCGTCATCGAAGGTTTCCTGGGAAAAAATAACCATGACTTTGCTAAAATTAAACGAAAATAAAATTCAAATGCACCGTTGAAAAGTAAACATTTCACTGAATAACCACGTATAAAAACAGAAGAATTGCTCTGATAGCCAAGTAAATTATAAAACCATAAAGATACCTATACAAATTGTCGACTACGCGTCGACCGCGGCACTCAACGTGTTAAATGCGCGTGCTAAGAAAACCGTCTCCCTGGCACCCGTATTTAAAATGCTGTTTTACAAGTAATTAAAAGGGATAAAAATGGATATATATCGGATAAATAAAAATTATGTTGATTCGAAGTCGATAGAACGATTTACGGGTGCCAAGAAGACGGGCCTGCTTAAACGAATCTTCAAAATCGTAATCAAATACTTACAATCAGTGGCACAACCAGTAAAGTGTTTAGTGTATCTGAAAATCCTTTCTCATTCGTGTTTAAGTAATATAAATGTATTAAAATACGTTAGAAACATGTTTTTTTTTTAAAATACATAGATATGTGGCAACACTCGCTATCAAAAAATCCTGGTTGTGCCCATATTTAAATGAAAACGCATTTAGATAACTGACTCCCATTATAAAAATATGCTAATATAGCTTTGCTTTATAACAATAATATGCTAATGGTTTACACAAAAGAAGTATTGTTAAAATGGCTTAATCCGGGAATATTGATCTTCAGGCCTAACCTAACCTCTTAAAATAATAATTAAGTGTTTTTATGTTGTTAAGTTAAGGGTTTGGTTTAATATGAATGCAAACTCCTGAATCTTATTCGCTTTCAGTTTCCTTAATACCATTTTATATTTAAGGCTATACGCGATGTAAACTGTCAACAAGGATCATTGAACTCAGTTGCCATTACCAAGTCAAATTTAATTTTGTTCATAGCAGCTCAAAATGGTATCGTATTGGCCATTGTGTTACCTATACTGTATGATGATATAGTTGAATACAAGAAGTACAAAATGCATAATCACAGCGTCACAAAGGTATCGATATTAAATATTAGTTTTAATCACTTTGTTTTGATATTTATTAGTATGTAAAACATGTATTTATGTTTAAGGTTAATTTAGGTTACATATTTATTATGAATGAATTAAAGACATTCCATAAATCATAATAATATACAAATGTACTAGGTGGAAATATTAGTAAACAAACTGTATTCCACACTCGCTCTGGCCGACATTCGTCATCCATTCATACACCGAATCAAGTCCCTTTCTAACTGTTAATTTATCATTTATTTACCATTTTTATTGTCCTGATGTTAATCACCTGGAGTTATCCTTTCTAAGTTTTGTTTTAGCTTTGCAGCTATAACGTTCTTAAGATTTTTTTTTCCGAAATTATCTAAAAATACTAAGGCCGTGTCTTTGAGATATATACAAGTACAAGTAGTTAAAAATATTGTTTTTTTTTTTTTGATCAGGAGACCGATTATTTTTGACGCTGGCTTTATTATACTTACAAAGAAAATAATTTACACATTCGTGGATTATGCCGCAAAACTTAATAGATATATAAAAGGAAATTCTATTAATCATTCTGTTGTACATTTTTTTTTTAATTTTGTAGTGACATTTTGATGAAAAAATCTTAAAATTCAGAATGGAGCCTAATAAATTTGTGTAATAGGATTTCAGTTTAACTATTTTTTTTTCTTCAGTTAAAATTAACCTAACCTGACATGACTCGGGATAAGATTTTCGAAGTATTTTTTGCAAGAAATCTCTCAACTGCAGAACTTGAAGTTTAAACTATGGTATATTGGCGACTACTAAGCTCAAACAGAGATCTTCATTAAAATGATTGGTTTTAGATTTGTAAACATTTCTAATAGTATTTGTTTTTTATTTTTTAAACTTCATTTCAAAGAATCAGTATGAAAAGATGTATGAACGTGTTGTGTAATTTTACATTTTTTTTATTACGCAGTACTTGTCGATCGTATACCTGGCAATAGCCTACGCTTACATCAGTTATAAATATAATATCTCTATTATATGTTTTAATCCACTGGTTTATCAAACACTTAATATTTTTACGAATTTTAGACATTTTGTTAAATTGTTTTAAATTTATACAAAGAACTAAAAATTAGAATAAAAATGTTACTAAACGAAACGTGATGGTGTGATACGTGAAACATCACAAATTTATATCACTATATCAATATATCACGATTAATACTTTTAAATTTTCAGTGTAGCCAATAAATTAATACTAAATTTGTGCATAATTTTAAGAAATGTATTTTTAATAATTGAATTCGTAAATATAGTTTATCAATATTTACAACATGGTATCGAATTAATATAAAATAAAATTATTTACCGTGTTGACACTTGACAGTAATTTGTTTTTCGCCAGTATTTAAAAGTTTAAATTTCCAAAGTGAAAACGTGCAATATTTTGATTATTTTCCAAGACTGTAAAAAATATGTATATTATATTTACTTACAAAAAAAAATATGCCCCAACCCTCCAAATATGCAATTATTTGCAAAATTACATTTGGTCTATAAAATCAATAAGGTTTGAAATACCGACATTCCAAACCTTCATATAAGTGCATAAACTCAGTATGAACGTGCAAATCCATGAAATTCAGGTCCCTAGTTATAATTAGTTATAAGTTAGTTTTTAATATAAATAATAATAATAAAACTAGTTTTTGTTTATCATTTTTGGTAAGTGACTAGTTATTTATGTATGAATTAGATATCTAATTACCATAATACCATATATTAAATTTCTATGTTAAAGTTATGTTTAGCAATGGATGGCTCAACTTTAATTTCTTGTTCCGAGGATGGTAGTTTATGTATATGGGAAGTTAAAGATGCTAACACAATAAATAAGATTAACTTTGATTACTTCGATGACATACTAGCCAACGGGAAGAAATTGGATGAAATAAACGAAAATATCGAGCAAATTAAAGTGACGGTCAAAAAATTAGAAACAAAAAGTACGCTCACTGTAAATGCAATTAAAAAAATGAAGGAACAGGAAATACAAAATACAAAACACACGCATTTGGATCATTTCAATGATATCGTTGAATTAAATAAAGTAGGATACGTTATATATACTACAAATTAGAAAAAATAGTAAATATGTTACAATAGATTTATTTTTATAAAGAATATTAATCATTAAATGTATAAATTAAATTATGTTTGTAGGGAATAGTTAAAATACAAAAAAATGTTATAAATAATCTTAAACAAAAATTACACGTTGTAAAAGATCAAAATGAAAATAGTATTGTTAATTTAGAATCTAAGTATTGCAATGAACTTACATATAAATTCGAAAAACATTTAAATCTTGAGAATGAATTGTATTCAATAACATCAACGTTAAAAAAGTAATTAAAATAAATATATATGTTTATATATATATATATACTGTACAATTGGTTATAATAGAAAATTATGAGTTAAATTTTACTATATGCTTATGGGTTATGACTGATCCAGATTTTCAGAAACCTTATTAAAGAAACTCAACGAAGAGTTACAGGAGGTTTTAAACAAACAAAAGAAAAAAATTAAAGAAAAAGACGAAGGCAATTTAAAAGTAAGTGCATAATATAATTATTGAAGTTGATTGCATTAAAATTGTTAAAGTCTATGATAAAGTGTTTTTAATAAGCACTGGGTAAATTATTTGTATTCAAAATCATAGAGGTTTAGTTCCTTGGTCCAAAGATAAATTTTTTTTTAACTATTTAGGAGTTTATAACAAAGACTACAAAATTAAAAACTTTGATGGTATTTTTTGTAGTGCCAAGAAATTCTAATAAATGAAAAAACCGGTTTTAAAACGTTATTGAAGGATACTGAAAATGATGTAGATGAAAATGTTTTTGAGACAAAAAATAAATTCATTAATGAACTAAAAAATAAAAAAGAAATATATTTAAACACAATGAGTAAACTCGAAAAATACAAGATGAAATATAATGGGTATGCAATTATAATTTCTGTTTATCTATCTATATTGTATTACTGTATATATATAGGCCGTGTTAAGGCTGATGATGCCTCTTCTGTTCTTGACAGTGCCATAGACGCTCTATATCTATTGTCAGTATTCTCTTTCTGAATCCACTTCATAAGGACACACTCTCCGTTCCACTTGCCTCAACATCACACCTTTTATGAGTTTAATTATTCATCTCACAGTGTATTGCGTTTACCTAATACTGCCTAGTTCGGGCCTTTTTAATCATTTTCCTTGAATTTATGTTACCTTGATGCTGTCACCTCTCTCACCTAGTTCTATTGAACCTTAACATCGCCTTGTACGAAATAAAGTATGTTATGATCAAAGATATATAACTGGAAAATGATATCATAAACCGGAAAATGCAAGAAATAAAATGTCCTGATTAGTAACAAAAAAAAAAAAGAAATGATATTTTGAACTTAAAAATTTTATATTTTCATTCAATACCATTATTTTATACCAATTGGTATAAATTGACCCTTTCTAACTATAAACAGCTAATAAAACCTTGAAGTTTAACTATTCTCTAACGAGATTATAATAAAATATTATAATGATCAGCCTTGTTCGTTTACAACAAATTTTTTGCTCAAATATAAAAAAAGCAGTCCTAAGATAATGAGGACGGGCGCAGCCACTATTGTAAGTGAGAAATTGGAAGGTCGAATATAGACGAGAATTTAGTGTATATCTGTACGCAACGATTACCCATTGATAATTGTAGTAATACAAAAAATAGGAAAAATAAAAGGGAGGACAAATAGGAGGAGTTAAAAGAGGTTTAAATGGGGGGAGAATATAAATAGAGTGGTTGTTAGGGGGATAGTAGTAGACTTAGGACACTAAGTATAGTAATAGAAGACAAATATATTTGAAATTATAGGATAATTACGTAGAAATACCTACAAAGAATAAAATATAGAGAAGTACGTATACAAATGTGCCTATATAGTGTGAAATAATCGATTTATGTTTTGGTACTACAAAGAATGATTTATTTTTAATCATAATAAAAGTTCAGCCTACTAGTTACCTTCCTTCCTGTGTTTGAAAAAGGAGTTCGGAGTCGTGAATCCGAGAATGGTGACGAAATCAATAACTAAAGAAAAATTGAATTATATTACCTGCCCACGGTGTTGGAACGCTAGGGTGTATACTTATGGATAACCTCACGTGAACCTGGAGTCGTTGGACGGCAATCACAATTTAATTAAGATAAACTAATTTAATTAATTAACACATAACACCTGTGTGCACTCAGATGAAAAATGCTAATTTTTAAATCAGGAAAATATAAGGTTGAATTATAAAGTGAATTAATAAATAAATCGAACACGAGTGATTATAGCTGCTAAAAGTCGGAGTTAGCTATTCGAGAGAGATCCTCGAAAGAAGTTGGTGGAGCGTAGTTGTTGCTGTGTGCAGGATTCTAGACAGTTTTTTTTTCCATACTTCTAATATATAAATTTATTTTTAATATTTAATTCTTAAGTTTACGTTAATTCTACTCGTCTACTCACTCTGTGTCTGTGTTCCTGTTTATGTGCTATTTAACTTTCCACTTCTAGGTCCTTTAAGTAAATTCTTTTTAATATCGCATGAGTTCACGTTATTAATTTCTATTAAGCTCCACGATTATCCACTGATTAGCCAATTTTCGCTGTTTTTTCGCCTGCTGTACGAATCTACGTCATTTTGACGCGGTAATTTCGACGCGCGTTAAATGGACGCGTTCATTGTGAATGCGAGACATTTGGACGCATAGCACATTTCGACACATTCTTTTTTTTTTGTTTAATTATTATTATTGATTTATTTTTCAAAATAAAAGTATAAATTAATAATATTTTAGATATTTCTAAAGATTGCATATTAAAATACATTTATTTTGAAAAATAATAGGGATTAATAATATTTACAAGGATTGCGAACAATTTAAAATTTTATATATAGGAAATACATTTATTTTTTATTTTATTTGTTTCATTTATTAAGTGTTATATTAATTTTATACTAATATTTATTTTGAAAAATAAATCAATAATAATAATTAAAAAAAAAGGTGTGTTGAAATATTGTTGCATCAAAATGACGTGCATTGTAAATGTGTCAGGCGCTCAATCGTCTCTCGTCAAAATGACGCTACACCCTGCTATACTGTTCACCCGGTTACTTGCCGCGCTTATTTATTTCTGTATAGTGTGTTTTGATTGCTTTTGAGATTTCTAAGGAATATTTCATTATTGTTTTTGCTTGGTTTATTATATTTCTAAATTTATAAGGCATAATCAACTGAAATTATTCACCATTCTGCAAATCCTGCCATTCTTATTTTGCCTGTAGTAGATGTCTGTATGAGGAAGAAGGTCATAACAATTGCGACAGTCAAGTGGAAAGATTGGTTTGATATCTTGTAAATCTTTCCACTTGTTTTTTGGTTTTTTTACTGGGCCACTGTTGAGAGATGGGAACATAATTTTCCTGTTATAATAAGTTTTTGAGCTTGATAGGAAGAGGTTGAAGCTTTGTAAAAAAAACTAGAGTATACTTTATTTGGTCAGAGGAGTCATACTGCAATCATCTTAAGTCAGTAACTATTGGGCCACCACTTTTCTTCCGGATGCTGTCATAAACCATGCGGTTGGGATTTGGAAAATTTATGAATAATATTTCCAATCAACGAATTTTATTCTGCAGGAAACGGATTCTTTAAAGGATTCATTAGTATGTCAATAAATTAGGATGGTAAATAAATACCTTTGTTTCTCATTAAACCTTCTAGGATCGTTCTAGGTCCTTGACCTTCCGGTATTGACCTTCCAGGTCAGGTCGTTTCTTTTCAAAAAAGATCAAAGAGAGCTCTCTGTTGTTAACTTATTTGGTCACTCACAGTCTTTGATTTTCTATTTAGAACAAATTTTTTTTTGACTTGTGAAGTCCAACTTCCTCTCTTATTTTGTACCATTCCGGTTTTTTCCTTATTTACTCTTCGATACCCTGTATACGTTTCATTCGTCAGTCTTCTACGATTACTTTCATTTTTTGGATCAATATTTATGATAAAAACATTAGCCGTACAAATTTAATTTAATGAAGTCGTTGTACCGTAATTTGGAAAAAATCGTTTATTTCGTCTTTATTGGTTTGTTCCAATTATTAGGAAAACTGCTATAGATATTGAAAAAATGACTTATTTTGTCAAAATCGGAATATTATAATGAACAAAATCAATCTCTGTTCATGTTTTGATTGGAGCAATATTTCTGATAGAAAACATCGTGTTTACATAAAAAAAAAAACAATTAAAACGGTAACGCCGCTGGACACCGTAAATATTTGCCGTTTGCGGTACCTATAATTTTTCGGGTCTTTCCCAATTATTTCGAAAACCCCTTAGAAAATAAAAAAATGACTACCACAATGCACTAAAGACAGACAATATCCTATCAGAAAAGTTGCCATAGTCTAAACTTCGGTGCAAGTTTTCTGGTAGAAAAATTATTTACAGATAAAATACACATAGGAAACCAATAGACTCGCTACGCTCCGAATCTAAAATTATTGGTATGTTAAAATATTTAAAGAAAATAAGCGGTATTCAATCTCTCCGTGATCCCCCCCCCCCTAATTCAAGCACTGATTATAAGTTCTTTGATCGTGCATCACTACTATTTTTGTAAAACAGTCCTGCATTAGTATTTATAGTATTTGGTAGCATCCTTCAGTATTGAACTGTTACTGGTTAGGCTGTGTGAATATAATTAGTATAGATATAGCTGCATATAGTGCATATATTTTTGTTTAGATGTTTAGCAACAACTGCAGATTTCAGACATACAGCTGAAGTTTTCAGCAATGACTTGGAAGAATTAAACCAGTTAACCAGGAACAAAAATAATAGAATTTTTGATTTGACAGTAACATTGAAATGTTGTAATGAGCTTATACCGCAGAAGGAAGAAAAAATACAAGTAGTGAGGCAAAATGTAAATGAATTAGAGAAAAAATTAATCGTACTGAAGGCTTCAATTACTGAATTACAACACATATATAATCCATTGGTATTAAGAATACAAGAAAAACAAAATTTGATTGAACAAGTAATAAAATTGTATTATATAATATACATATATTATGTACTATTTAATATCAGATCGATATAGTGTAATTTTCACGAAATTAATATCTGTTTCATGAACTTTCAACGAAACGTAAGGTTAGCCGGAATAATCAAAGTAATAAAACCAACTGGTTCTTATAATGTTTGATTTTAAATCAGTTTTCTATATTCGTATTTATATTGTAAATATATTAGGTGAGTATATTCTATACACGTATAATAAAAAATTAAAGGAAAATAAACGATAATATAGTTTATTATTGTCACATCACAAAACAGTTCTAGCTGGTCAAAAATAGAACAATTTACCACCTCGTAATTATTGATTATAATCATCATGACTATTATATTACCTGATAATGATAAATATATCATAATATTAAATAACCAAAAAGTGCTAACCAGATAAGAACGGTTAAGGCTCACTCAGATTATTTAATTTTAAAGCTAGAACGTGCAGTGTACCTCTGTAATAAATATTAGTTATTTTCGCTATTTTTGTGTTTTAACAAAACTGGATCAACATATTTGTACCGAGTAAGTGTTTTGGTTTTTATTAATATCATTTATTTAAATATATAAAAAAAGCATTTATATCATGTTATTACAGAAAATCTACTTATTTCACATATAATGGAGTGGGCTAATTTTTGAGGGCTCAGAGAGATAACGTTTTTTTTTTTTTACATAATTGTGTGTATTTAATAATACTGTACCGAAAGCTTGCTTGAATTTACCACTTTTTTAAATATGAATTAAATTGTAGCCATTTTTAAATTATTTTTTGATAAATAAAACTGACTTTGAAAGAAAAATATAAAATCGTTGTTTAGATATTTGAAGTTCTTGAAAATAATAATGGTAGTTTTTATAATAATTGTGAAGCTCAATTTGTCTTGATCCTTGATTTTGCATTTACGAAATACATTTGTCAATCAATGAGATCTGAAGAGAATTTAAATAAAAAAATTTCATTGTTTTGATGTGACCGATGTTTTCTTAAAATATTTTTTTCGAATTTAGCGATTTTGTAATAAATCCAAAAGAAAAGATTTTGAGGAGGGAGAGAGGAAGGTATTGGTTAGAGAAGATTATTATTTCATGTTTATGATAACATAATATTATACACGTAGTGATTATTATTATAATAAATTGTCAAAATGTTTTTAGTGATTAACTATACCAAAAAGTTCCTGATTAACCTGAACTTGGACGTTCGTCTACATTCTCAAGAAAAACTTTCACTCAGCACATCTGCAGTTTTTCAGTTGCAATTTGTTGGCAAAAGTCATATAAAACGTTTGCATTCCTCTACCAAACAATATTCTGTCAACATAATAGAAGGAAAATTCCTTCCACCCCCTCCCCCCTCAAAAAAGCTTTTCTTTTAGATTTATTACAAAATCGCCAAATTCGAAAAAAATATTTTAAGAAATATCGGTCAAATCGAAACAATGAAAGTTATAGAGAATCTAAAAATACAGATGTACTCCGAAGAAGTCACAGAATCCAGTGATATCAATCCTACTGCTCTTGGATAATGCGTTGGCGCACTATTCAAGTATTCCGAGAACTTTTTGATCTACGTATAAGTTTTGTTGTTATAATAAAATATGGTATTCAATTATACAATGCTTCAATCGATGACCAATTCACAAAAGCTATAATACATTTTTAAAAAGAACACACATATTGTATACAATTTAATTTCCCGAAATTTATCAAATTTACTATCCATTAGAATCATTAGATGAACCTAAAACCAGTATTCACGTTTGGATTGAAGTTCATAAAATAGGTCTATAGATTAATTTCATGAAAAATTTGATTACACTATCAAAAAGCAACAAAATATTTTATAATATTTTCATTAGAATTACAGTTACGACCTATTTAATTTATCCATACATGAATTTAGCTAGGAATAGAATATAACGACAAAATTAAAATTAAAAACAAACTGGAAATACTTTTGAATGGATTATCAGTAAAAAATATTGAATGTGAACGAGAACTTGATGAACAAAAAAGAATTGTCCAAAATGGGTCTATTTCTATCAAACAATTGAAAATTGATATGAGTTTGGCAAGTCAACATTATACAAATAACAATGAGAACACGAAAGCTATCTTGGTAAGTTATTACATTTTAATAAAGTGTTCACACAGCAATATATTCATTAACAGCCTATTAAACATTAAATAATGGAATTAAGAAATATTTAATCTACATTTAAAATTCTTTGAATAAATATTTATTAAATTTTAAATTTCATTTTTTGGACCCTTTTGTAATGGTGAACCAATTTTAAAAATTAAACTTTATTTTGAATTGCTTTGCAATACTTAAACAACACTATATTTTAATATTACATTAAACTTAGATCTTATAGATATGTATTCATTTATTATACAGAAAATTTAATATTATATTATAAATATTTAACACTATAAAAATTAAACAACAAGATTAATAATTAATAACAAATAAATAAATATTATATTTGAAAATTAAAAAATATAGAAATACACCATTAAATTATTTTAATGTATAAATAATTTGTTATCTTAATTATTATAATGAAATAATAATAGAATATACATAAATTAATTTTATTCTAGCCTTGCAGTTGATTAATATAACAAAATTATTACAAAAAATACTAATAAACAATTTAAATATGTTCACTAATTTTATCATTAAATCTTATAATACTAAATGGGGCTTGGGCTAAATGGTATTTCTGTCTGTCATTCTTTCATTTTGGTAGTCAACGTTCTTCACTTTGGTTTATTTTTAACAGCATCTATAGACAAATATAAACATTTGTAATTTATAAGTTATAAAGAAAGAATATGAACTATAGTCTGTCCCAGGAGAGAAAGGTCCGCTTCTGCGCATGTTTTCCCCCTCCACATAGTCGATTGTCCTTTCTTCCGTCGTCGGTTTATGACTATACACCTCTAGGATATTTTGTAGAAATCAATTGTTATTATTATCAGACATCGCGCATCGCACGTTTATTTACCTTTGCTGTTTTATAACCTCTTGATAATTTTTCAAATCGTAAACTATCGTATATACAAGCACCTTCTATAATAATCCAGACTTTGTTTTTTTTGTATACATATTTATTTATTTAATATCTTATTGAACACTGTAGGTATAATTCAGTAGGTATGATACAGTAGGTATAATAAAGTAGGTATAATACAGTAGGTATAATACAGAGATATATATTTAATAAATAATAAATAATTATATTAAAACATTTCATTTTTTATTCGTTAAAATTACAATTTATCATTTTTGTCATATTGGCGATAAACAGTGGACTATCGACAGACAACAGTGCATTATTTGAAACGCAGTGTACAAAACCTGTCGATAGATCCGGGAGGGAATAAATGGATAGTGTTGCGGCGTGGGGATGCGCAGTAGCGCTTCGATTTGGTCGGAGAGCGGACCGTTCTCTCCTGGGACAGACTATAGAATTACTACCTTATTAGTTGGTATTTTTGAGAGGTACTTTTTCGATTTTCTTCGGAGTTTTCTCAACAAATGTAAAAAACCAAAAAAAAAAACATAGGAAAACAGAGAAATTGATATAACGTTAAACAGATATTATTAAAGAAAATATATAGAACCTATTTAATTATTTTACTATAATATGGCATATATATTGTTGATAAAATATCACCGTTATTATTATACTATTATTATATAACAGACTTGTTTTATTTTTACAACCAGTCTCAAAATAATTATATTTATTAAAGTTCTTACATACTTTACCGTCAGCAGGACAAATTTTACGAGTATATTACTTATTACATTTTACACGAATATTCCTGATCATTTTTAAATCTACCATCATCATCATCATTATTATACTTATAATTCTTACTATATTATTTTTTAGAACTGTTACCTTTGTAACCATTTGTTCCATGATTTATCTGTCACCTTGGTTTTTGTACATGCTTCCCATATTTTTTCTTTTGAACCATTTGTATGTCCACAGCATTTCTTAACATGGTGCATATCGTTTTTAATTAAAGTACAATCGTTATGGGTTAGTTTCTATATCATTTTTAAATTCATTATGCAATAGATTAGATAGCCTTTCACAAGGATTTTCTTGTACTCATTGTCTGCCTGATTAAAATATTTGCTTCGTCAGGTTAATGGCTGTATGAGATGTTTTTTCAATAATTATTTCATTTTCACTTTTATAAAAAGATTTACATGTTCCTTTTGCACATTGCCATCGTTCGATATCATTTTTTAGACATTTATGAAATGAAAATTTAAAACCATCAATAAAATTAATACGCTTGCCTTTTTCACTGAACATAATATTACAAGACTTGACCATTATGTATGGAATGTGAACATATACTAGTGTGATATTTTAGTGTAGTTCAACGTATTTTATAACTATGATAAGATATTACTATTATTATACATAATCAGTGCATTTCAATTTTCAACGGAAAGTACGTGATCCATATCATATTTATTCATTATATTATTCTCCGTTCCCGTGCGGACAGTCCGATAGTGCACACGCATTCTACTTTGCTCTCGGGTTATGTTCAATTATATCAAACGGAAAAATCCGTCATAAATATAAAGAAAGCAAAACTATTTATCACACCTAATCGCTATTTTCCCTTGCCTATCGAAGATTCTAACACAGACGATATCGTATTCGGCGATCCAATTGAGGAGCAATGGAATACTACCAATAATACATTGAAGAGTATTCTTCCTTCACCTATATTTGTTAAGGGAGTTCTTGACTTCATTGGTCTACGAAGCATCATTGAAATCAAAGAACTGGACTCTTTCTCCTGCAAATCCATCTCGACTCATCTTATAATTCAAACCGACACCCTGGACAACAACAGGAACCTAATCAATTTTCTAAAAAGCATCGAAGCCCAGTTACATATTTATCAGCCACAATCTTATAAACCTTTAAAAGTTGTTAACAGGAATCTACACCCATCTACCCCAACAAATGATATCGCCTCAGCACTAGAAGAAATAGGCTTCTCTGTGAAAAACGTCACTAACGTTAAACACCAACAAATAAAAATGTCTCTATTCCTTTTCTTCGTCGACATTGTAGATCAATGGAATTAACAGTAATATCTTTGATATCTCTTTCCTTCTACACACGAAAGTTAAAATCGAAGAACCTCATAAAAAACGACAAATCTCACAGTATCAAAACTGCCAAACCTATGACTATACCCGTATCTACTGCGCACATCGATCCATATGTGTCAAATGTGGAGGTAGCCACCCCTCTTCCACCTGTACAAAATCGCCAGACCTCCCAGCTAAATGTGTCCTCTGCAATGGTCCTCACCCAGTCAACTACAAAGAATGTACAAGCAATCTATAAGCAACTGGACTGTAAACACAACATCTCAAGCAAAAAACATCAACAACCTCAGGCATCAAACCCAAACTTCAATCCTGAACATTACCACCAACACCATAACATGGAAAATTCCAAAAACCCACGATCGTTTGCTGATGTAACTGTGGGTCACCCACCTCCGAACACAAATCATTCCTCTATAGGCAATAACGATACATAATTTATTAAATTTCTAGATGAATTTAAATCAATCGTAAATCCTCTCATTTCCTTGCTCACAAAATTCTCCGATCCCAGTCACCTATACCTCCTTTAAAAAAAACGAACGGAACTTGGGTCATCAATGATTTAAAAAAAGCCAACCTATATTCCCAATATCTAACTGCTACCTTCCAACCACACAACAATATCTTATGCCCAAATCAAACTGAAAAAGTAGATCATTTCCTATCATCCTCACTACCCATGACACTACCACCAAAACACATACGTCTAAGCGAAGTCGAACATGTGATAAGATACTCTACTCACCGAAAAACCCCATGTTATGACTTAATAACAGCAGAAGTTGCACTACAACAGCCCAAAAAATCGCTACTCCTCTTGATACATATATAACTCTGTGCTTAGGCTATCACACTTTCCAGTTCTCTGGAAATTCTCTGTGATTATCATGATTCCCAAACCAGGAAACCTCCTAATTCTCCAGACTTGTATAGGCCCATTAGTCTTCTCTTCTTCTTTTCAAAGATATTTGAAAAACTTATATTAAAACGTATCTTACCTACCATTGAAGTTAACCTCCCTAACACTCAATTTGGTTTTCGTCACAACCACTCAACCATATATCAAGTACATCGTCTAGTTAACAAAATCGTTTACACACAAGAAAAAAGCTAATATGCCTTTTTAGACATAGCTCAGGCCTTTGATAGAGTCTGGCTTAAAGGCCTCTTCTTCAAACTGAAATCTATCCTTTCCCCATACTGTTACATATTATTCAAATCCTATATAGAGAACAGACATTTCTTTGTAAGATCAGGATCGTCTATGTCTAAAATATCGTCAATTTTGCTGGAGTCCCCCAAAGAGCTGTTGCAGCACCCTTACTATTCAATCTTTTCACCTCTGACCAACCAACTACGCCCTACACCACCACTGGTGACTTGGTCGATGATAAAGCTCTTCTAGCCGTCCACTCTGACCCTGAGACGACCTCAAACTTCATCCAAAATCACCTCAATTTGCTATCCACCTGGTACAAAGAATGGGGTATCAAAATTAACGAAACAAAATCCATCCAGTGCATATTTAGACTAAAACGTACTGACTGCCCACACATATACCTCAACGACGTCCCACTACCAACTGATCTAAATGTCCGATATCTAGGTCTCCACCTAGATCGTCGGCTAACCTGGGCAGCCCACATCCACCTTAAGCGCCTCACCTTAAACAATCGCTCCCGCCAATTACGTTACATTCTTACATCAAAACATCTCAATCTCAGAAATAAACTTCTTATTTACAAAATGCTCCACAAACCTATATGGACCTATGACCTACAACTTTGGGGAGCTGCCAAGCCCTCTAATATTAAGAAAATACAAATTTTTCAATCCAAATGCCTCCGACAAATAACAAAAGCTCCATACTATGTTTCAAACGACACTCTTCACAAAGACCTCTCCTTACAAACAGTTAAAAACACAGCCAATACCCTTTACAAACCTCTCTATTCCAGCACTTTCAATCACAGGAATCTACTAATAGCTGAACTCTCCACCCACACTATCCCTAAGGACCCCAGAAGGCGTCTCAAACAAACGTGGTGCCAGGATTTATTGGCTGACTAATTATCACTAAAACACACCCTGAAGTACCAAGAATGCCCAACCATTCTTCGCTCACATTTGCTGTCTCGATACTCGTAACTTTTAATTCTTTCACTTATGCTTATTATAAATGTTATTCACAGATTTTACAATACTTTATTAAGAATAAAAAAAAATTATATTATTCGAACACATCATTTTACATACCCGGACCTAATTCAGATGAAATATTTTATTCACAGGGAATTTAAAACTAATATTATTTTCGGAACCAACTCGGATGCAGCTCTTTTTTCACCATACACCTCCTATAAATTCTTTGCATTTAAAATTTTTTTAAATAATTACCACCTACTCGTATAATTAATATATTTAATATACATTTTTTTTATTATTTGTTAAATGATATATTTTAAAAATATAATCAAGATAATTTTTCACGTTGAATAATAATTATGTTCGTTTAATATTTACCTAGTTTAATAAATTGATAAAATATTAATATGAAATGTTAATTCAATATTAATTATATTATATTTATTAAAATGCTTTTAAATATTTATAATTTAATTTAAAATGTATTTATTCAATCAGTTTCATTGTAAAATGCTGTGTGGATGGATATCCGGGATTATTTACTATAATAAAGACTGAAAAATGATAACTAATAACTAAACTATATTTTATTAGGATTTTTTTATTAAATATGCGTTTTCCGAAAGTGAAGAAGTAAGGTTAAAAGAAGAACTAGAATGTAAAATCGAATTTTCTAGACAGATGAAGTTTTTAGAACGGTCTATTGATGGTTTTAAGAAATCCCTAAAGTCGTTCGAAAATAAATATGAATCATATTATTTAGTAATGGAAGAAAATATGAGACTCATCGAAGAAATTAATGTTTATCGAAATATTGCAAAATCGTACTTCACTAAGTATAACAATTTAAAAATATTGAGTTCTCCAATAATTGTCAATGAAATACCAACTCAAAATGTAGGATAATAAAAAATGTATTAATACACATTATACATTAAATAAACTATTTCCTTATCAATACTTTTATTTTTGGTCCATTTAAAAGAAATTGTACATGTAATTAGACAAACATTAATTTAACCTTTAGGTTTTCGAGCGTCGTGATATGCTCTTACTACTATTACGATTTACAGCATTGACTGAAAACGAAAACAACAGTCTCTGAGTCTATGACCACCAGCGCGACGTGAACAAAATTATTGTACTTAATAAATTATCAAATTTTTGACAAAAACAATATTTATATAATAGAAATTATATTATGTTAACCATCGGTATTAATAACAGCGACGAGCACTGCCGTCGCAGCCTCAATATCGTAATCTTTCGGGGAACTACACTGCCTGCTACAGCCACTAAAAATAGAATGCAAATTAATAACATAATATGTTTACCATATACCTGACTATTATTATTAAACAAATAATTGTATAATATTATAAGATTATTGTTTCTAATAGGGATTCCCCGTCACCAGGATCGACAATAATAATAAATTTGTGTTATCGGAGGGCGCGTTTACAACGTGTAAATATGTAATGCAGTGTTTCTAAACCAGTGTGTCGCCGGTAAGTCCAAATGTGTCGCGTGAAATACAAATATAAAATAACACAAAATGTACAAACATTGTTGACATTATTTACAAAAATTATAAGTATTTGATAAAATTTATATGATGAATAAAAATAGATTATCGACATTAAATAAATTTATCATTATTGTAATTCTAATTGATACATGTTGGTTTATCGATAAAATTGTCGAACGAATTGTTGCCAATAAGTTAGAGCGCCATTTTATCACAAAACATCAATCATTACAAAATAAACAAATTGATTATTTTCGAAGGCCTTTAGATTCAAAAAAACTACAAACAAAAAAATTTGTAAAATCAATGAAAATTTCGGATAAGGCACGGGAAGCTAGTTTTCGTATTGCCTAATTGACAGCTTAAAAAAAAATCTCATTTAATTGCCGAGAGTTTTTTATGTCAGCTTGTCGTATTATGGTAAAGACTATGTTAGGAGTCAAAGCAGAAAAAGAAATAATTAAAATACCATTATCTGATAGTACAATTAGTCGAAGGATTATAAATATATCCGAGGATATTGAGGAGCAGGTTATTGAACTTGTAAAAATAGATAAATCAACAGATATTAGTGAGAAAGCTCAATTAATGGAATTTATTGCAAATTCAAAAATAGGTAGTTAATTATTTATTGTAGAGAATTATCTAGAACAACTGGTCAAGATGTTTTTGATATCATAAATAAATATTTTAAAAATTATGGTATATCGTGGACTTCTTGTGTATTTGTATGGATAGAGCGCCATCAATGACAGGTTCTATTAAAGGATTTGCCAAAAATGAAAACCCAAATATAAAACAACACACTGTTTTTTACACAGAGAGGCATTAATTGCAAAACGTATTGTTAATGAATGATTGTACTTCAATCAAGTCGTAAAAATGGTGTATTTATTAAAAGTAGGCCTCAAAAAAATCGATTATTTTCTCAGTTATGCGAATCAATGAAATCTGACTACTATACTTTAATTATTTATACAGAGATACGTTGGTTATCAAAAAGGTGAGTTTTATCACGTTTTTATGAACTTAGAGAAGAACTATTAATATATTTTACAATGTAACAAATGGAATATTCCGATTATTTACGCGATGAATTTTGGTGTTCAAAACTAGCATATTTAGCTAAAATTTTTGAACACCTGAATCAATTAAAGAATCCTCTTTTTTAAGGATCCTCCTTAAAGGGGCCTCTTCAACTGTGATGAAAGTGCGGGGCCCGGGGCGAGGGCGCCGCTCGTCCTGCCCTAGGGACGGCCCTGCGTCTATATATGGTGGTAGTTAAATTGAACATAATAGTACAGCGATTCGTGTGCGTTTACCTTGTCGGTACCTTAGTACCTATTTCTTTGATCAGTTTGATCGCATGGGCAACGTATACGACGTAATGTCTAAAATAAAATCAACATTAAAAAGTAAAATTTCGAATTGGATTGTTCCTTATAAAGAAAATAAAGAAGAATTTTAATCAAATGGAAAGGTTATATATTGTCTCTTATGTAACAAATACTGTGTCTACTGAAAAAAAAATCTTTTAGATCATTATTAAAATCGGATTGAAAGTTTAACAAATGATGCTACAGTGTCGAAAAGCTTAAACAACTTGTACAAAATAATGCGGTCAAATATGGTTTAGTGCTCCTAATGTTACACTTTTCCGAGTTATCCATGAATTTTAAAAGTTTATAAGAATCCAATAGTGAATAACTGAAAAGCATGGATTTCGGTACACTGAGTGAGAAGCAGGCCAACTGCATGCTGCCGAGTTCAAATGGACCGTCTGTTTTCCAGTACCTCCACTTCGTTAATGGAGTTCTATGTCTGCTATCGGTAAGCTGATAGTTGATATACTGATAGTCGAACAGGTTCTCAAGCTCGTCCCGTACGCGCCACTCCTTAACGTGGTTAGCCGTAGCTTATGACATGGCTGTATTGTCCATGATTGATCCTCTACTACGACCAACGAACGTTGGCCTGAATTTCTCGTTGAGAACTACCAGTCCGAAGGAGTCGAGCAAGATGATCAGGCCCTCCCCGCGTGCGTCGTGCACCCGATATTTTTTTTTTTTATGTGGTATCACGGCGCTAAAGAGGGAATTTAGACCTTTCGGCTGTCCAACCCCCTGTATCCATATAGTTTATTTAATTAAATTAACAGCAAACATTGTTAAAATAAACACTACAACAACAACAATCAATACATAGTAATTTGTAATAATAACAGTATTTTTTCGACTCCTTGAACCTTTTCACGGACCTTATGTACCCAGTCTAGAGGTAACTAACCTAACCTTTTTTTTTCTTTTTTTACATTGAATCGAAAACCGAGGGTGAAACAGACTTGTTCCACCACTATTTCCGCCATTGTTCCTGGCGTGTTCAACCCTGGAATCGGAGGTGTTTTTACTAATTTACCCATCATGAGCTTGTAGGGCATGCCCCATGGGTCGTGTTCTACTTCATCATAAAGTTTTCTCCATATTAGGTCTATAGCCTTCTTTATTGCTAGTTTTGCTGACTTAGCTCCGTCTTTTTCCATACGGCACGCATATGGTCCTGATCTTTTAAGTTTTCATTGGTGCACCTGCCGGAGATGGTTAGCTGTTTTCCTGAGTGTGTTTATCCCTAAAGACCACCAGTACACTGACTTACGGCGATTGTTAGCTGGCAATGTTGGTATTATACTTTTGCAGGTATCTTGGATGTAGGTGACTAGAATTCTTGTGCTCTCTTCTGCCTGAGTGCGGTTTGGGGTGACGTTAGGCGGGATTGTATTCAGTGAATATGCAATGTAATTATGATCGTTTAGTGACTCAATGTCCAGGACCTCCTAGCCTACGGTATTTAATGCAAGTGACGGGGAGACGATTGTTAGGTCTATGATTGAGGATCCGTTAGTATTCTGTAATGTTTGGTTATTGCCAGTGTTGCAGATAATCAACCCTTGTGCGTTTATTAGGTCTGACAGTGCTTAACCCTTTTTGTTATGTGATCTGGATCCTCAGTCAGTGTTTTGTTATTTAAAATCTCCCGTAAGTAATACCTCGGAATGAGAATTAATACTTGCTTCTAGCCTGGCGAGGAAGCCAAGAAACTTGAGGTGAGTTGTATTTGATGACCAATAACATGAGTAAAACCGGACATTATCTTTTTCTATCCAGCAGAAACACTGTAGTCAACACTTTGTCTATATGAATATTCGTGAAGTTGATAAAAACAGATTTGTCGTTTTTGTCGTGATACCATAATGGACCTTCAACGTGGTGAAACTCAGTAACGAACGTGAAGTCTATTAAGCGTTCTGTCGCCGTCTGTTGTAGCAAGGCTTGAGCCGCCTTACAGCAGTTGGTGTTTATTTGTAAAACAATTGTCATTGTTTATGTTTTATGGGCTCAAGGGCACGCTTATATACGTGACACTTAAAGGTCTCCTTTTTACATAAGAAACATGTTTGCTTTTTATCGCATTCTTTATGGTTATGCTCTTCTCCATATTTTCAGCAGCGGTGGACTTGTTCTGTACCGGTACAATTAGAGCAAACATGGCGAAATCATTGACACTTGTAGCATTTTTTCACTTGCGTGATGGTTTTAGTTCGGCAACTATCATATCCTATCCTTAGTTTGGATGCGGTAATTTCTTTAGCAGCTACCGCAGGCAGGGAAACGGTAACCAGTTGTGTATCTCGTTCGCCTTTTCTTTTGTTCACCTCTCTTACATTGTCTATGGAGCTTAACTTTGCGGCTATAGTAGACATAATTTTTTCGTTTAAGGCATCCTCGTCAACATCGCTTAAAAGTACCTGAGAGGAGTCTTAGTTTAAAAGATTCGGCGTTTTCCTCAACTGCCTGTAATAAAGCCTGTGTATTGGATTCTTCTTCTTTAGTGTCTTTCTTTAAGACCACCCTCAGGTGTCCTGTTTTAGTCATTGACACCATGTTTATATTGTGGCTCATGTCCTGCACGCCCTTGTTATGTTTGATATTTTTGAGCGTGTCTGTGTAGGTATGCCCATCAGCACAAATTATAAAAACGTCCGGTCTACATCGAATTTTATTTGCAGTATCCTTGGATGTCGTCATTCGCCTTCTTGTGACTTCTTCGCAGTTTCCGGTGGTCACCGAGGTAGTATCCTGACGTTCCATCTCGCTTAGCCTAGCCTCCCTTCTTTCTAATTTGCTTTGGATGTATAAGTCGTTTCTATAAGTCTGGGTTCTCTCCCCAGTTGTAATACCCACGTGTACTGTAGTGCTGGTCGTTTGCCTTTTTATGTGGACGACGAGCATTGCTTGTGGAAGCACCCCGATGCTCTCCATAATGTGTTCTAGCTTTTCTTCTTGCCTGACCAGAATCAGTTCCTGCTGATCTAGCCTTTCTTTTAGCATATTTGGGAACTTGTTCCTTAGCTCATGACATACCTTGAAGATAGCCTCCTGATTTGCGAGACTGGTGGGTTGCTGATCCAGTAGCAGAGAAGTTGAAATCTTCTCTACCAGTATTAAAAAATTAAAAAACAAAAAAAAAAAAACATCGCATATATTAAAAGATCGCGACCGATTATATAACGGTAAAATAATACACTTGCGTTAAGGTGAATCTAATAGTAAACCTCTGAAAAGCATAGATATTTTTAGAAAAATGTATGATATTTTAACAAATATTCCTGGTCTAAATTTGAAAAAAAAAATAAAGAAAAATGTATGTATGTAATTGAAAAAAATGAAGGGTATAAGACTTTAAAGTCTTCCTATGAGGTCATGGCAGGTAAAACAAATGTTAATTTATATATAATGCCTACTTTATAAATTGTTTTAAATATGCACCAATGTAACTAATGTAACACTAACTAATGTAGACGTAGAACGTAGTTTTTCTTTGTACAAACATATTTTAAGTAATAGAAGATTTAAATTTAATGAAAATAACTTAGAAATGTATCTAATTATGAATTTTAATTAAAAAAACGTAACATTTATCTAATTTATTTTTACACAACTTTTGCACTTTTATAGTGCAATTGTATAATTTCAATATGCAATTTTTGTTTTTTTTTTAATGCAATTATATCCGCTCTTTAGTAATGACTAATGATGGAAACTGATTGGAAACTATCGGACTATCCATTCTTTATCTATGGATCTAGATATGTAAGTTCACCGTAATGTGCCCAACTTATAAATTGGACTCGAAGAAAAACTGTTCTTATATCTAAAAAAGACAAATATAAATTTTAAGTTTTTAAGTTTTTACAAATATTTTAAATTGAATTACAACAAATAACAAAACTGAAAACAAAAAAAGCATTATTTTCGTGAATTTCCCGTTGTTTTTATACTTTATTCCAGGTTTTCTCGAATATTATGAAAACCCCTTGGAAAATCAAACAATTACCGTCTGAAAGTACAATACAGACATGATTTCTTTTAAAATCGCTAAGTTCAGAATCTAAAACATTTCTTAAGAATATTTTAAGGGATATTTGGTTATATTTAAATGCAAAATTCAATATATATATATAGTGTATGTATTTTTTTATTTTTTTATAGCTATATGTACGTACGCCTATTTATTATTTATAAAGGGTAGGTGAGGAAAGCGATGGTGATAGCGGCCACAGTGCCATCCGCGCCTAAAGTTTATGAACGTAAATCAAAATTAAAATACCCCATAAATTCCACCATTAGGCATTTATGAAAGAAAAAAATATCAATTCCGTCAGTGGTTGGAAATTGCTGATAAAGCCATTAGATCCGCTTTTATTTTGGCGAGTATTGTACGGCGCGATCACTGGGTTTCACTGGAAAACGTCTAAAATTTACCAAAATAAAATGTCAAATTATAATTTTTATCTATAGTTAAATAACATAAAATGTAACTCATAATAAATTATAAATTATACAACGAAAGTATAGAGTTTATTTTTTTTTTTTTGGATACGTAATGCTATGTCAATAAATTCTTGATATTCCTATTCAAAAACGGGAAAGATATTAAATCAATATCAATGAGTTCCCTTTTTATGTAGAAGAATACCTCATCACAATTAATAAAGAATAGCAATGATTGTAGGGAACTTATATAACCTACTAACATATTATATCGTCATATTATTGTTTTAATTAGTAACTGTTAACCAAATCAAATAAAATCAAATTGTCGAGAATTTGTAAACCCAAAACAATATGAAATCATTAAAAAAAATAAAATAAAAAGAAACTCAAAAAGACAGACATACTTCGCACGATGGGTGAGCCACTGTTGTAGGTGAAAAGGTGGTGGAATGTATTATATAGAGGGGGAAATATTACACGCAACGATAAATCTTTGTATAAAAAAACGGCTGAGTTACAGCCGTTAACTTTCCCTTATTCGATACGGTTTTTTCCGTTGAGATCATAAAATAGTTAATTTGTGTACTAATAGTGTCAGTTTTCGTTTTTACGTATTTCTCGTTTTCTCCGATAATATTAACCACACATAATATAATATTACAGTTATACGTTCAAGATAAAAAATCACGAATTTTCATGCATTTCCAATATTTTAATTTTGAGTCGCTTTTGGTTTCAAGATTATGTGGGTTTCGTCTACGGTCAGAGACGTTTCGGGTACAAGGAGTGCATGTAAAAAGATGACGTCGATGCAACGCCGCAGTCGTTTCTGCGTTAAATTGCCGACCACGGTCGGGCGAGTACCGGCGATAGGGATTCCGAATCGACAATAAAGAAACACATAATGCCGTGAAATTCTCTTATTACTTTATTTTCGGTGTACCTGACTACATATACCATAATACTACAATACAATTATAGTTTAATCAACCACAATCTATTTGTGATTGTCCGGTACCAACATTGGTGCCGAAGTGGCGTATTCTTATGGTGTTAACTATTAACACGAAATTACGATAAATTACAATATTGGAATTATTATATTATCATAAATATTTTTGACTGTAATACACTTATACCAGGATGTAAAGAATTTAAAAACAATTTGAAGACATTTTAATACATTTTACTATTTTCTCGGTTTCCCCCTATTTTGGTCGTTGAATTCGTTGTTTTATTATATATTTTTGTATTATCTTATATGTTGTCGCCGTCGCATCACAACTATATCTATTGTTTTTTTTTATGGTACATTTCTGTATTATTTAATATTTTAATTTTATTAAATTTTATGTTCGCTTCACGGCCATTTTATTTGTCTATTCACGCCCTTGGTATATAAGAGTCATAGCTCTTTGGTTTGGTTATGGTCCCCCTTTTAAATAATAATTACTACGGGTTCACACACATATATACTTATAGTAGCGTGTGGGCACATATGAAATAAGGGTGACGAAAAATAACATAAATATAAAATTGTAGAGCAGTTCGTTTCTTAAATGTTCTAGGAAACAAATTCCGGAAAAAATAAATACTTTCCGATATAAAGAGTGTACCCACTTAAATGGATCACCTGGTATAATAACTATCATATAGAGCATAATTCCCCAAACTTTTTCTCCGTCGCACCTCTTAGAGATAGTAAAACTGATCGCAGGCTCCCCTCCCCCCCCCTTATATCTTTCTATACATCAGCATTTTTTTTTTGTTTTATATATACTTTATGGTTTTTTTTTTTTAAATTTTACATTCGCTGACTCTCTCTGGTATACTATATTATAGAGTATTACGCTTGTTTTGTACTTCCGTCATTAATTTCTAATCAGACTGTTATCAGTAATATTTTTTTCGGAGCAAACAATTTAATTATATAATTAAAAACACATATAATATATTTGAGGCAATGAGTATAAAAGAGGCTTAACCCATAAAATCCGGAAAATGTGAATATTGATTTTTTAATTCATACATGCACTCTAGTAGTGTTTGATGCATTCCCATTTTATATTTTATAAATATTCTGCTAGATGGATGTAGCGAGAAAAACATTCTTCATTAAAATATAGAAAAAATATGCGTAGTGACGAAAACTGTGTACGTAATGAAAGAATAAAAAAGCGAAATATCAGTCTGGTCTATTTCAATACGAAAAATATCTATTATATCGACATATATTCACGATTCTCATTCTTCTTTGACTTTCCATAAAACTTGTTGCCTATATAAATTTGGAGGAGAAAAATTACCAAACAATATATCTACTACACTTTCGCTTTTTTATTCTTTCATACATACCCAGTTTCCGTCACTACGCATCTTTTTTCTACGTTTTAATGAAGAACGTTTTTCCCTCTATCTAGTAGAATATTTATAAAACATAAAGTGGGAATGCATCAAACACTATTAGAGTGCAAGTATGAATCGAAAAAATCAATATCTTTTGAAAAAACAAAAGAACAAAAACAGTATATTCTACAAGCAATTATGAACAACCATTTACAGACATATACTTTACTGAAGATTGTGGGTAGTAATTCAAATATTGTTGCCGCAAGTTTTGCTGTATCAAATATTATTACAAAGCACGGAAAGCCCTTTTGCGATGGAGAATATATTAAATATTTGATGCTGGAAACTGCACCATTTTTATTTGAAGATTTTTCTAATAAAAACAAAATTATGCAACGCATAAAGGTTTTATCCAAAGCCAGAAATTTTTTTTACTAAAATCTAAATTCAAATCTTTATACGGATACATAACAGAATTCAAATATACTTTAACGTTTATTAAATTACAATGCTCAAATTTACTATAATTTTCGCTATTTTTCTGTAATCCAATTAAAACATATCTCGGTTTTTCCAACTTTGAAGCGGTTTTCAAATTTCAAACAACTTTTTTCGAGTCACCAAATTGAGGATATTCATATGTTTCGTATGATCTAAACGGAATAAAAAACCTTTTTTCTTTTTCTATATTTTTCATTAACTTCAATCTTTCGTTTTTATCTACGCTCACAAGTGAGATTTTCCAGACTTTTTTTTTTAATTTCCAGTGCAATAGTTGTTGTTGATAATGTTGACCCAACAACTTTTTTATTGGATCAACATTTTTCCTTGTTAAAATTAATTCAAGCCTTGAATTTACTAAAATCTTTTTAAAATCCTCGGATAATTTCATCCAATGCTTCAGTAGAATACACACACAAAAATGTCTAGAAACAGCATCTGTTAGCACTGGTAATGCCCGGCGCGGAACGGCTAGTTTATTTATATGTAATTAGATAAAATTGTCAGGGCCTAACAGAAATGTATTAAAATTTGACTTGACTTTTATAATTACAAGTATACAATACTTAAAAATTGTACGCTTGACGAATTTTGTAGTAAAAAGAATGTTGTTCGTGATGCAGAAGTATTTTACTACGCATTTATAGTTCAATTTTTGAAGAATATCATAAAAATTATGATATTTAAGGACATGTATTCGTTTTTCATGATAAATGATTTATCAAAAAAATGTATTCAAAAAGTAGTTTAGGAAAAATGTGGAAATAAAACAAATAAAAAATAACAATGGTATAATCAACAAATGTAGGAAAACGTTTAAACACATACTGAAGTAGAAAAACAAAATTTGTAATCAAATTTATAACTGGGATAAATTTATTTGTATTTTCTATGTTCTAGTAGTATCAAAAAATATTAATATGGGCAAATGGTAATATTTACACACAGTTTTAAATATAATTATGTGGGTTAAACATACTATTTATATATGTTAAGCCCTAAAAGTTAAGAGATTTACTTAAAAAGCAATTTATATCACATTTTAAACTTTTTAAACATTTTTTTTTGAAAACTCTCACAAAAATGTACACAACATTACATGATAAATTAATAGAGATGATGGATTTTTTAATTCATATTTTATGTACAATATATTTATTGAGAACTATCAAAAAAAATCCATTGCATTTTGTATATGTAGGGGTAGGTACCACACCCATGTTAAATTTCGTTATTTTATATATTTAGTTTAGTAATCTATGATCGAAAAATGTTTAGAATACACTAAAACAATAAAATTTTTTTCGAGAATTCAGGAAAACAGAAAAAAAAATGTAAAAATTGTGCAAAAAAATCCCTTAGCAGAGCGTGGTTTCGATCCACGGACCCCTGGGTTATGGGCCCAGTGCGCTTCCACTGCGCCACACTGCTAGTTAAGCATACAGGTCTTAAACGTGGTAAATATATTACGTATTTTACCCTTAGAAAAAAAAAACATTTTTTGTTTTTTTCTTACATTTTATTAAATTTTAAACTTGGGGCATCCTATTAAAATGAACTTTGTATACAAAAGTATACAAATACTTAATACAAATTTCAATAATTTTAAATATACGTTTTATCTCATTTTATAGATTCAGAGCGACTTGTAGAATGTTTTTGTATAACTATTATGTGTTTTATTTTCTAATGTTTTTAATAAATAACTTTTAAATTTAAAATATTGCTACAAAAAAAAAAAAAAAGAATTAAAATGCAAAGAGACCTTTATTGATAAATTTTGGATTAATTTGGTACACTAAGAATGACATTTTTTGATTTTCTAATCGGTTTTGTGAGAAAGCAAGCAAACAAATGTGCGATAAACGGACAAATTTACTGCTTTACGATTTTAGTATTTCAAATATTTACACGCGATTTATATTTTCTACCAGAAACCTTGTTCCAATAAAAAAATTTCGAGGGATCTTTTTTTTTTACGTCTAGTTGGTGAGTATGAAATTTATAATCAATTTTTCGTGGAATTCTTTTAAGACGATTGGATACCGAACGTTTCACAGGAGTAGTGTTAAGGCAATTTCTTGCTTTGTTTGAGTAAAGCAGTATCTGTGTGAGACGTAAAGTCGGGTACACACCGGAGCATTTAGGTGTAATGTAACACCGTAATGTAACTGTAATTCACAGGTGTTCACATTCGCGCGTGTTCGGCTCGCGACGCCGTCGATTCACTCGAGTGTCGGTATTTTGACGAACATTAAAGGAATTTTACATTACGACACGACGCTAGTGTGGACGGTAAACCAGTTGCTCGCAGCAAATCACCCGGTAATATATTCGTAAATTAATTTGATATAATTGTATTAATTTAATTTAAATTTAAAAAATGGAGTGGAATAATTAAAAAGTGTTAGATATAATAGAGATGTACAAAAAAAAACGATACTATGGTTCCCAAAGAATCCAAAGTATTATAATAAATTTGCGAAATTCGATGCTTGGGCAGAGTTAGCCAAGGAAATAAAAACAACACCGGATGAATGAAAAAAAAAAAAAATAATCAGCCTTAATGCATCATATCGAAAAAAAAAAAATGAAAATGAAACATAGTCAGAGAACTGGTACAGGTAATTATAAAATAATATTTACTATTAAAAACACCTAAATAATTATATATTATAATTCATATGATAATAATTATTATAATTATTTACAAAAATTAAAAATCCAAGTTGTTTTTATAAAAATGCCCATTATATATTGTCATTATAGACTATAGTTACTCGTTGAACAAAAATAAAGTAAATCATATTTTAATGAATTAAAATAAACGACGCGCTAGCGATTTGTAAATTGGTAGGACATTGCACACGATGTTACACGAGAACAAACCGTGAATAACTGATGGATAGACCGGCGAACAACCAGTACAGAATAGTGCTCAACCTTAAACGTACACACCAGTCGTTTGTAACATGTAGCATATCAAGGAGCACGAACTCTGTTACATTATGGCGTTATATTACACCTAAATGCTCCGGTGTGTAATTCTATGCTCACACAGCATAATATTATAACTGTATAATTATTTAATATTTATATAATTACAAATATGTAACTAAAAGATGAATTTTATTTAAAATGATTCAGAATATACCCCTAAGCGAATACAAAATTGTATAGAAAAAAGGATGATTTTTCTTATGATATTAATTTTTTTCATTAAATCTACATTTTTCTAATACATATTTGAATTTAATTCCGCAAATATCGGTCAAATTTCGTTGTCGAGCGATACTACTTTTCGTTTATATTTGAATATTAATTAAAATTTTTCCTTAAAATATTCGAACCAAATGTAATGTTATGCTCACATAACATAATATTATAACTATATAATTATTTAATATTTATATAATTACAAAAATATAACTAAAAGANCTTTTTATTGATATCGAATTACAAATAGTAATATTTTGAGTTTGAATTCGGAAAAACCGTGCAAATTTCGCTATTCTGCGACACTAATTTTTGTTTATATCCGAATTTTAATTAAGATTATTCAGAATATACCCCTAAGCGAATACAAAATTGTATAGAAAAAAGGATGATTTTTCTTATGATATTAATTTTTTTCATTAAATCTACATTTTTCTAATACATATTTGAATTTAATTCCGCAAATATCGGTCAAATTTCGTTGTCGAGCGATACTACTTTTCGTTTATATTTGAATATTAATTAAAATTTTTCCTTAAAATATTCGAACCAAATGTAATGTTATGCTCACATAACATAATATTATAACTATATAATTATTTAATATTTATATAATTACAAAAATATAACTAAAAGATTCAAATATGGCCGAGTACTTGGTATTTCACAAAAGGTAAATAATTTAATAAATTTAACGGATCATTTGCTATTCGAGAGGGATGCAAACTTATCTACAAGCAAAATAATTTAAATATTTGTCAAATATAATAGAACTGCATGCCATCTGCTGCGGTCCTTTGAGGACACTGCCACCTCAGTCATACTATTGAATATTGTCTGTAATATATAATTATTATAATTCTGTCTGTATCCAATTGTCTTAATAAAATGAAAACATTTTTTTTACGAATTTTCGCAGCATTTGAAAGTTTCATTACTTTTGTATTTTTTTTATGTAAATCGGTTGAAAATACAGTTGACATTTAAATAATTGTATGTATTTTAACTTACTAGATGCTTATTCACGAAACAACAGAACAACTATCCCTAGTATCTGTGACAAATACGTCACAGAAACTAAGTTCGTTACATACTTCAGTTTGATAACCTGGACTCATTGTATGTGTCAAATTTCTAGTTGGAGAAAGAAATGTCAGATGTTAATATAGATTTAAATTATAAGATAACAATTACGATGGACAGAATTAAAACTACTCCTAGTAAAAATAAAGAAAGGCAGGTTTTTGTGTGTAATAATGTATAATAAATGTATACATATTTTGTATTGTTAAAAATAATAAATAAGTATTTACCTATATAAATTTTGTCTTTTTATTTAAAAAAAAAACCTTCATTTAAGGTTATATAAATGTAGCATAATACTTAAAAATAGTTGAAACTGTGTAGTTGAAAATATAATAAGGTTAATTTCTTACCTATATGATAACATAAGGTATAACAGTAGGTATGACTTGTGATAACGAGATAAGTGCAGGTATAACCGTGATAATATAACCTTGATCATGATAAGAGTAGCCATGGTAATAAACCATAATATCATAAGGTATAACGATTTGTGATAACGGGGATGTCGGAGATAACATTTGATAATTCTGGTGGCCATATGTATTAGGTATACATGCTCCCCTTGATTTAGAATTCTCCTTTTTATACTACTTATATGGTTTTTTAGGTAAGTCATCTCGAGAAAAAAACTCCTCGGAAATGAGCAATTTTAAACTTTTCAATATATTTTATTATGTCTTGACTTGTTAAAGCACGATTAGGGAAAATTATCGTTTATTCTTTTCCATACCTTTACTTGTAGTAAAATCCGCTCCCCTTTTTTCTTTTATATACGTTATATACAGCTGATGTACCTGAAGCTAGACTCCCGAGTGCTGACAGACCTGCAAATATCAGTATTAACTACCATTAATACACACCAACTATTGAGTCCTGCGATACAATTTTTCAATTATTTTCGAATTTTAATTAAAACTATTCAGAATATACCTGTAATCGAACACAGAAACATATAGAAAAAATTATGTTCTTTCGATTGGTTTTAATTTTATTCATAAAATCTACATTTTTCTAGTACATATTTCAAATTAATTCCGCAAATATCGGTCAAATTTCGTTGTCGGGCGATACTACTTTTCGTTTATATTTGAATATTAATTAAAATTTGTCCTTAAAATATTCTATAGTCTTGCGATACAATTTTTCTTTTATATTCGAATTTTATTTAAAATTATTCAAAATATAGCCCTAAGCGAATATAAAAAAATATAGAAAAAATTATGGTTTTTCTTTTGATATTAATTTTATTCTCAAAATCGACTTGCAAGTAGTACTTTTTCGAGTTTAAACTCGAAAATACCGTGCAAATTTCTTAGTATTGCCATACTATTTTTCTTTTATATTTGAATTTTATTTAAAATGATTCAGAATATACCCCTAAGCGAATACAGAAACATATAGAAAAATTTATGCTCTTTCGTTTGATATTACACTTTTTATTGATATCGAATTACAAATAGTAATATTTTGAGTTTGAATTCGGAAAAACCGTGCAAATTTCGCTATTCTGCGACACTAATTTTTGTTTATATCCGAATTTTAATTAAGATTATTCAGAATATACCCCTAAGCGAATACAAAATTGTATAGAAAAAAGGATGATTTTTCTTATGATATTAATTTTTTTCATTAAATCTACATTTTTCTAATACATATTTGAATTTAATTCCGCAAATATCGGTCAAATTTCGTTGTCGAGCGATACTACTTTTCGTTTATATTTGAATATTAATTAAAATTTTTCCTTAAAATATTCGAACCAAATGTAATGTTATGCTCACATAACATAATATTATAACTATATAATTATTTAATATTTATATAATTACAAAAATATAACTAAAAGATTCAAATATGGCCGAGTACTTGGTATTTCACAAAAGGTAAATAATTTAATAAATTTAACGGATCATTTGCTATTCGAGAGGGATGCAAACTTATCTACAAGCAAAATAATTTAAATATTTGTCAAATATAATAGAACTGCATGCCATCTGCTGCGGTCCTTTGAGGACACTGCCACCTCAGTCATACTATTGAATATTGTCTGTAATATATAATTATTATAATTCTGTCTGTATCCAATTGTCTTAATAAAATGAAAACATTTTTTTTACGAATTTTCGCAGCATTTGAAAGTTTCATTACTTTTGTATTTTTTTTATGTAAATCGGTTGAAAATACAGTTGACATTTAAATAATTGTATGTATTTTAACTTACTAGATGCTTATTCACGAAACAACAGAACAACTATCCCTAGTATCTGTGACAAATACGTCACAGAAACTAAGTTCGTTACATACTTCAGTTTGATAACCTGGACTCATTGTATGTGTCAAATTTCTAGTTGGAGAAAGAAATGTCAGATGTTAATATAGATTTAAATTATAAGATAACAATTACGATGGACAGAATTAAAACTACTCCTAGTAAAAATAAAGAAAGGCAGGTTTTTGTGTGTAATAATGTATAATAAATGTATACATATTTTGTATTGTTAAAAATAATAAATAAGTATTTACCTATATAAATTTTGTCTTTTTATTTAAAAAAAAAACCTTCATTTAAGGTTATATAAATGTAGCATAATACTTAAAAATAGTTGAAACTGTGTAGTTGAAAATATAATAAGGTTAATTTCTTACCTATATGATAACATAAGGTATAACAGTAGGTATGACTTGTGATAACGAGATAAGTGCAGGTATAACCGTGATAATATAACCTTGATCATGATAAGAGTAGCCATGGTAATAAACCATAATATCATAAGGTATAACGATTTGTGATAACGGGGATGTCGGAGATAACATTTNGCACACAGATGTTAAGTGTTAATTAATTAAATTAATTTATCCTAATTAAATTGTGATTGCCGTCCAATGACTCCAGGTTCACGTGAGGTTATCTATAAGTATACACCCTAGCGTTCCAACACCGTGGGGAGGTAATATAATTACATTTTTCTTTAGTTATTCATTTCGTCACCATTTTCGGATTCACGACTCCGAAACCCTTTCAAACATAGGAAGGAAGGTAGTAATACAACTAGTAGGCTGAGCCTTTATTATGATTAGAGATAAATTATTCTTTGTAGCACCAAAACTTAGATCGACTGTTTCACACTACATAAGCACATTTTTATACCTACTACTTTATATTACATTCTTTATAGGTATTTCTACGTGATTATCTTATTATTTTAAATATAATTATCTTCTACTTCTATACTTAGTGTCCTAAGTCTACTATCCCGTTAACCACCCCTTTCTCTTTATATCATCCCCCGTCTTGACCCCTTTTAAATCACCCCTCTCATTTGCCTACCCTCACATTTCATTCTTTCTTTATTTTATTTTACCTTTTCTATTTTTTGTATTACTACATGTTTCTGTATTCGCTTAAGGCTATTTTCGGAATAATTTTAAATAAAATTCGAATACATAAGATAAATTGTATCACAATACCACGAAATTTGCACGGTTTTTTCGATTTTAAACTGGAAAAAGGACTACTTGTAGGTCGATTTTAAGAACAAAATTATATATCAAAAGAAAAATCATACTATTTTCTATAAAATTTCGGCTAATTCTCATTATATAAATAAATTAAATAACACAAATTGTAAAATCACCCAGCTACCAACGGCCACAGTTAATCACTCACTAACCTCTCGTTCTTAAGCCCGCGCCACAAGCAGCCAAAATTCGCAATTTTCTATGTTCGCAATTCTATATGTTTCTATAATCGCTTAGGGTTTTGTATTAAATAATTTTAAGTAAAAATAGAAAATAAAATAAATTTAGTATCGAACGATGGCGAATTTTGCACGGTTTTTTCAAATTTAAAATCAAAAAAGTTCTATTTGTAAGCCAATTTCAAAAAAACCAGTCATATCAAACGAAAGAATATAATTATTTCTATATGTTTCTATGTTCGTTTAGGGGTTTGTTTTAAATAATTTAAAAAAAAATTAGAATACACACAAAATTTATTATCAAACGATAGCGAATTTTAGACGGTTTTTTCAATTTTGAACTAAAAAAGGTGATTTTTGTAATCCGATTTAAAAAAAACCAGTCATATCAAATGAAAGAACATAATTTTTTCTATATTGTGCCATATTCTTTAAGGAACTTTTCTGAATAGTTTAACTTTAATGAAGAATATAGGCAAAATTTTAGAATCGTTCGATAGCGAATTTTCACGGTTTTTTCAATTTTAAATTGAAAAAAAGTGATACTTCTAAGTCGATTTTCGAATATCTGACCATGTTAAAAGAAAGAGCATACTTTTTTCTATATAATGGCATATTCTTTAGAGATTTTTTCTAAATAGTTAAAATTTTATGAGGAATATAGACAAAATTTTAGTATCGTTCGTTAGCGAATTTTCACGGTTTTTTCAATACTAAATTGAAAAAAAGTGATACTTCTAAGCCGAATTTCGAACATCGGTCTATTCCAAACGAAAGAGCATACTTTTTTCTATATAATGGCTTATTCTTTAGAGATCTTTTCTAAATAGTTAAAATTTTATGAAGAATATAGACAAAATTTGAGTATCGTTCGATAGCGAATTTTTACGGTTTTTTCAATTATAAATTGAAAAAAAGTGATATTTCTAAGCCGATTTTCGAACATCTGATTATTCCAAACGAAAGAGCATGCTTTTTTCTATATAATGGCATATTCTTTAATGATCATTTCTAAATAGTTAAAATTTTATGAAGAATATAGACAAAATTTGAGTATCGTTCGATAGCGAATTTTTACGGTTTTTTCAATTTTAAATTGAAAAAAAGTGGTATTTCTAAGCCGATTTTCGAACATCTGATAATTCCAAACGAAAGAGCATACTTTTTTCTATATAATGGCATATTCTTTAGAGATCTTTTCTAAATAGTTAAAATTTTATGAAGAATATAGACAAAATTTGAGTATCGTTCGATAGCGAAGTTTTACGGATTTTTCAATTATAAATTGAAAAAAAGTGGTATTTCTAAGCCGATTTTCGAACATCTGATTATTCCAAACGAAAGAGCATGCTTTTTTCTATATAATGGCATATTCTTTAGAGATCATTTCTAAATAGTTAAAATTTTATGAAGAATA